TGTTGGACAAGGCTTGAATGCCTTGGATATTTTGACGACATGGAACAGGGTGGACAATCTAAGCGAACTAAGGCGTCGGATCAGGATGGAAAGTTTTACGAGCGGCATTAATGGTTATGACGGAAAAGATATCCCTGTGATTATGTATAAGGCTGGCATTTTGTCTAGGATGACGTGTGCTCTGTATAATGGTATGGCTTTTCTTTGGTGTAGCGTTTGGCTATTTTATCTGAGTGTATGAATATAAAAGAGTCCTCCTATTTGCACTGTAGAAGATTCCTATTTGAACCGTAGTGGTCTATGCCTGTACTAAAATTCCTATGCCCACACCACTGTTTCCATGACTACACACTTATTTATAGTGTGAACTTATGGGTTACGCTGTAGTGCACACAATAACACCATGACTTTATTAATTAACAGTTTTTTTTCATCCGTATTCTTAATTATCGCAACTTTTAACGTTCCTAGCATTAAGATTGCATTTTTTAATGGATTTCCCTTTAGGCGGCGCAAAGGCAGCAGAGGCAGTAGAGGAAGCTGGGGTAGCAAAAGCGGCGGCGGTAGAGGAGAACTTCTTTAATAAAGTTAACTTTAATATTATAGAGTAGCTGGCTTTTCACTAATTTAATAATAAAGATAATAAGGACCTAGCTATAATACCTTAAGACAAGACTCCATTACCGCCGCCTCTATATAATAAGCAGGCATTAATACCACCGCCCTCCTATATAACAGCAGCTTTACAATAACCTCTAGAAGTTATAGAGTTGCTAGACAAGGCCATAGAGGTTATAGAGTTATTAAATAAAGCTATAGAGCAACCTCTAGAGTATCTTTTTCCTATCCCACTGCTGTTAGCACTATATAACTTATTTAATAAGCTTTTTATATTCCTATAAACCTTTTATTATAATAATAGCCTTGCCCTTTATACTAAGCGCAGCTTTAACCCCTAGGTTATTAATAGGGAGAAAGTCCTAATATACTAGGCCCTTGTTTATAACTACACCGGTAGCTAAGCTTTATTAAGCACTAGAATTTAATAAAGTTTAACTTAAAGGATAGGCTGTCCCTATAAGATTACAGCCTCGGCTATTAGACAGGCTAACTAAAAGTAGTCCTATTATATAAACTATAAAGATTATAACTACCCACCAACCTCTGACCTATTAGCTTATATAATGTATTAGTAATAAATGCTTCCTTAGTAGTAATAGGAGAGAGACTTAGCAAGGCACTAAGCCCTGCTGGCCAGGGAGATAGCCTAGATCCTTTAGGAAAGCACTAGCGAGCCTATATTCTTCTATTAGTTAGATATTTATAATAATAAACAGAGAATTTAAATTAAGGCACTTAACAGCTTATTAGTAACCTAGGCTTAGATTAGAGAGCTTAAGAAGGGCAACCTATGCCACTATATTAAGCTGGATAATAATAATAAAGTCCAGGGAGTCCTATGGACCTATAAGTAGTTAGAGATAATATAATTATAGTTCCCTAAGGTCCTAGGGATTAATAATATATATAAAACTAACCGCTTTAGTATATATCTCTTTAAAGTCATTAGTATCACTAACTAAAAGTCTATGGCTAACTTTACCTTTAGCCTAATTAATATAGAGAAAGAAGATAGATACTAGTGGCTTTGTAAGAAGCTAAAGGCAATCCAGCAGGATCTTTATATCCTAGCGCCTTCTGTGATTATTATAAATAAAGAAAATGCGCTTAAAAACGCGCTTAAGGATGTTTTTCCTTAGTTATAGCAGCAGCTATATATTTATTATATTAACACTAACATATAGGCTAAGATCCATATTTACTAAAAGGGTAATGGCAATAATAAAAAAGAGGGTAAAGATAAAGAGCTTAATAAGCTTAATAATAAGCCTAATAATAAGCCTGACAATAACCTTGCTGCCTAAGTGGCTGCTACACAATAAGAAGCTAAAGAAGAATGCCTAGCGCCAGCCTTGCGACTAAATAATAAAAAGCTAACCCACAAGAATATATTTATTAACTAAAAGCATATTATTTATATTAACAATAAGGAAGGGTTCTAGGCGGCCTAGAATTTATTAAAAAACAAATATTATAATTAAAGGCATATCCTTTATTATATTTTAAAAAAGTATATGCCCTATTATAAGCAGTAGGCTACCTGCTTTATTAAGCAGTATTACAACTTCAGCTAGAGAATTAATAATCCTATAGAAACTACCCACAAGAATATTAAGTTATATCTCCTATCCAGTATAAGTAATCTCTTTTACCTTCATACAGCAATTATCTCTATAATTAATTAAAAGAAAAAAGATTATATTTAAAACACAGCTAGGATGCAGATGTAATAGCAGCAGCGCTTTATTAGGCAACCCTAGCTTAGTAATATTACCCTAACTATTTCTTATGCTGCTATTAACCTTTTTACTAAATAGCATCACCTTACTATAGCTATAATCCCCTTACGCTATAATCTAAGGCTAGAGTCCTTAAAGCCCTGCATAAAGACCTTTATATAGCAGTATAAGCTCCCCTGTAGTTATATAATCTATCATAAGTTAAAAGAAGAGGAGGCGCTCTATTAGGAAGATATTTACCTGCGGTAGTAGCTAAAGAAGCCTTTAATATAATTCCTAGCTAATTTCTATGAAAATCCTACTAACCCTGCCTCCTAGGATCTTAAGGAGCCTTTTCTTTAAATATGTAATCCAGATACTATCCAGAACCTTTGCAGCTAACTAAAAATTCTAAAAAATAGCAAGTTACTTATCCTAATAAGCCTTAGGGCTAATAATAAAAAAGAGGGCGAGGGAGAAGGAGAGGGAGAGGGAGAGGGAGAGGCGCCGGCTTTATTACAGAAGCCGGCTTTGTTATAGGCCAGGCCTAGGGCATCTTAACGCCAACCTTATCAGCAAGCCTTAACGCGCTGTTTAAATCCCTCTGTGCGAAAAGTCCTATCTTAGCATAAAATAAAAGGCGGCGGCGCCCTCCCGTCGTTATTATCATCGCCTTAAGGCTAAGGACGAAGCCGCGCTTGCGCCAGCAGCCAAGGAAGAGGAAGAGGCAGCTATGCCTCCTTATAGTTATTAATAGCTTTATAATTGCGCCCTGCCTCGCAAAGCTCTTAACAACGCCGACTTACAGCTATTGCTGCTGCTGCCCTTGCTAATGATGTTAAAAAGGTTATCCCAGCAACCCAGCCAGCGCCAGCGACCCCTAATAAGCCAGATGAACTAGCCGGCCCATAAATATATACATATTTAATAAAGAATTATAGGAAATGCTATATTTAAACAAATTGGCCTACTTTATTTCCCTAAATAGCTTCTTTTACTTTTTTTATAATATTTTTTGTTATTAGTATTAACTGCTAGTGTGCCGCACTATAATTTAGTGTGAGTATATAGCATCCTCTACTTTAGGGGGTAAACCTAGCTTGTGGCATAGACCACTACGGTTCAAATAGAGATATGCTACAGTGCAAATAGGAGGACTCATACAAAATTGCTGTATGTTTAAGCAAACGTATATAATCAAGCAAACAAAGGCGAAGGCCCGCGAGTGAAGATGAAGATGTGGGAGCAAGTTTGCTGGCTGGTGGAAATCACAATGGCAGCAATCAATGGTGTCTGCCTGTCGGTGGCTCACCGACCTGCTGTTCATCCCATGTCTGCTTGCATGTTTGCTCGCTTCATTGATCAATAGAGGACCGCTTCTTACGCAGGCATACACGGCGATCTGATCTCTTGATGCCTCCGGTCACGCAGACGAGGCGGTCAAAAAGAGAAGCGTTGATTCACCGCATGCATGCATGAAGCATAGAGCATGCCGATTTCGGTGTATTCATTACACAATAGCAAGTATAATGAAAAAGGGTGCGTAAAAATAGGAAAGGAAAAGAAAAAAGGTGCTCCGTTTATGAGCCGAGGAGAGAAGAAGGGCACGAGAAGGTTTTTTTTTTTTTCGGTGGACATTGCTGGAGAAGAAAAAGAAAAAAAACCTGCATTGATTCACAAAGATTTTGGGAGGCTACCAGCTTTACTTGCCCCTTTTTTTTTCGCCAAAGCTGGGAGTTTTATTCTTCTTTTTACTGTGTTTTGCGGTTTGGTGGATTGATAATATTGTTGTTATTGCCGATAGACGTCTGCACCTTGTTCAAAAGAGATCAATTATACGCAAAGAGAAACTAGAGTAAGGAAGCCGAGACTAACATCAGCATATATGTGAGGAGAAAGTGAAGCGTGAAAGTGGGAACCAACAAGAAGTACGTTTGCTGCTTGCTATCTCTTTTCCTCAAAATGTCAAGCACTGCTTCCTCTCTCTCCCCTCTCCTTCTTTTTTTTTTTTCCTTTTCCTGCTTATAGCCCAAATATTTTTGGTGCTGCTTGTGCAAATCTTCGTCCTTTTATCGAGCACACACATATATATCATGGGGGGCACACTTTGTGCCATTGTGACCTGATATGTTTGGTCATTTGCTTTTTTACGGTTTCTGCACTCATTTCTCGTGCTCGGGCCATTTATTTTGTATACGGCAGAGAAGCAATGCTCTGCTGCTGCTTCACTCTACATTCAAACGAGAAAAAAAAAAAACAGCTTGTATCGTTTGTTGCGCTTCTTTCTTTTTGCCTTGAGCAGGAAGAAATAGAAGCAGAGCAAAGGAACAGACAAGAAGCCAAATTGGGCAAGAATTTTTACTCCCTAGCTTAAGATCTCCTTTTTTCCCCTTCCTCCAACATTTTTTTTTTTGTTTCCTTTAAATCCTTTCTGTTACTTTTATTTACTCGACTCTGGCGTTTTTGGACTTTGCTAACGTGTTTACCGTTTGTTCTCTTGATAGGTGCTCTTTGCCACAAGCCTCCTAGCCAAACACTTGTATGGGGGCTCTCTGTCCTCATACGATTTGATAGTCGTTTCAAACACATTCTCCTTGCTCCGAATCTTCAGTACGCACTTCCATTGCAGAAGAGGAGGAGAAAGGAAGGGAAAAGCTTCAGATGTCGTCGATTGGGAAACGCTCGTTGCGTCTGCCTGCCTCGCCGGTAGAAGGACAGGCCAAACGACGCCGAACAGCCGCTTCTCAGCCCATGACTGCCGATGTGAACTCTGCGAATGTTGGGCCTCCTTCTCCTTTTCCCCAGCCAACATCAGCGGGGTTCACGCCCAAGATTCCGTTCCAGCATCTGCCGCAGATGCCTGCTCAGCAGCAAGCGGCGGTGCCGTTCCACGCCCAGGACGCAGGGCGGGCACATCCAAGCCGATCTTGGACATCCAGCCCGGCACTGCGCATGGGCAGCTGCTCGCTGGACGAGATGCTGTTGACGATGCCTCACGGCCTTGCCTCTGCCGAGCTCGGCCGCCGCAAAGACGACTTGCGATATGAAATCGACTACCAGGAGCGCAACCCGCCGGTGCTGCCCCCGTCCAGAGTCAAGGATTTACCGCCCAAGCCGTTTATCCCGGAATTCCACAAGTTCCCCGAAGGAATCAGCGACCACGAGCGCCTGGAAATCGAGTCACGCAACAACACGATTGCGGCGGAGCACCAGAAGATTGACCGCCAGCGGAACAACCAGGCGGCCAAGAAGTCGCGGCAGGCACGCCTCGAAGCTCTCAACAACACGCGGGTGCTGCTCAATGAAAAGACGGCCGAATGTGCCTGGTTTAGGATGAAGGTGCTTGCGCTGGGCGGCAACACGGCAGACTGGAACAACGTGCCGGCGGGAGTCAAGACGCGGCTCGTCAAGGAAATCGACGGACGGGTCAAGACGGTTGAGATGGAGGTTGCGGATGTGAAGAAGAGAGAGGAGGCCAAGAAGAGGGCGGACCGGAATAGGCGGCGGGCGGAAGTGAAGAAGGATGAGGAATCCCAGCTGTCGCAATCCTCTCAGCGGTCGACTGTGAAGAAGATGAAGGAAGATGACGATGATGAGTATGATGGGGAGTAAAGCAAACAAGGAACTTGGTGGGAAAACAACCAACAAAAAAAAAAGGAGGAGGAAGGCGTTTTGAAGAATCGAATCGACATTAGCACCAACTTATATGTTTTGAGGCGAGCGACTTTTATTTGAAGAATGATTTGGGGGGTTTTTGTTTTATTCTTTTCTATTTTCTAATTTTTTTTTCCTTTCTTTTTTGGGAGGTAAAAGGAGAAGAACGGGAAATTTGTTGTTTTTTTGTTTTGTTTGTTATTACACTATTTGGCTCCATGGTTCTAAAAGAGAGCAGAGCAAAGGATCTATTCTGTGGGCTGTTTTTTTTTTTTTTTTTCCTTTCCTTTCCTTTTTCTCTCTTCTTTTCTTTAAGCAAGCATAAAAACGTATGTATCGGGGATTTAGAAGAATATGGTGTTTTTGATGTTTGGAACAAACTTGATAGCCTTTTTTTTTTTATCACTCTTCTCTTTTGTTTCCTGTTTCTCTCGCCTTTGGCACAACTTACGCAACTCTACTCAGATAGATGGTGTTATGGAATGAAATATAGCATTGTTCCTAGTGAAAAATTCCTCTCCCATCTTCATTCTATCTAATCCATCTATCCGTTTTTTGCCCATCATTGTCGTCATTACGTGTTCCTTCGTGTCGTAATAGTAGCCGCTGTAACTCTATAACATGTATTCCCAATTCCTCAGTTCCGTCTATGAACTAACCGGCCCTTGACCCAGACTCTCTTCGTGTTCCGGTCATCGCCGTTGTACAGCCATTTGGCTATTCTGTCGTCCCAGCTCTCCCACCCAAACACATCCACGAAGCCATCGTTGTCGTCTTGCTCTTCTAGGCCTCCATCGTCACTCACTTGACTTAGAGACACCAACTGCGCGTCCCACTCCATGCCTATTTCGAAACCTCCAATCTTGTCTTGCAGTCCCACGCATCGGGCGCCTCCCCTTGTGGCAAGGTACAGCACCTCTTCCACCGTCAGCTTGACCCTCTCCTTCTCCCTCTCGGCAGCAGCAGCGTCATCACCTTGAGGAACGTGGATGCCCATCGCCACATGGCGGCTCACCAGCGCGGCCTGCCTCGCCGCCTCGAGGATCGAAGGGCTGTATCCGCCGCTCATGTCCGTGCCCAGGCCGACGTCGATGCCCTTGTCCCACATCCAGCGCACGCGAGCCGGCCCGCTGGTCAGGCACGTGTTGCTGCACGGGCAGTGGGAGATTTTGGATCCCTTGGCGGCGATGAGGCTTGCTTCGGCGTCGGAGATGTGCACTGCGTGCGCGAGGACCGTCTTGGGCGTCAGCAGGCCGTACTTGTCGTAGACGGCGGCGTACGAGTCCGCCTCGGGGAACATGCGCCGCACGAGCTGCATCTCGCCGAGGTTCTCCGAGATGTGTGTCTGGATCGGGAGGCCCGTCTCGCGATGCAGCTGCGCCAGGCCGGCCATGGCCTCGCGCGTGCACGACGGGGCGAAGCGAGGCGTCAGGATGGGTGAGACAAGGTCGAATCCCGGGTCGATGCCGCGCACATGGTCAACCGTCTGCCGCGTCGCCCGCAGCGTCTCGTCGGCGTCGGCGTCCCGGTAGTATTCCGGGTTGATCTCCGGGTCGTCCATGCAGGCTCTGCCCACAAAGGCGCGCTGGCCCAGCGACAGGCACAGGTCGGCCAGCAGATTCGTCGCGGCGACGTCGAGCGTGGCGTAGTAGGTGGCCGTGGTGGTGCCGTGGGAGAGCGTGCGGCGGACGCAGCGCGAGTAGACGCGGCGGGCCTTGGGCAGGTCGCTGAGGCTGGCCTCGAGGGGGAAGGTGTATGTCTCGAGCCAGTCGAGGAGGCTGGACTTGCCGAAGATGCCTGCGTTGGCGTACTGGGGGGCGTGGATGTGCGTGTCTGCCATGTACGGTCAATATCATCGTCATCGTCATCATCATCGATTTGGCACTTCTCAACTCACCCACAAAGCCGGGGAAGAAAAACTGCCCCTCGGCAGCCTCCGTCACATCCACCTCTGCTTCACTCCAGCCGAGCTGCTTGAATAGCCGTTCCTTGGCCTCGCTCACATCCGCCACGTCCCGCTCAATGGAAACAATCTTGCCCTGCTCATCGACCGCCACTGCAGCGTTGTGGAGGAACTCGAGATGCTGCTGCGTCCTGGAGTGCACAAACGTGCCCAGCAGCAGCAACTTTCTCTGCGGTGACATGATTTGCTCTTTTCTTTTGCGTGTGGCAATTCGTATCTATCCAGTCTTGATCTCACTCTTTTTTTGTTTTTGTTTTCAAGGCTTCTGATTCTCTCTCCCTTTTCACCCGATATGTACTCGTTTATATAGCATACATCTATCAGTTTATCGACCTGTTCCACAACGTCAGCAACACTCTCACACAAACAAGACACGCCCACATTGAGAATATGCACAACACCAACAGTCAACAAGCAGGCAAAGAATATCCAGTCTCACCGTTTTTATCCTATTCAATCAATCGCTCAAGAACCCCATCAGCTCAAGAAAATAAAAGAATGAGACGCTGCTCCTGCTGGGTTATTAAATAGAGCTGACAAGCTCACCCTGAAAAGCCCCGGTATTTCGAGGTAACCCCATATTGCCGACTTTGGGGTAACGCCAAATCTTGCCCACCCAGCAGATAACAAAAAGTGCCTGGTAATCATGCAAGGGACCGGTTTGTCAAAAAGCGGCTAAGCTCGGCGGTCGCCGCTGACCGATGAGGCAACGGTTTGCACCGCTTTTTCTCGTTGTCTTGGGCTCTTTTAGTTAGTCAGCGGGCTTTGAGCTGTGATACACGATAGACGGCATTTTGGGCAGCATATTTTGTTTATCAATCAATTCGTCAGATTATGCGTAGGAATTGGCATGGCATTGGTATTAGCAGAAGCTATTCATATGTTTATTCAACAATATCTCGTTATTCCAAATCACACACATACGGAGAAAATGGGACAGGTGATGAGGAGATCAATAATCACATCTTTGCACACGTAGATAATCGTAATGGCACAAACATTACACAAAAGGCAAAAAGGCAAACTAGAAAATCAAAGCCATTGCATTATACGTCTATTTTCATGACAAATTCATCAGCAATTAAATAATTCACAGGCTTCTATTGGCCTTCATCGCGTCCCGTGCCGTCCACCAATTTATATCATAGTAATACCCCTTTCCCATAATGCGCTTCGTTCATTGCCTCTCATCTCGCCTAGCAAAATGTTTTTTTTTTGTCTTGTGCATCATCTCCATTCTGCCACACCCAACCTTCATCTTCTTTTCATTCCTTACGCAGCCAGACCAGCACCCTCATGGTCGGCACTGGCGCCACTCTCGCTGCTAGTCGTCTCCTCATCCTGGACGTACTTCTCCCAGTTGGCCAAGATGGCGCCAATCTTGGGAGAGTTGGTCAGCTTGTACACGTCCTCAAAGTACTCCTTGGTGAGCGCAAACGGCTTGGCCGTCACGTTGGGAATGTACTTGCCCACCAGCTTGGACGGGTCAATGGTGGTCTTGTGGATCTTCTTGAGCAAGAAGGATCGGAAAGGCTTGACACCAGATCGCAAAAAGGTCGAGTGGAAGGGCACGTCGATGCCTCGGAGAGGGATTGTGGCAAAGCCACGCTCCAGCTCCAGCGGCAGAGGCTTCTTGAGAGTCGCCTCGGCGCATCCGCGGATAATCTTCTGCAGAGCGCCCTTGGCCTCCTCAATGTTGTTGCGCATCTCTTCAATGTCAATCTTCTGCATCTTGAGGAAGTTGGTCACTCCTCCGAGCGTGTCCAGAGCGCGCAAGTCACCGGCGCACACGTACTGCATGTTGGCAATGTTGTAGTTGACAATCTCCAGCAGCCAGCCAGTCTCTTCCGCAATCTTGTCAACGACAAACTGAAGCGCCTCTTCGTTGAATGTCTTTGAGATGCGACTGGGGTTGACGGCGCACATGGAGTAGTTGGATCGACCGCTGGCGTCACGCTCGACGGCCACCTGCATCGTCAGACCACGGTAGAAGACGACCGACACCAGACTCTCAATGGGCATGACCTCTGCCAGGGCAGCCAGGGCAGAGTATTCTCCCAGAGAGTGACCGGCAAAGGTGCTGTCTCGGGGGACGAGGCCCTTGGACTTCATGTCCTCGAAGCTGGCCTTTTCCATCAGGGTCAAGGCGGGCTGAGTAAACTGAGTGGCTGACAGCAGGCCAGTTGGTGATCTGTAAGTGTAGGAAGTCGTCTTCTCGTCAATGTCCTTGAAGATTCTCTCAGACTTGACGGTGCCATCTGCAGCCACCGTCTCGAAAGTCATGGCCATGTAGTTCTGGCGGATCGCCTTACCCCTGGGGCCACCAAAGTGCACAGTGAGCTCCTTGGGGTTGTTCTTGACAATGTTGGTGATGGAGAAGCCGTAGTTGTCAAGCAGGTACTTGTCAGCACGGTCCCAGACGTCCTTGGCCACAGGGCTGCTGCCATAGAGATCCATACCCATGCCTTGTTCCTGTGAACCTTGTCCAGTAAAGACATATGCGGTCACAGGCTGCTCAACTTCGGCCTCGCCCAGAAGAACCTTCTCCTCCGTCTCGGCATTGCTGGCCTCGAGCTTGATAATCTTGCGTCCAGTCACCATGCCCACGTGCTGCAGCTTGACTTGGATGGAGTCGTTGGGAAGAACCATGCCAACCAGCGAAGCGTGGAAGCTACGGACTCGGCCAACGTTGTTCTCAGCAGCCCATGTTTCGACCAGGCTTCGGACCGCAGCGCTGCTGTACATGCCGTGGGTGATGGTGCCGGGAAGGTTGGCATACTCCGAGAAGACGCGCGACACGTGGATGGGGTTATAATCGCCAGACACGCGGGCATACGTCTCGTTGGAGGCAGGGGCGCGGAGCTGCAGAGGAGTCCTGCCGCTCAGGGGAATGGCATTCTCAAAGTTGACCGGCTGGTCCAGAGGGGTACCGTTACGCTCAAGGTAGTCAATGACGGGGTTGCCGTGAGACTCGCCAGCCTCGTAATCGACACTGGCGACCTGGATGACCTCCTTGGTAGGCAGCTCCAGCAGGACCTGACCACGGGTCTCCACACTGCTGAAGACGCTGTTGTTCTTGAATCGCACAAGGCTTTGCAGGCGGAATGTCAGCGTCTGGCCAAGCAGGTCAATCTCGTTGGGCATCTCGTCGAGAGTGAACCACTGCTTGGATCGCAGCACAGCCACGTCCTTGGTGGTGGCCAGGTGCACCTGAACTGGTGTCTCGTCCTTGCGCTGGAAGGTGTTCTCAAAGTCCGTGTAGGTACCGCGGTACAGGAACTGAGAGGTGACTTCCATCACGGGCTTGCCATCTCGGCTGATGGTACCGCAAACCTCAACCATCTTGCCAGAGTCCTGGTTGATGACGGCGTTGATTTGTGCAGTAGTCGAGACCTCATCGCCCTTCTTGAGGGGCTCAGCGCCAGGAATCATGCGGAAGCCGTTGGAAAGGTGCACCAGCTTCAGCAAGTCACCGTCAATGGTGCGGGGGAAGATGGGTTTAGTGATGGCCTTCCATCCCAGCACAATCGCAAAGTCCATGGGCGCATACATGATCTTGCCAGGTCGGTCAACGAAGGCTTCGCCAGTGTTGCCGACGGCGTGAACAAAGTCATTGATGGCTTCAGCAGTGATAGTGGTGCTGCCTCCGTCAAACTTGCTCGTGACCATGGCATCGAGATCCAGAGGCTCCTCGCCAAACCATGCCTTCCAGTAAAACTCCTTGATGCGGTCATTGCGGCCCTCCATGACTTCATGGATGGGAGCATATCCAGCATCGGGGCGGTACAGGAATTTCAAAGGCATAGCAACCGGAGTTCCCAGAGCAGTAGTCTCCTTAATCATGTTGACGAGGATCTCCTTCTCGCCATTCAGCTTGACCTCAACCACATCCACATACTGGTTGTGTCTCGGCTGCTCCTTGACGACAATGGTAGTCTTGGAGGGGTCGTTAGGGTACTGAATCTCGACGTAAAGGCCTCGGACAGGGGCAAAGATGCGGCGGATGGGGTTGGTTTGGAACTTCTGGCCTTGAACAACAACATCCGACATGAGAAGAGCGTGTCTCCAGTTGCGGTTAGGTCCCGCAAGCAGTGACAGCCAGGAGTCGAGAGAAGGCATGGCGCTGGCGGGAGATGAAGAGAGACGGTAGGTGTTCTTGTGAGTGTCATAGCTGACAGTAAGGCCTTCGACGTCGAGAGGGATCTCTGCATCGACAAGCTTGCCACCAAAGTATTCGGTGGCGGGGATTAAAGCCTCGTCGTCGTCGTACAGATCCTTGGTCAACGCCGCAATGTGAGCATTGTGGATGTTGTCCAGAATGTCCTTGATTGGCTCATCAATGACAGTAGAGAACTTGGCGGCGGTAGGGCCCTGAAGAATACAGGTTCGGCCGACGTCCTGGCCAATGACTGCGTCAAGGTCTTCCGACTGCCACAGAGAGTCCTTCTTGAAGTAAAACTCAAAGTTCTCGTCAAGAGCAGGAATGAAAGTGACAGGCTTCTGGCCGGGGCGCAGGCACAGAATCAAAAAGTACTGAACATCCTGTGCGTTGATGATCTGGTGCTCGGCTTCGGGATAGCTGGCGAGGATGCGGTCCACAGTGCTGAAAGGCTCCTCAAGGTCAGCGTAGCTTTGGAGGAGAGAAGGCTGGCCGGCCTTTGTGGTGAATCGCTCCTCGACTCGGTGGATGAAATCACCAGTGAGTCTAGTATAGGACGCGTCAATCCATCGAGATTGGTGCTTGACGTAGAGCAGCTCAACCAGGCGTCGGACAACCTCTGCGTAGGTCATGTCCTCGAGGTCCACGGCCTTGCCATCCTTGTTGCAACCAAACCAGACCTTCTGGAAGTCATCATTCAGCTTCTTGATGATGTGGTCTCGGTTCTTCTTGAGCTCGGCAACTCTCTTCTCCTTGGGGATGTTGAAAATCTTCTGGTCCATCTCAGCCCAGAACTTGACACCGCGAGTGGCCAGCTTGTGAATTGGCTCGCCCATTTCCGAGCGCACAGTGATGACGCCACCGGCAGGGCCCTTGTAGGTCATTTCCCACTGTCCATCATCGAGACCAGGAGCGTCGATAATGGCCTGCTTGGCGTTCTTGCTGGTGTGCGCCTCCTTGGCTACCATCATACGGCTACCAAACAGGCAGCCGTCAAAGGGCATGGGGGGGTATCCGTACTTCTTAGCCCAGTCACCGGTGATGTATGGGTAAGTATCATCAGCACCACCGAAGCCACTGCCTGCAACCAGGATGATGTTCTCCTGTCTGCGGATGCGGCCATACATCTGAAGGATAGGCTGGTGGAAATCTTCAAAAGAGTGATGACCACCGCCACGGCCACCAGTCCACTGCATGATGACAGGGAAGGTGGGGTTGGCCTTGGCAATGTTGATGACGGCTTGGATGGCTTCAACTGAGCCAGGCTTGAAGGCAATGTGCTTCAGTCCCAAAGTCTCAATGTACTCCTGGGCGACCTCAATCGAGGGCACACCGGCACCAATGGTCAAACCTTCGATCGGCACACCATCAGCACGGAGTCGGCCAAGCAGGGGGATTTGCCAGCCCATGGCGCGAGGGTTGACGTAGATGAGGTTGACTGTGATACCGCGGCCAGCGGGAATGGCCTTTTCGATCTTCTCCAGTGCCGCAGTCATGTTCTTGGCGTTGAAGTAGCCGCCGCCAGCAAGCTCAATGTGGTATCCAGCGTTCATGGTAGCCGCAACAAAGTCCCACGGGACAGTTGCAGGGGTCATACCAGCGACCATGATCGGAGGGATGCCAAGAAGACGGCTCATCTTGGTGTCCACATACTTTCTGCCGCTCGCTGTCTTGATCAAGCGTGGGCCATGCTCCTTGACCCAATCAATGGCAAACTTGACGGCGTTTTCCTCATCTCTATCAAAGATCTCAGGCTTGTATCCGAGCTCGCCCATGGTGCCCTCAATGGTACCAGCAAGGATGACGCGGATACCAGTTCCCTCCTTGTTTCGGCTCGTCAGGGCTCCAAGGCCGGAGATTCCGCCTGGGCCAAAATCAAGGATGTGGCTGGCCTGGGGGAAGACCGTCGCCTTCTCCCAGTTAACGGGATCCCGGGTGATGAGTCGGACCAAAGCCGGCACGATGTTGCCATTGGCTTCAGCACGAAGGTCCTTGCCAGTGTTTGTGTCGTAAACAGGAATTCCCAGAGCGCTGGAGTCAATGCTGATGTCCTTGAGGTCTTCATCAATGAGGACAGTGGCGTCTTCCAGGTACTTGCTGTGGAAAGGAGCGGTAATGGGAAGGAATCTGTTGGAGAATCGGACCTTTCGCTCAGTGTGAGGGACTCGGGTCTGATCCAGACCGGTCGGGGCCTTCACCTTGCGGAGTTGAGAGTTCAAACCGTACAGCGAGGTAGGAGGACCAGTGACAACGAGGTTGCGAGGGCTGTTGATGAGAGAAACGCCAATGTGACGGTGAGGAGGAAGGTATTGATTTGTGGCGTCAATGTGCCTTTGAACTTCCTCCTGGGACAGGTCACGGATGCTCAGCATTGGTGTAGGAAGACCTTCACCGTGCTCCTGAGACTCTCGAAGCATTGTCGGAGTCATGGATGTAGTAGGGAAGGCCTGCTGGCTTCGTGTACCAATCCAGAACAGGACGGTCAGAATAGAGGTGGTGATTTCGCGCCACGAGTCCCAAGAGTCGGCCGCGGCCGTGGCAGCTGCCATGACAATACCTTGGGAGTGACCAGTGGTTCCACTGATTCGCTCTCTGAGGAGACCAGGGTGAATGCCCAAAACCTTGCAAGTAACCTCGTAGTGTGCCATCTGAACCAGTCCAATCAAAGGGAAACTGACGGGTGCGGTAATCAAATAGTCGACATCTGGAGTGGCCTCTGGCCTGTGAAGCCACGTCAAAATGTCCAGGCCCTTGGGGAACATCTTCTCCGCGCTAGGGTGGCTGGAAAGAGTCTGCAGAAGCTCGGCAGCATTCGCAATGAGCTCTCCAACAAAGCTTGAGTATGTCTTGGAGATCTGGCGAAGCTCGTCAAAGTACTCCTCAATGTTACCCTGGCCGCCAAAGATGGTGTAGATCTTGGCTGAGTTGTCGTCAGCAGCTCTCAGAAGGGCAGACTCGTGAGGCTTGATGGTCCGGTTTGAGACGGCCCGAGCATTATAGTAGCATCGAATCACCTCGAGCTTTTTCGACTCAATGCCGGGCAGGGTTGCTGCCAGAACGTGGACCTCATTGCCTTGCAGGAAAGCCCGCTCGAACTCGTTAAGAATGAGCTTGAGGACCTCCTCATAGGAGCCCTGCGAATCATCCTCTCCCTCCTCTACGTCGGCGGCAATAAAGCCCAGATATCTGGCAACCAGCTCGGGTATGGATGAAGGCTCATCATCTTGAGCGAGCTCGTCGGTTGCTGGAGGTAGGTTGACAACAAACCGATCTTTCAATTCAGAAGCGTGGAAGTGGAGGTTGGTCGGGACGAGAAAGGAGGTTTCGAGAGAGCCGTGGGACAGAGTCAGAGGTCGCAGTGAAGCGCTAGATCGAGGAGTAGAGATGCCCGTCTGAGGGCCAGTCGCAGTCCCGTACATGGTGGCGGTGTGAGGAGGGTATAAGGAAGATTGAGTCTGCGGGGTACTTTGGTCAGTGGGATTCTTTTTCTCTCTCTCCTTCACATGATGGCGGTTTCAGTGGATGGCATACCTAATGCAATTAAGAACTATTAAGCCAAAGACAGGATGTCACTCGTATGTCTTTGTCTGGTTTGCCAAATTGGAGACCAAATCGAAGCTTTTTTTGACTTTGAAAGGCGCGCAAAGCCCAGCCCAAACAATAGAAGAAAATGGTTGCCTGAAGAAGCGAAGTCTTACAGATGGTTGGCAAAAAGAACAGGGCGGGCAAGCTTGGAGACGTGAGAGCAGCAAGGCACAATCACACCAACGAAGCAGGATGAAGTTGAATGAAGAAGGGAAGAAGAGCAGTGCGGCCACTATTAGGAAAAGAGGGAGCCGGACGAGAGGAGGGGGAGGTGAAGCCGGGATTTAGGGTCCAGATGCCGCTCAACGTCCAAGTCGCGGCGGCGCTAATGAAAAATCACAGTCGCTGCCAATGGCCAGGATAGCGATGTACAGCGCATGTACATTGGACCCTACGCCGCGATCTCGTGGAGGGAGCTTTACTTTTTGCAACACGCGCGCCAAAAAATTTAGTTCTGTTGGGGATAAGTCCAGAATTTCCCCTTGCCCCAGAGCAACGACCAAACCCCACCATGAACAGCGATAAGTACCGGTACAAGCAACCCCATTATTTTGAAGGGAGTGATACTGCAGCCTGCCTGTAGAGCGTTGAGCATGCTATCATGCAGAGAGGATCTATCTCGATGCAACGCAACCTCTTTTTTCATGCATAAGTGGCTGGCTAATGAGGCGCAGATAATTGGAGAGAGAAGAACCATAGAGAGAATCTTCAGGCTGAGGTGCATGCAAGCGACGTAGTGAATTGCCCATCTTAGTAGAGATAGGTACTGAATGGCAGAGTTAGTAGACGCCATACCGGTTGTTTCTTTTACCACAGGGCTGAGAAAACTCAATTGATAGCCAACTATCCACCTTCGATTCAGAATACAATATATCGGCTTACAGTGGGATATGACGCAAACCTTGACCCTACCTACCGAGTATACAAGCAATGAAGGCTGCTTCAACTGCCGTCTTCGACGGCTGAGGCCGGTGGGAGATCAGTAAACCAAACAAGATCAGTAAACCAAAAGGTAAACAAACCAAGTAAACAAACCAGCTCGTCCCAGCATCAATCCAAGTATACCAAGCCCGGAGACATTTGATAATCCTTCATAATTGCTTTGGGGCTTCAACATTTTGGAGCTTCCTTTAGTAATCCCCAGCTTTCATCCGGCTCCTTTCGGACATCCAACGTCTTACACGTATCTACGAGATTTCATGGAATCATTGGCGGACGTTGATAGAGCCCGCCGGCCCGCAAGCGGCCATTGGCAATCGCCATGTCATGGATGGCAGACAAAACAAGCATGGAACACAATGCAATGGTCAGAAGCCTAGCTATGTGTCTACGAAATATGCTTCGAAATGCCCCTCCAGTTGGGGACGCTTTATGAGTCTTAATCCACAGTCAAACACCAGCCAAGATCCAATTGGTCGGCTCAGCCCCTTAGAATTTGTCAAAGATACACATTTTGACACGTAGAACTACTACATGATTCCATCATGCGGTGTTTAAGACAGACCAGCGATAAACGACGGTTGCTCTGGAGGCTGCGGATGGATGTGTTCATTGTAGGGGACGTGCTTCCCTAGTAGCGGTACCTGTACTTTCGCGCATTGCCCCCCTTCCCATCGAAACAACCATTTGCGAGTGGCGGGGTGCAACAAACTTTTTTTGGCCTTATCTTAGCAGCCAAGCCGTTCAAGGGACAGCCGGGTCGTATCGATATGGAAAATTCTTATCAGGACCCTGAAACCCGACTCAGCGGTCGGAATTCACCACCCCCAGCATGCTCCCTCTTTTGCACGTAATCACTGCACGCCATTGCTTGTCTCGCAACAATTGAGCGCTGCCATTCTCACTGGCATGTATGAGATATAGATAGAGTACTCTAGGCGCCCGCCGCCGCGAAAAGACCCCGCCGAGGGCTAAGCTGAGCAATATTCTCTGCTCGCCGCAGAAGTGGCTTCATGCTGGACCCGCGCCACGGCACCCAAAGCCGGCTCCAGCGGCTTAAGCCCCCTGGGGTCTAGCGCATGAATGTGGTTGAGAAGCCAAAGGCAGCAAGAGCAGGCCAGAGCCACCTGCAGCAACCGCGTGGCGTGTGAGACTCGATGTAACTGCCTTGTACCCAAGTACCGCCGCCCTATTCCCCCCCAATCTTTTTTTCGTCGTCGTCCACTGACGGTGGGTCGTGATTCAACAATCGAGGCTCGCTTCCTTCTATCCGTCCAACCATCGCCGGGGGAATTGGAATAAGTCGTGCCTCGCATTGCCCTTGGTCAAATCCAGCTTTTCTCGCACCTCAGTCGGCGGGGAAGTCTTTGAGTCCGCCTCTAATCATAATCTTAACATCCCGCTTTCTTCCCGTCTCCCTATCTATCCTCTTTGCCCTCTGCAAAGCCCTTCTCTCCTCCCTGTAGCCCCTCCAAGGTACGGAGAGTCGGTTCAGAACACCAAGACTTGGTCGACAAGCCCAAGCAACACAAAACACCATAAACGTCTCCCGGGAAGGCGTTTGAGAACCGCAATCCACATCACCTGCGGTCTGATTCTCGACCCCGAACAACCCCCCCCTCATTCTTCTTATTAATACGCCCTCACGACGCACCACCGCCACCATGCGTCCTGAAGTTGAGCAAGAGCTCGCCCACACGCTCCTCGTTGAGCTTCTAGCATACCAGTTCGCCTCTCCCGTCAGGTGGATTGAGACTCAGGATGTGTTCCTGGCAGAGAAGACGGCCGAGCGCATCGTCGAAGTCGGTCCCGCAGATACCCTCGGAGTGATGGCTAAGCGCACATTGGCGTCCAAATACGAAGCCTACGACGCTGCCAAGTCTGTTCAGCGACAGATTCTCTGCTATAACAAAGACGCCAAGGAGATTTACTACGATGTCGACCCCATTGAAGAAGAGCCCGAGCCCGCTGCGGCCAGCTCATCAGATGCCCCCAGCCAGCCTGCTGCGGGCGCCCCCGCGGCTGCTGCTCCGGCTGCTGCTGCTGCTCCGGCTCCCTCCTCAGGACCTGCAGCCCAGGTTCCTGATCAGCCAGTGCAGGCTGTCGAAATTGTACACACCATTGTTGCACAAAAGCTCAAGAAGTCTCTTAGTGATGTGCCTTTGAGCAAGGCCATCAAGGATCTGGTTGGAGGTTAGTCAACCCCTCTTTCATTCCCCATTCTTCGTACACGAAGCCAGTCTGTCTTGGTAACCAATTCTAACAATGCATAGGCAAATCTACTCTTCAGAATGAGATTCTCGGTGATCTTGGAAAAGAATTCGGCTCAACGCCTGAGAAGCCCGAAGATACCCCTCTCGACGAGCTCAGCGTTTCCATGCAGGCCACTTTCGACGGCAACCTGGGCAAGCACACACAGTCACTCATCGCCAGATTAATCTCCTCGAAGATGCCTGGTGGTTTCAACATCACAGTAGCAAGAAAATACCTGGAAACAAGATGGGGCCTTGGTTCTGGTAGACAAGACGGAGCACTGCTGCTGGCTTTGACCATGGAGCCTGCTGCCCGTCTAGGCAACGAAGGCGAGGCTAAGGGCTTCCTTGACGGAGTTGTCCAGAAATATGCCGCCAGTGCCGGTATTAGCCTGACGTCTGCGGCTGCTTCTGGTGGCTCCGAAGGCGGCTCGGGAGGCATGATGATGGATCCCGCTGCCATTGACGCCCTCACCAAGGACCAGCGAGCCCTGTTCAAGCAACAGCTTGAGCTCTTTGCCCGTTACCTCAAGATCGATCTCAGGTCGGGCGACAAGGCGCACATTGAGTCTCAAAAATCAGAAAAGGTCCTGCAGGCCCAACTCGATCTGTGGACCGCAGAGCACGGCGACTTCTATGCCTCTGGTATTGAGCCCGTCTTTAGCCCATTGAAGGCGAGATCTTACGACTCGTCCTGGAACTGGGCCCGTCAAGATGCGCTCACCATGTACTATGACATTATTTTCGGTAGACTGCAGACTGTCGACCGTGAAATTGTCAGCCAGTGCATCCGCATCATGAACAAGTCAAACCCCAAGCTTCTCGAGTTCATGCAGTACCACATCGATAACTGCCCTACTGAGCGCGGTGAAACCTACCAGCTCGCCAAAGAACTTGGCCAGCAGCTCATTGAGAACTGCAAGGAAGTCCTGGAGCTGTCTCCTGTCTACAAGGACGTTGCCGTTCCCACTGGTCCTCGCACCACCGTCGATGCCCGTGGCAACCTCAACTACGAGGAAGTTCCTCGCACCAGCTGCAGAAAACTCGAGCACTACGTTCAGCAGATGGCCGAGGGCGGAAAGATCTCCGAGTATGGCAACCGCACCAAGGTTCAGAACGACCTGCAGCGTATCTACAAGTTGATCAAGCAGCAGCACAAGATGTCCAAGACCTCTCAGCTCGAAATCAAGAGCTTGTACGGTGATGTTTTGCGCTCCCTGGCCATGAACGAGAGCCAAATTCTCAAGGAGAACGGCAAGGGCCGAAAGTCGGGCCTGAAGGGCAGCAGCCTGAACAAGGGCAGGGTCGAGACCATTCCCTTCCTCCATCTCAAGAGAAAGACACTTCACGGCTGGGACTACAGCAAGAAGCTCACTGCTGTCTACCTCAACTCTCTCGAGCAGGCTGCCAAGGACGGCGTCACGTTCCAGGACAAGTATGTTTTGATGACTGGTGCTGGTGCCGGATCCATTGGTGCCGAGGTCCTGCAGGGCCTCGTCAGCGGAGGTGCCAAGGTCGTGGTCACTACCAGTCGATTCTCCCGAGAGGTGACTGAGTACTATCAGGCCATGTACACCCGTTTTGGCTCTCGTGGATCTCAAATCGTTGTTGTCCCCTTCAACCAGGGAAGCAAGCAGGACGTCGAAGCTCTCGTCAATTACATCTACGACGCTAAGACTGGTCTTGGCTGGGATCTCGACTACATCGTTCCTTTCGCTGCCATCCCTGAGAATGGCCGACAGATTGATAGCATCGACTCCAAGTCTGAGCTGGCCCACCGTATTATGCTGACCAACTTGATCCGCATGCTCGGTTACGTCAAGGCTCAAAAGGCTGAGCGTGGCTTCGAAACTCGTCCCGCTCAGGTTGTCCTTCCCCTGTCTCCCAACCACGGTACCTTTGGTAATGATGGTCTCTACTCCGAATCCAAGCTGGCTCTTGAGACTCTCTTCAACCGATGGCACTCTGAGGACTGGGGCCACTACCTCACAATTTGCGGTGCTGTTATCGGATGGACTCGCGGTACTGGTCTCATGTCTGGCAACAACATTGTCGCTGAGGGTGTTGAGGCGTTTGGTGTCCGAACTTTCTCTCAGCAAGAGATGGCTTTCAACCTGCTGGGTCTGATGTCCGCTACCATTGTCGATCTCTGCCAGTCAGAGCCCGTCTTTGCCGACTTGAACGGTGGTTTGCAATTCATCCCCAACCTGAACGAGGCCATGACCAAGCTTCGCAAGGATATCATGGAGACCAGTGAAATCCGTAGAATCGTTTCTAAGGAGAGCGCTATCGAGAACACTATTGTCAACGGAGCCGACTCTGAGGTTCTTTACAAGAAGAAGACCATCGAGCCTCGTGCCAACATCAAGTTTGACTTCCCTCATCTGCCCGACTGGAAGACCGAGGTCGCCCCTCTTAATGACCAGCTCAAGGGCATGGTCGACCTGGAGAAGGTAGTCGTCGTCACTGGTTTCGCAGAAGTCGGTCCCTGGGGTAACTCTCGAACCCGATGGGAGATGGAGGCTCATGGCGAATTCTCTCTCGAAGGTTGCATTGAAATGGCCTGGATCATGGGTCTCATCAAGAACCACAATGGTCCTCTCAAGGGCAAGCCTTACGCTGGCTGGGTTGACGCTAAGACTGGTGAACCCGTCGACGACAAGGACGTCAAGCAGAAGTACGAGAAGTTCATTCTGGACCACGCCGGTATCCGTCTGATTGAGCCTGAGCTGTTCAATGGATATGACCCCAACAAGAAGCAGCTGCTTCACGAGGTTGTCATTGAAGAGGACCTTGAGCCATTCGAGGCCTCCAAGGAGACTGCTGAAGAGTTCCGACGAGAACACGGTGACAAGGTGGAGATTTTCGAGATCCCCGAGTCTGGAGAGTTCACTGTGCGAGTGAAGAAGGGCGCCTCGCTCTGGATCCCCAAGGCTCTGCGCTTCGACAGACTCGTCGCTGGCCAGATCCCAACTGGCTGGGACCCCAAGCGATATGGTATCCCCGACGATATTGTCAGCCAAGTGGACCCTGTCACCTTGTTCCTTCTCGTGTCAACTGCTGAGGCTCTCTTGTCCTCTGGTATTACCGATCCATACGAGTTCTACAAGTACGTCCACGTCTCTGAAGTTGGTAACATTGTCGGCTCTGGTATGGGTGGTGCTACGGCCCTGCGTGGCATGCACAAGGCCAGATTCCAAGACAAGCCTCTTCAGAACGATATCCTGCAGGAATCCTTCATCAACACTATGCCTGCTTGGGTGAACATGTTGCTGCTCTCTTCGTCTGGACCTATCAAGACCCCGGTCGGAGCTTGTGCCACCGCTATTGAGTCTGTCGACATAGGTGTGGAGACCATTCTGGAAGGCAAGGCTCGCATCTGTCTTGTTGGTGGTCTCGACGACTTTGGTGAGGAGGGCTCTTACGAGTTCGCCAACATGAAGGCCACCAGCAACTCAGTAGATGAGTTTGCCCATGGCCGTACTCCTGGCGAAATGTCACGTCCTACGACCACGACCCGAAACGGCTTTATGGAGTCTCAGGGATGTGGTGTCCAGGTCATCATGACAGCCAGGCTTGCTTTGGATATGGGAGTCCCTATCCACGGTATCCTTGCTTACACCACCACTGCCTCTGACAAGATCGGACGTTCCGTCCCTGCTCCTGGCAAGGGTGTTCTCACGTCTGCGCGTGAGCACGCTGGCAAGTATCCTTCACCACTGCTTGACATCAACTACCGTCGCCGACAGATTGAGCGCCGCAAGAAGACGATTAAGCAGTGGGAAGAGTCTGAGCTGGAGTTCTTGCACGATGAAATCGATGCTATGAAGGCTCAGGGTGGTGTCTTTGACGAGAAGGAGTATGCTCAGGATCGCGTCGCACACATCCGGAGGGAGGCCGAGAGACAAGAAAAGGAGCTCCTCCGAAGCATGGGCAACAACTTCTGGAAGAGCGATCCCTCCATTGCTCCCCTCCGTGGTGCTCTTGCAACATGGGGCCTTACCATTGACGACCTGAGGGTTGCCTCTTTCCACGGTACATCCACCGGTGCCAACGACAAGAACGAGTCCTCTGCCGTTTGCCAGCAGCTGCGTCACCTTGGCCGAAGCAAGGGTAACGCCGTCCTGGGTGTCTTCCAGAAGTTCCTGACAGGTCACCCCAAGGGTGCTGCCGGTGCTTGGATGTTGAACGGTGGTCTGCAAATCCTGAACACGGGTCTGGTCCCTGGTAACAGAAATGCCGACAACATCGACCCCATCATGGAGGACTACGATCTGATTGTTTACCCCAGCCGTAGCATCCAGACTGATGGAGTCAAGGCTTTCTCTCTCACCTCGTTCGGTTTCGGACAGAAGGGAGCCCAGGCAGTCGGTGTCCACCCCAGATACTTGTTTGCCGTTCTCGACGAAAAGACATACCAGCAGTACTGCGCCAAGGTTGAGGCCCGACAGAAGAAGGCTTACCGTTTCTTCCACAACGGCATGATCAGCAACACTCTGTTCGTTCCCAAGGCTCACGCTCCTTACACCGATGAGCAGCTCAGCGAGGTTCTGATGAACCCTGATGCTCGTGTCACCGAAGACAAGAAGACCAAGGAGCTCAAGTATGCCGACAACTTCATGAAGGCGTCCGAAAAGGTTGTCCCTGCTGTCACTGTCAAGGAGACACAGCAGATCATTGAGGCGCTCGCTCACAAGGTGACAAGCAAGAGCAGCAACGTTGGCGTAGATGTCGAGGATATCTCTGCCATCAACATTGAGAATGACACTTTTATCGAGCGCAACTTCACTAGCCAGGAGATTGCTTACTGCAAGAGTTCTGCTAGCCCCCAGAGCTCTTTCGCTGGCCGATGGAGCGCCAAGGAGGCAGTCTTCAAGTCTCTTGGCGTCGCCAGCAAGGGAGCCGGCGCTGCCCTGAAGGATATTGAGATCCTCAAGGATGACTCTGGCGCCCCTACTGTTACTGTAAGTTGACACTACCTATGAAACATGTTGAGCGAAAGAATTATTTGGATGCAGATTGCTAACATGTTTTGAAATAGCTTCATGGCGATGCAGCTGCTGCTGCCAAACAGGCTGGCGTGAAGGAGGTTTCCGTCTCCATCTCACATGCTGACAAGCAGGCTGTTGCCGTGGCTGTGGCTCACTTCTAAGGGACACATGGATGATGCGTTGGGTTATATATCATGTTAGAATGGGGTGTGAATAGGTTTAAAATGAGAGCGGCGTTGTCGCAAAGCAGGAGGCTTAATGACTTGGGATTTTTATGTGTACCATGGGACTGATGACGACCTATGACGATGAGAACAAATTTATTAAATCTTTTTGAAGCACGAGTTTCATCAGGATGTTTTAGTTAGATGGCCCTAATTGAAGGCCAATCAATATTTTTTTCTATATATATTTTTTCAGTAATTGTGATTTCGCGTATATCCATCCTATAAACGTTCATGCATATCGGATTAAACATGCCAGCGGCAGGCATAAGACGCCAAGTGTGTCTATGTACTCCGAAGCAATAGCGGCCACCAGAGCTTTAATATCCAAAGCCAAAACAAAAATTTCCAGTGGGTATCGAATGATTTTCGTAGATGAACGGTAGCCGCACAAGATAGGTACCTAGGTGTCTTTGTCTTGGGAGGATCTCTTTTCGTCGCAGCCGCGGCCACCTCCATTATTTGAAGAGCTCATCCCTTTTCTTTCTTATCTTGTCCAGGTGACATCCGTTGATAATACCATTGTCACGACCGTAGCATTCCCCTAGAACCCTCCCCCTTTCCTTCTTCTTCAATATTCTATGCATATCATCGTGGTTATTTGTTTCATCCATTATCGTCGCACTTTCTTCCCTTCTTACTGCCCACGTCCCCTGCCGCGACCTCTGCCTCCACGGCCTCGCCCTCTGTCGCCGCCCCCACGGCCGCCGTGACCGCCGTGATCGCCTCTTGACTGGTGGCCGCCGCGACCGCCACGGAATCCGCCGCCTTGCTGGTTCTTCTGCTGCTCGGTGACTTGGTCGATGATCTCGTCGGGAACACGAAGGTACTTGATCTGTGATGCAAGAGGCGTTAGCTAAGCTTGCTGGGTGTGTTTCCGGGCAAATGAGGTTGGATGGTATCAGCGTACGTTATTTCCCTTGACGTAGACTTCTGGCAGACGCATGAATTTATCTCCTTCCTGTTATACTATTCGTTAGGAAAAAGACGCCTCGTTACTTCGTTGAGGGAGGGCATTGGTGAGCGTACAGGGCTTGTCTGCACGACTTCTTTGAGGGTGAGGTTCATCCACGTATCGCACATGACCAGGTGTCCGTTGAGCGTCTCTCCATTCTTCAGCTCGACCAGCATGGGGTGGCCCTGAGCGGCATTGAGCAATCCGAGGGGAAGCTGCCATGATGCGCGAATCGGTCGTTAGTTTCGGCTGGTCGAGGGGAGGAGATTGAGCATACCATGGCGGTTGATTGCGCCTCTAATAGGCGCAGCTAAACGAGCTTTTTGCTAGTTTGCCACGTTGTAAGGGTTGTTGTCGCGTTGAGGAAGGGGATAAAGCAGCTTGGCTTGGTGGGTTTTTGGCTGAGGTTGCGAATTGGAGATCGAGGTGTAGTCAGAAAGCTGCTAGAAGAAACCCCGCCATGTGCATGACCCCGGCTAGCAAAGTACTGCGGCGGGCTGTTCTGCGCCGAAAAGGTACTTGCTTGCGCACCGGAAGGTTTCCGCGCCAAAATATCGCTTTTGATATCTCAACTTTTGATCTCACACACAACGTTGCTGAGACGGACAGAAGGAGTATTTTTGGAATTCTCTTATCTCAATTTGAAGCAGGTTGACTATGCAGCGCAAATTGCTCAGTGACGGGCTATGGCGCTGTCTGTGCCCGTCTTTTGACCAATTGGTCCTGCGCACAGCGATTCGACAAAGCTTGCCTCGCACACGACCAGCAGTATCACGGCCTTGTGCCGCCAGATCAGGGCCAATTTACGTGCGGTGCTATGGGACAACTGCTGGCTTTGCATCAAGAGATGAAGTCCAGCCTGGAGAAGATGGCAGTCGCTTCACGAGTTCTAAGCTACGGTCCTGGAAGGACAGGCTTCTCGCCTCCACAGCGCCATCAGAGGAGACGCTGAAAGCAAGTACGGTTGAAGAGATTTTTGCGGCCCTGAATTCTCTTCGAGAGGCGAGGGATCGGATGTCGACCAGCAGCCCAGAAATCGACCAGCATCAAAGAATAGTGCAGCTAGTGCAGCATCTACTGCAGGTCGAGGATCAGCCAATCACACCTTATCTTTACGAGTGTCTAATGGACGCCATGGCTCATCCTCGAGGCTCCGTTGATGGTGCCCGCCGACTGCTTGACGACATGGTTGAACAGGGGATAAAGCCAACGGCGGAATTATGCAACGGCGCCCTGAGAGCGCTGATGAATCATCCGGATTACATACTGCGCCAAGAGATTCTGGGTATTATGCAGGAATACTGGTTTACAATTGATACACCGGTGAAGCAGACGGTTATAGTGGGAATGCTCAGAGATGAGCAATATGAGCTGGCATATGCAAGGCTAACGGAGCTGATTGAGCAAGGGGCCAGAATTGACCCCTGGGTCTACGACATATTCATTCTGGTATTTGGGAAGCTTAGATTTCTAGATGAAATGCTACAGCTTCTGTATAGGCGCAAGAACATTGGTGGCAGTACCGACCCAATTGTCATCACCTTGACATACTACGCATTGGACATGTGCAGCCAGTCATACCACCATGCGGGCACTTTGTTTGGGTGGCTCTCAGTCGTGCAAAATCATCTTGTGCAGCCGTCGGATGGCATCATAGAGAATGTGTTAGGAACAGCAGCTAGAAACGCAGACGCGCAGCTGGCGACGGAGGCGCTGGATCTGATATCGCAGCGAACGAGAGCTCAGTCTCACCACTACGAAGCCGTTGTGGAGGCTTTTACTGGCAGTGGAGACCTGGCAGCGGCGATTCGAACTCTCTGCATCATGAGAGATGGCGGGATACGAATCTCACGCGCCAATACCAGGACGATTTACAAAACTCTGCTGAGTCGTCCAGAGCTCCTGGAGGGAGCGGAGGAGGTGGTGCGAGAGGCAGCCCGTGCCCGCCCTGTGCACAGAGCGATTGTGGCTGTTGTTATTGATTCTATAGCGCAGATTCACGGCAGCGAAAAGGCTTTGCGCTTATACCGGGACCTCCCAACGCTCTGCGGCGCGGAATCGCTCAATGCAACCATGGCGCAGGATCTCATCATCCATAGCGCTGAGGAGGCCACCACTACACTTCTGACAAAGGAATACAAGGATCACATCGCAGAGAACCAAGACCCAATTCGGAACATCTCGACATACAACCTTTTGATTGCAAAGTGCGCAGAAGCAGGCGAGATGGACCTAGCGTTTCGGTTTACTAAACAAGCCATGACCGCCGGCATCACAAAGAGTCGATCCTCCAAATGGATCAGTGTCTTGGTCGAGCAGGCAATTACAAGAGAAGACAGTCGAGTTTGGCCCATAGTTGATTCACTTCTCAGCTCAGGGGACGAGGATACGACGAAGATGGTGCGCAGGATTCTACAACAAAAGAGAATTTCAAAACTAGCCTCACAGTGGAAGGCAAGAAACTCTACAACCGCAGCTCCCTGAAGTGGAAGCGATATAGAGTTTTAATAATCAAAAGATCTATTCAATAAAAATAAGGGGCTTGCAGAGACGGCCCAAGTTTATGAACAGAAGAACTTGCTCAAAGCGAGTCCCACCTTCAGACATTCATAGCGTGACGGCAAATTTAGCCGACATAACTTTAGTCTTTTTTTCTTTTCATGGGAATTCATTAGCAAGCACAGCTCACATGTAATTCCGACCGGAGAAAGGAGAAGCATTTATAAGAAAGATTCAAGAACCAGCGAGACTAGATATGCCGGAACCTCACTAGCAGCTCCGAAAGCCTCCCGCTGAGTCAAAAAATATGCTTTAGTTCAACTGCATACCAAGCTAAGCAGCTTGTTATCCGTACTACTCTTGATCTATGCTCCATAGCTCCAAGTACATACGGCGCAATTACGAGTTACAGCCGCAGCGATTCCAAACGGGCGACGTCGTTGTTGGGCTACTTGTGCCCCGCCAAGAAGGCTGAAGGACCGGGTATCAGAAACGAGTTCGCCAATCCAGCGCCGTTGGCACGTTGTTTGCCGGGCATATCGGGCGGAACGGGTATCAGCGCCATGGACCTAGGATTAGACTCAACAAAGAAATACGTTGGATCCTACGATGCGTGAAGTGCGAAGGACGGTCCCACAAGCCAGAGGATGACAAAAAGACGGCCTATAGTCAGTCCGAGTTGAGTCACGGACAACCCAGCACGGCATGGTGAAGAATGTGGCTTGGATTCCCCGAGTTTAGAGGATATTAATCAATTCCTTCGATACAGGCCGTTGCTTGCGCCAGCTAGTGATGCGATTGCGCGCGAACAGGACTGATAGAGCAAAGATATGGCAGTGGCGTTGACAAATTGTGGGTGACTGCTGAGGGCATTATTAATGAGTCGGTGGCTGCTGACTGGGCTTGACAGCAGCCATTCCGATTGGACAGAAGCAAGGGACCGCGCGTGTTAGCTGGATCTGATAGAGTCCTCATTGGCTGCTCGTGGCAGGATGGCGGAGAGAACGCTTTTTATGTTCTTATGCCACATGCCTAGCGATTTGACTTTTGCTGCGCGCGGCGTCTGCTCGCCACGACGAGGAGACGCGCAAGGAGAGCGGTTGAAAAGAAGAAAAGAATGCTGCCGTGGACAAGATGACGCTCGCCCAACGTATGCCGAGCGTATTCCCATTCGGGCAAACCAACGAGCTGAATGGCCGAGCTTGGACGGGGGAATACGACGAACGACAAACAGAGTTTTGACGGGCTATGGAGAAGCGTTTTGGAAGCCTGACTCTTGTCACAATTATCACAACGGAATTAAGACGGTCAGCCTTTTTTGCTGACCCGACCTGGAATTAGGAAGCAGAACACCGCGGGGGCCATTTGTAAGTGAGACAATGCGAATCTCGCGAATCTCAAGCCTAATCTCGACGTAACCCTCACTATCAATTATCAGCTACCGACAGGGCAAGACCAGGGTCCTCAGTTCGAGACCGCGTTCGACGTCATCCTGCATCTCGTCTTGCCCGACCCAAATCTGGCCCCAAGGAATCTGGTCAACGGCACTTGCGGGACCACAGAAAAAAACAGAGTCGCAGTGAGGCTTGCGAATGCTTCGAGCCAAGCCTTATTTGGCACGGCCCACGACTAATCAGAGGAAAGCTTCGCGATATTGATGCCTCAAACTGCCAAGGTTTGCAAGCTACTAACGAGGAGGCTAAACTACATCCATAGCAATCCAGCAGCACCTCATTTTAGCCCACCCTCTTTTTTTTTTCGGCAAAGGGCCCGCTAGCTGATATCTCGCTGAAAAAATAAGATCTTGGTTGGTAAGCCTTTCGCTGCCCATCGAAAAAAAAAAAAAAAGGAACTTCCTCCTTTGCTCAGGGTCTAATTCCTCTTCACGTACTAGTCTTCTGGTATCTTCGCTTTAGCTGGAGCCGGTAGTTGTTAGTCGTTGCATTCGGCCAATCACCCTCCCTTGACCCCATAGGATTTTTTCTTGCCAAATGTCTTGGACGCTACAGGCAGCATAGAATAAGTCCGAAGGCTCGAATGGACATAGGCAATAGCCCACCTATCTTGCTGATGGTGTTAGCTTCCGTGCACCCTCCAAGCCGTGTCCCAAGCAAATTCTGCACGCAGCCTCAGCCTCGATGGATACCCGGAGTCCGAACGAGTGCCGGCTTTTGTAAGCTTGATTGACTAAAATCCGGCCATTGAAAGAAGAGCAAACGGGGAGCGTGTTTGTAACAAGATGGACGCCATCAATCCGGCCGAGACGCTAGCTCGCCGTCGATGATGCTGCCATGAGATGCTTTGTAACGCCCACATCCCATGGCATGCACCGACCAGGGTGTTGATGCCCGGACCAGGGTAGTGTTTCCTATTCTTCTGTTTTTTTAAACTATTAAGAAAAGAATGAATAAGCGGATCTGCATGTCATTTAGGTACGTAACTGCACAGACCCCCGTTTTCATCTACGTCCAGGCTGACGGAGCAGGATGGGGCAGCGCTTGGCTAGATGGAAGCTATACGAATCCATCTAGATCTTGCCAGTAGCGTTCGTCAAGGTGTGCGGTCGATTGGATTACCGATCAACAACAGCTAGAGTGGAGCCGGTTTTTACCTTTGCTTTGACTCCTCCGAGTGTGGGATACGCAAACATGGAGTTAAGACGAGTTGACAGCCGGGGGGGGTATAAGATGAACCTTTGTGGCCCTTTGCTTCCCGAGAATCTGGAATTATAAGACCATATCAGAAACCTTGTTTTACATTCCGCGGAGTCAGAAAGCTTCATATTCAAGCATTTACCCCAATTGTTTCACTATCCATCTGCCTTTTGGTGAACAGCAACTTGAGACTTACAGTGTCGACACTCATATATACCCACATTAGACTCAACACCAGACGTCATAAATCACCATTAGGCTCTTGCTTTTGATATAGGCTTTTGCTTTCGAGATATCGACAACTTATATAAGAAACACCCTGCTTCAGCAACTCGACTACAACTCGACTAGTGCACATCTAGCAACAAAAGACTCTCAAGCCACCACAGACCATGGCGGACATCATCCGTGAAGCCGCCATCGGCCAAGTCATCCGCTGGGTTTCTGGCAACCGCTATCTGAAATACCCCGAAGAAAAGGACGACTTCACATTACCCGAGCCATGGATCCAGCTCATGAACGGCATTCCCATCACATCAGCAAACACTTCCACATCAGATGCCTCCACCGCCGCCGAGGACAAGGAGACGGGCGGCATCCTGCGGACTCCATCCAATGGGTCCCACGGAAGCACTGCCCGAGATCAATCTCCACAGCCGTCTCGAGCGCCAAAGGATGAGGAGCAGGCGCCCGAATCGGGAAGACGGCGGTCTTCAGCGGAGCAGTCGGTCTCGCATGAGCACGCTCAGCACTCGGAATGGGGCGACATGACACGCCGGAGACACGATGAGGATGAGGAGCACGAGCTGGAAAAGGTCAAGAGCATACCCATCGTGCCTCAGACAACAAAGGACGGCGCCATCCTCGTCGATTGGTACTACACAGACGACCCCGACAACCCGTACAACTGGTCGCGCAACAAGCGCCTGCTCATCAACGTCATCATCTGTCTCTACACTTTTGTCGTGTACACAACCTCCGCCATCTACACCACCTCCGAGGGCGGCATCATGCAGCGCTTCGGCGTCAGTGAGATCAAGGCCACCCTCGGCCTGTCCATCTACGTGCTGGGCTACGGTATCGGTCCTCTAATATTCTCCCCCCTATCTGAGATTCCCCTGATTGGACGAAATCCCGTGTACATTGCCACCATGTTCATGTTCGTCATCATCTCCATCCCGACAGCCTTTGCGCCAAACTACCCCGGCCTGATAGTCCTGCGTTTCCTCCAGGGCTTCTTTGGATCACCGTGTTTGGCATCTGGAGGTGCTTCTCTCGGTGACATGTACAGCTTGATGGCCCTGCCTTTTGCCATGATGTCCTGGGTCGCTGCCGCATACTGTGGACGTAAGTCATATTCATTCCCCCCCTTTTCTATTAATCCAGTGGCTAACTTTATGTCTCTTTCTCAGCTGCTCTGGGTCCTCTTCTTAGCGGTTTCGCCGTCCCCGTAGAAGGCTGGCGATGGTCCCTCTTCATCTCCATCTGGGCCTCTGCCCCCGTCTTCATCGCCATGTTCCTGCTCCTCCCCGAGACCAGCAGCGCAAACATCCTGCTCCGCCGCGCCCGCCGCCTGCGCAAGCTCACTGGCAACAAGCGCTTCATGTCCCAGAGCGAGATTGACCAGCATAACCTCCGCTACCGCGACATTTTCTGGGATGCCTTGATCAAGCCCCTTGAGATTACCTTGAAGGATCCTGCCGTTTTGTTCGTCCAGGTTTACACTGCCATCATCTACGGCATCTACTATTCATGTAAGTCATCAGCGTCAACCTTTTTTACAATATCACATAACTAACTCATCAAAAAAACAGTCTTCGAAGTCTTCCCCCTCGTCTACCCCGTCTTCTACGGCATGAACCTCGGCCAAGTCGGCCTCGTCTTCCTCTGCATCCTCGTCTCCTGCATCATCGGCATTGTCGTCTACTCCGCCTACCTCTACTTCTGGCAGAACCCCCGCATCGAGAAATACGGCTGGCCCGTCCAGGAAGAGCGTCTCATCCCCGCCTTGCCGGCCTCCATCGGCCCCACCATCGGCCTCTTCCTCTTTGCCTGGACCGCCCGCGCCTCCATCCACTGGATCGTGCCCACCATCGGCATCACAATCTACGGCGCCACCGTCTTCATCGTCATGCAGGCCGTCTTCATCTACGTGCCGCTCAGCTATCCGCGGTACGCCGCCAGTCTGTTCGCCGCAAACGACTTCTTCCGCAGCGCCCTTGCCTGCGGCAGTGTCTTGTTTGCGCACCCGTTGTTCGGCAACCTTGGCGTTGCAAAGGGCACCAGTCTTCTCGGCGGCCTCAGCGTCATTGGCATCATTGGTATTTGGCTGCTGTACTATTATGGCGGCAGACTCCGTACGCTGAGCAAGTTTGCTGAGTCGGATGAGCCAAAGACCGGGGAGCCTGCTACTCAGCAAGAGAAGAATTGAAGGCTTAATGGTTTACCATGAGGAAAGAGTCTGAGTAAAATTAGAAGGAATGAACTAGAGAGGATTATGGCTTCAAAGAGAAGCAGGTTCCAACACGAACACTTAATTTAATGAACGAGTTTACACATCTCTTTTGTTTTTGGCAGCGCACTTCAAGTGCATGGGAGAGGGCAAATTTCCCCCTCATTTCATCATGTTTTATTTATGATAATCAGGCTAGATGGCTTGCAAGCATCGGTATTGGGTTACAAGGGCGGTTAATAGTTACATTGGGCGGAAGGTTAATTAGACTTGGGGGGCGGGTATAGCGAATCTTGAGTATAATAGAAATCACGTCTCTCACAAAGACATCATCTTTCAACTTTCTTCTCCTTTGTGACTTACTAGATGGATTCTAACGATATGCTCACGGCCTACGAGCGCTAATCTAGCCAAGTAAATTTATATACTTGGACATCATGACATTAGGTTGCGGGAAAAGGTGTCATAAATAATCCAGTGCTATAAATATCCCCTACAAGTAACAAAATTCAATGAAAACATCAATAATTTGCAAATACTACACGCAGTACCATAGTACCATCTTCAGCAAATCAGTTACAATACACTCATCACACAATACAGCTTTATTTCCTCCCTTGTTTCTGTTGATCAGCCAAAAATGGCCATCAATAAATGTGTATTAAAAGCCTAGAAAAATCATTCCAATTCGTAAACAATGTACAAGCCTTTGGTATATAAAGCATTCCCTTCTCTCCAAGACATGGCCTGTCCTTTAAAAGGCCACATGCACCGAATACGCCCCAGCTATGTAAAGACGTTGAGGCAAAGGATAGGCTTGAGAATGAGATTAAGAGACTCCCTTTTGCGTCGAGTACGTGTATCCGCCCCAGATTGACGCGTAGTCTCTGAGAACAATTATGCCATTCCATTGCCGCATACGTTCTCCTGCCGTTCTCCTTTCATTCACCACCCCCGTCGTGCTCGTAATCCTACCGAGCAAGTGTGACCCATGATATCAAGAAGGAAAAAAAAAATCTTATTTATAGAAAGAAACCATTTATTCATTTTCCTTTGTTCGTCGTAATCTACAGCCATTGCTCCGTTTACGAATCCCCAGGTAGGTTCCAACTGTAGCCCGATCCGTGCCCTCCAGTGGTAGATGCATAAGAGGCATTCGGAGGGTTATTGAAATTATACCAATTCTGGTGTTGGTTCGATTGCTGCGCATGTTGCGTGTGTTGCGCGTGCTGCTGGGGGGCACGCTGATGAGGTGTTTGCTGCTGTTGCTGGATATGTGACGGATATGTCATATAGTTTCGGTCTTGCTTCATTCCAGCCTGGCCCTGTCGCGATGCCCCAGATTGCGAGCGCATGTGAAAGACCTGCCGGGAATCGTGCGACGATTCTGAGCCACTGTTGTTGAACTCTTGAGCCTGTGCATTCGCTCTTAGGCCTAGATATGATGCCGACTGGTTATGCGATTGATTTCGTTGCGCAGAGCTCGTATAGGGCCCAAATGTTTGTGCCCCTGGGCGGTCTGCAGCCGGTATTTCAGTATTAGCCGTCTGCGCAGGTATCGAAGCGGCAGATGTCGTTGCAAGTTGACTATGGCCATAGCCAGAGTACGGAGCGGTGCCAACTGCGTCTCTCTGGTACTGGTACGGTTCGTATGAAATTCTATCGGTTGAAGCTGTCTCTGCCCCACGGGTGCTAGAGTAACGGTCGTAACTGTTATATGCCGCCGAGCCAGCCATACCCACCTGTTTCTGTAGTCCTGATCGGCGGCTGTTAGGTTGCTGATCGGTGGAAGGTGAGTTCTGAACAGCTCCTCGCTTCGACGGCTGCTTGCCCTTCGGCAGGCTGGTTCGTTGAATCTCATTCCTTGGTGATGCGGTCCCTGGACGCTGTAGTGCAGCCGGTGATACGCCTTGTTTCTGCGATACTCCCATAGACGGCTGTTGGGCGTTTGCCGAACGCCAGCCGCTGCCCCTATTAGCAGGTGGTTCTGACAATCCATAGACAGGCTCATGAGGGTCCTGGTCTTGCATAGAGGTCACCGCTTGTGCCACCACAGCTGCTGCCTGCGTAACGGGGCTATCGTCGCCGGACCATTCCGAAAGTGACTGAGGATTCACTGAGCCGTGATGCTCTTCGTCTTGGGCTGGCCTCGCCGTCATGTTGCGCCCAGGTCCATGACGTGCCGATGACTGGGTTGAACTTTTCCTCTGGTGTGCCAAAGTCTGTTCTTGCATATCCGCTGCTGGCATGTTCGAATAATACGGACGACCCGAGGGCATGATAAGATTAACAAGATCAGATATAGGCACGCCAGCTGTGTGTGGTGGTTGTGAAGTACCTGCTTCAGAAACCGCCATAGTTGCTGTCGGCGGAAAATAACTTGTCTGATTATGGCTGGCCTCCCAGTCGGTAACATGTACGTTGTTTGGTAAGACATCTCCGATGGGCATTTGCGTGTGCACATGCTCATCTCCTATGTCGGGGAAGCCCTCTGCGTCGTCGTCATCACCATGTGACTGTTGCTGGCCTTCTAGCTGAGGCTCATCATCCTGTCCTTCGCCGAGTGTCTCTTCTAGTTCATCTTCTTCTGCTTCATCTTCTATCGTGATCAGAGCATTCGACTTTGGCTTTTTTGGCTTAGGAGGTGCGAACTCGCATATAAGACCCGCCTCACGGCATTCACTACATATCGGCGTTTCTTTTGGACACTACAGATAGAGTCAGTCAGCCAAAAGCAAAATATCCAGAGGGTGGGCGGGCAGCTGTATCAGCGGCTTATCAACTCACCTTTACCCTACGCTGTTTACATTGAGCGCAGGAAGTCCTTGACTTGGCTGGCCCCCGGCGCCTCGTTTTCTTGGCCTCTCCATTAGTCGTTGCTTCTCCAGTCGTTCCATCATCGCCATTACTAGCAGTCTGCTTTTTCTTTCGACTCTTTTTCGTAGTTGTGGGAGTTGCTGTTTGCAATGCCAGGCCACTGGTTGTGACGGGACCAGATGGATCTTCTTGCACGTTACTCTGAACCGCAGGCGCAGATGAAGAGTCTCGAGAGGGTGGCTGAGCAGAGCCTTCCTTACTGCTGGGATGCACGATGCGTAGACGCTCTGCACCGTACCTAATCAGCATATTAAGCGACTCCTTTTGCAGATCTGGAGATTGATTTGCAAAGATGTTGAACTGCTCCGGGGAAAGCGACTCCGGGTCAACGGCCGCCTGCTGAAGCATAGCCACGGCAACATTTCGCCGTCTCTCAGCCTCTTCAGGCGTCACATTGATAACAAGCTGGCCCGCTGCGGAATTTTGAGCCGACTGGTCAGCCTGAGACTGCTGCTGGCCGCCATTCTCGTCTCCTCCAACCTGGTTGGTGAAGGTCTGAATCTGCGTGGGTAGAGAAGGATCAATCTCCGTTACGCCTTGCTCCTCTGAAGCACCAGCGTCATCCGTTTTCCTCTTCCGTTTCCTCGGTTTTTTGCCCTCGCCATTGGTCGCATTGTCGCCATCTCGCTTCTTCCTCTGCGCACCAGGCTGTCTCGGCGCCTTAGCTTTCTTTTCTGCTGCAAGAAGAGGGCGTCGTGGTATTAAAGGTTGGTACAAGGCTGAAAGCTCCGCTACTGTCCGGTGGAGTGGTAAATGGTCATATTCGATCGATACAGTTCTAGATTTTCGAAAAAAAGAAATTGTAATGACACCTCGACAGTCAAAAGCAGGTCGGCCTAAAATTCTGCCGCGTTAGCAGAGGCACATGAAATATTTTTCGCAAAGTAAAGTCGAGATAGCAAAACAGCAAGACGTGTGAAATGCCATTTAGCATTATGCGATTGGGCCATGTTGTTGCTCAGCGCTTACTTCCTAGCAGGGGATCGAGTTCCCTGTGTGAATATTCTGCAACCAGCGTCTTCGGCTGGCTCTTGTTTTGTCGCTGCCAGTGCTCCATGGAACCTTTGCAGATAAAGGTAAAGATCCAGCCGTTGGCGCCTCGCGACGAGTCTCGCAGTGCCCACTCGCTTCCATCGACCTGGCCAACTCCACCAGCAATATGCTTTGCGACAGCCGTCTGCAGCACCGGTTCGTCCGACGACTGGTTCATCACGGCCTCATTCACGAGCACCACGCGGGCGACCTGGCCTCCGTCAGCGCCTACAGATGCGTCCGTCGGCAGAGCGCCTCCCAGCGAAGGGTCCAGCGCGCCCAGGCCCTCCAGCACATTGTTCTCGCTCGCAGACACTCCAAGCGTCAACTCGGCTGAGGCTGCGAGGTCCAGCCTTGTCGCAACCCGCTCGGCTCGAGTGGCGGTGACCTTGCCGTCAAGAGCATCGCGAAACTGCAGTTGCAGCTCTTCGAGGCCGGTGCACAGGCGGCTGTCGAGCTCGGGCTCCTCCTCGCGGAAATTGAAGCTGGCGAGAAAATCCGCCATTGAAGGTTCGCCCCAGGGCCGGGATAGCGATTGCGCGCAGCAGCTGCGGTGATCGGGGCGTCGAGCGGAGCCAGGCTTCTGCTGCAGAGTCGGCCTGGGCTGGCAGCGTGTCGTGGGCAGTGGCGGCGGGTTCGCCTGTAACCATGGCGGATTTGGCGATGGTGATGTCGAACTGCGATGGCCGAAGCAAGAGGCGCTGATAGTGGAGCCCCAACCCCCGGGGGGTGTGAGCAGGCCATCGCGCGTCAAATGCAGCCCCACGGTCCCGGTCCGCGTATCTGCGCCTAGTGCAGCCTCGTCCATTGTGAAAAACTCCATTTCTAGTGGCAGCTGCTGCTGATTCAATGCTGTAGTAATAGCAACAATACCTGTAGAATGCAATATCTGTAGTATTATGCGCAACAATTGCTGAGAAAAGGGCATTTGTTTCCCTTAAACAGGACGCATCTTTCAATTGAACTGCCGTACAAGATTCATTCACCCATCATGCCACACGTCAGAAGCAAAAATCCTTCAGCTCCTTCACTCAGCTGAATTCAGTATGAATTGAGCGTCATGTGGAATGGACAATGCAACATTTCCCTTGCCTTAGTCCCTCAAAGTGGCTAACCAGTGCATTATACATTTCATAATTGTGTCTAACAGTACAAGTATATAAAATCCACTTGACGCCCCTGCAGACGCAAACTACTGCCGTGCCGCATCTCACCTCTTAGCTATTCTCCTCTACCCACTGCTCGATCCTCTCCACAAGATCGGCCTTTTTACCGCTCGTGCTGAGGCCCTTGGCACCTGCTACGTCCTTCAGCTGCGCCACTGTCATTTTCGATAGGCCTTCGCTCTCAACTGCGGCCTTCAATTGCGCCATGCTAAACGTCGATCCGCTGGGCCGCTCTGCAGCCGCCTTTCTCTGCTTCGCGGGGCGCTCTGACACACCGTCATCTTCTACTTCTCGCTTCAACGACCGGGATCTCGCGGCTCTATCGGCTTCATCCTTGAGTGTCTCGGCCCAGTCCTCCAAATAGCCGCCAGCACGCTTGTTGATGGCTTTGTTTTTGGGCTCAGTCAAGTCTTCGGGCTTTTCCGGCACCTCTTCATCCAGAGCGAGCGTCTGAAGAATTTTATAATGCCACTGTAAAGCTGGGTTGGGGTATTTCAGCGGGTTGTACACTCCTTTGGGAAGATTGAGCTGCTGTACAACCACCCTCATTTTGGTCTTAAGATCCTCAGAGCAGTCAAGCCCCCGCTCGGCACTAATGTCTCGTAAATCGTCCGCGGTAGGGAGCGGACAGATCCAAAGTCCGGCTGGCAGATATGGAGTGCCAGAGGCCTCATCAGATTGTTCTCTTGATGGAATAACAGCGGCAAGCACTGGTTGTGAGTTTGACCGCAGCACGCACCAGGCGATGCCTATCTTCTCACTGTCCAGCAACTTCTGCCAGAGGGCCGAAAATACGCGTGACGACCCGATGTAGTCTTCTTCACTCGGGAAGATGAAGGTGGATTTCTTAACACTTGCCCAGGCGGGAATCAAGTTGCGATTTTTGAATCCGATAATTCGAATGACTGGGGGGCCGTAGTCTCGGATGCTTTTTTGCTCTTCGGGTGTAAAGTATACATATTCGCCGCCAAATTTGTAGGCCTTCTTGATCTCTTGTTTCTCGACGGTTCTCGCGCTGTCCTCTGCAACCCGTGTTGTCTCGCCTGTTACGATTTGGGCTTTTTCTCCGTCAAGCCAGATATAACACGTTCTCGCCGGAGTCTGCCGGCTCACAACATTGTATCCCTTGACAGTTATCCGCAGCCCTGGGGCAATCTCAAAGGGCAGATGAAAAAGAGCTCTTTTGGGCGATTGCTTAGAGTTGATATTGGAAATCAAGGAATTTAGAAGAGACAGCCCATCGCCAGACTTGGAAGTGCGAACCTCAGTCCCATTGGCTTCGGCATTCACATCACGGTAAACAATATCCTTGGTCCAAGTTAGCGCCCTGTTAAAATTGTGGATAAAGGATGGATTAAAATGAAAAGCATACGTCATAAAACTTGCCAAGGTCAAAACTTGACTCTCCTTTGGCAATTGGGAATAGATCAATTGTAATCCCCAAGTCGTATAAATCTTTTGCTCGAACAGCAGCAGCGGATCTCGCCGCCTTGTCTGATGCGTGTGGGTCGTCGTTATCAGTTACGATGAACAGTCGCCGGCTACCAAAATTGGCTGCCTTTGTCGTAAATATCTGATTGGCGCAAAAGAGAACATTTGACATGGAAACCACGTCAGTAGTAGCTGGCTTCAGCACTTCATCTTCGTCTTCTTCCTCTTCGACCAGCGCCCTCAGGGCCTTGACATCATCGGCAGCAGGAACATCAAGATCTGTGAAGAGGTAGCAATTCGGATAGCCAAGGCCGCCGCGGCCATCTTTATCATCCCGGAATTTGGTCTTTTCCGTTCCAAACAGAAGAATGCCCATCATGTCTTTGGGGTTGGAAATGATGCGCTGCTCCATCAGATGATGGGCGCATTTCAGGGCAGCTTGAAGCGGGCTGTCTTGTTCAGCTTTCTTAGAGCTAGAGGCCGGAGGAGGCTCAAGCATTGATGGGCTGACTTCAATGGCCAGCAATACGGCGTCTTTCTGTGCCTTGAAGCTCTAGACAAGCAATGTCAGTAAGATGGTCCCCCTGCTCAAGTCGATGCGACTTACAGATTCATCAAGCTCCTGCTCGCCCTCCTCGTCCTCATCGTTCTCTTCCCGTCTCCAGTCTCTTTGTTTGTCTGCCATTGAGAACTAAATTTGCAATTGAACGCTGGAAATTGCCAGATGACTTGTCCGAATTCACAGAATGCCTTTTACATCACTCACGAGTCCAACTTATTGAGCGAGAGCCAGGCAGCCACTCGACCCAGTCGCCAATGTGGATTCACCTGCGCGACCAACAGCTCCAGGCAAACGCGACGGGCCTAGGCTGGATGCGACGGGATCCGCGAAGTCACGTGATGCGCATCCGAAATACCCATAGTCTAATTGGCCGGCGCTTGGGTGGGCTCTGCTAAAAAGGTACCTGTTTCCGAGGGTATACCGAGTTGAAAGGCTGTGTGCGGCGCAAGTAGCGTCCTAGCAGAATGTCAGAATGATGCTCGATTGCCACTCTCGGAGCTTGCATCCGTGATCTCGGCGCATCGGGGTCTTGCTGTCACAAGGATTCAGGACTCAATTCCTTCCGCAGTCGAGGATTTTTCCCTCGTCAACCTCCCCAGAACCAGTATCTCGCCATGGCATCAAGGATTTCCACGAGACAATTCGCCAGGGGCCTGTCCCGAGGCTCGTCGTCTCCTCTTGTCTCTTCACAGCTATCGAACCATGCCCGGTATCTGGCTACCCCAGCCCATCCTGTGACGCAAGATGCAACGGGCTCCAAGGGACCAACGGCCATGGTCTTTCTCAACATGGGTGGTCCTTCTACGCTCCCTGAAGTCGGAAGCTTTCTCAGTCGGCTTTTTGTATGCACTTTTCTATATCATTTACTTGGTGTTATTTCGGTGACGTTGTGCTAATCATGGGTTGAATAGGCCGATGGTGACCTAATTCCATTGGGCAGACTGCAGTCATATATCGGGCCTCTGATCTCAGCGCGAAGAACACCAAAGATTGTGAAGCAGTATGACGCTATTGGAGGCGGCTCACCGATTCGGAAATGGTCAGAGTACCAAAACGAAGAAATGTGCAAGATCCTAGACAAGATCTCGCCGGAGACTGCGCCGCATAAGCCATACGTCGCTTTCCGCTACGCAGACCCATTGACCGAGGAGATGTATAACAAACTATTGGCGGATGGCTTTGGAAACGGAAAGGGTGGCAGAGCTGTCGCGTTCACCCAGTATCCACAGTATTCCTGCTCCACGACCGGCAGCAGTCTCAACGAGCTGTGGAAATGGCGCCAGAGACTGGAAGGCAAGACGGCTTCGGAAACCGGAAACGGTACCATCAACTGGAGCGTCATTGACCGATGGCCCACCCACCCTGGCCTTGTGGAGGCGGTTGCTCAAAACATTGAAGCAAAGTTGCTAGAGTACCCCGAGGAGCGGAGGAGCAAGGCCATTCTCCTCTTTTCAGCGCACAGCTTGCCCATGACCGTAGTCAACAGAGGTACGACATTCTCTTATATCCTACCCTTTCCCTATTTTCCTTTCTCATACTGACTGGTCGAATAGGCGACCCATATCCGGGCGAAGTTGCCGCCACTGTTCAAGCAGTGATGGAGCGACTCAAATTTTCCAACCCTTACAGACTATGCTGGCAATCGCAGGTTGGCCCGCAGCCTTGGCTGGGACCCCAGACGTCTCACACGGTGGAAAACTACATTGAGAAGGGCCAAAAGGACCTGGTTCTCATTCCCATTGCATTCACCTCTGACCACATTGAAACGCTCTATGAGCTCGATATCGAAGTCATTGGTGAGAGCGGCCACACTGATACCGTCAAGCGAGTAGAAAGCTTGAACGGCAGCCCAGTGTTTATCAAGGGGCTTGCGGACCTCGCAAAGACACATCTTGATTCTGGGGTCGCGTGCTCGCAACAGATGGGCCTCCGATGTCCCGCATGCAAGAGTGAGAGATGTGCAGAATCCAAAAAGTTCTTTGCTAGCCAGCAGGCCGCGATTTCGTCCGCCTAGGGTCGATTATAGCAGCTGGGTCAGGAGGACAAATACGGGTTGGGTTTTGGGAAACATAGTATCTGTAATATATACCACCAGTCCACTTCTCTACGGTACGGTTGCCAAACTCGTACAGTTCTTGTACTTCTTTTCAGAAGCTAGGTATATAGGGACTGAGTGGTAGGCAAAGGGCGTTGAATGTGTGAACTCGGTATACTGTATAGACTTGATAGACTTAATCAGCACCCATGGCACAAACACGCGCGAAGCTCGGCAATCGCTGAGTTTGTGGACGAACTCGTAGTTTACAAGCCCGAGTTTTAACGCCTGAGTGGCTGCAGAAGGTGGACATCTCGATCCGATGATGCCCCACCAGAGGAGCTCCATACTTTCGGTGTGCATTCATCCGGCTGAGTCGTGCTTATACGAAGAGAAAGACGCTTCTGTTGAAGCATATACTATAGACTCCATGTATATACAAGCAGATGCGGCGCAGCTTACAGCACCTACAGTAGAAGGACGGCTGACGTCTAGGCGCAGATGTCTAGCTGCAGAAGGTGGCTGGAATACGATCCCGCCCGCTGCAGCTCACTGGCCAGTCACGGTAGAGTGTGGCCATATCTCAGCTAAAATGCTCCGGTGACACCACCTGCCTATTTGTATCCCGCCTGATAAGCCAGTAATAGTTACATACATTACGGGCGTGCAGCAGGCAGAATAACTGACATTGTTGACATGGAAGAATAAGATGATTATACTCTTGCAGCATACGCAAACAAAAACCGAGCAAAGGAGAAGAGAAAGAGAGAGAAGACGCACTACTGATGGAGCCACTTTCTCTTCACCATGTGGGGGTGAGATTGTCTTGCGTGTGGGGCGCTCCCAGACGGCTCTAATTTTAATTCTTGTGTCGATCATATGTGAGGGAGGCAAACGCTGCTCAGCCGTCAGTGGCTGGCGATTATCGTGTGGATGTCGTGTTTCTGCAGGTATCATGCACGCGGCCGTATTCTCGTGGTTTCTTTGACTATCAATTGATATATTAAAAGACAAGTTGATATCAAACGAGGAAGCGCCATCCAATGCGGCGGCCGATAGACTCACTCTCCCATTTTATAGGCCACCAGCTCAATGCGTCGAGCATGTCTGCCTGTGAGATTATCTCCGTAGCTTCAACCAGTTGGCATTCACATGCCGTACCAAGAAGAAAAGAGCACATCAGAGAGTTCAAGATACTGAATACTTCAAGACAGCAATTCTTACTTTTCATAGACAGCAGCATCCTCAGAGCTGAGGGACGTACCATGTTACCCTGCAATTCTGGAATAGGATACCAGATTTCAATGTCTTGAATATTAATTAGTACTGGTCGGATATTAGCACGCGCAAGGGTGCTGGGCAGCATCACCCGGTAGGTTTCGCGAGGCCTTGCCAGTGAGCCGTTGTCGCTGTTTCACAGCAGTCGCTTCATTATCCCAGCAGTTCCAGCAAAGACGCAGAACTGCAATTTGCGGCATGGAGACTGTCTCAGCCAACAGAGATGTTCCGGGAAGTTGTTCCTCGGAACGTGACCCGGACGCCTTTATTCCGCTGATGACTGACATCTCGTTTTGGCAGTGCAGACGGGCAGCGCGCCTGGCGTGGCAAATGAAGAGTGCGCTTCCCAGCCTATTAATAGCAGGTAGGCATCGCAGGCAATAAGCAGACGTTATGCTCGGGAGCCGCAATACGAGCAAAGGAGAAGCGCGAGTGCGGAGCAGTCTGGCGGGAAAAAGAAGCACCTGGAGCTCCTGAAATTAAGTGATATACGGAGTACATTAGGCACTGGTGCTAGCTAGCATTGCCGTACCTGGCCGGTACCTGTACTCGAACCATGTCACGTCGCTCCAGCCGGGTGACACTTGAGATTTGATTCGTGCGTTCCGAGACGAGGCCATAAATTTGCCAGCCCGGTCAATGCCGTGCATTCGGCCCCTTCGAGTCTACGGCAAGCAAGCGACAGCAACTTTTTTGCGTTTTTCAGCCACCTGCATGGCGTTTCTATATCATCAGGGTCCAAAGCAAAAGGTACTAGCACAGGTCACTCTAAGACAGCATCGGCGTCCTGCTCCATCCAGGTACTAGGCCAAGCCCGATCCGTGAGGCGCCACAGAGCAGCGGGTTGTGTGGCTGCGGCCAATCAGCGGCGCCCTACCGCAAGCCATGCCCTGGACCTCTGCTAATTGTCCAGCGCACCAGGCCATCGGTCCCCTGGAGGACTAGGCCTATCGCGGCCTAGCCCGCTAATGCACCCCCTTTTGCCATATTTACCACGCCTGGTTTGAAGCGAGCAGCTGCTAACACTGCTGGAAGCTCGTATGCCAGCAGCGGTCGCAGTGTATTACAGGCACAGCAGCAGCCGTAGCACGAGTACCCGTACCCCGAGCCCCGTGGCAGCAGCAGCGGCCAGTCGCGTACCGATACCACCCAACTGTAATTCAATTCAGGCCAGTGGAGTCGCTGCTCTCCCCAGGGGGTCGCTGCCGCAACTGCTGCACAGTCTGGCCCGGCCAAGGAACTCAGAAATTCCTCCCCGTCATCACCCCCGAAATTAATCTTCCTCCTCAAACTTTGGCCTCGTTGCACTTCACTTCACTTCTTCACTCCTCCCGTCATTGCTACTTCCCCTCTGGCCGGTTGAGCGCCTTGACATTTGTTCTTTCAATTCACCGCGGTCGTTTCTGCCTCTTCAAAACTATTTCTTCGAGCCCATTGACACGCGTCGTTATCTGCTTAGGGTTTCAGCGCATTTTCTCCTTTGGTAGGTCCTTTGCCCGCTCGATGCCACTCGAATCCCGTGCACGGCGCCAGCAGCACAGCTTCAGAATCTTCGCCAGAGCCAGAGCCAGAGCCGCGCCGAGGACGTCCTCTTCGGCTGCTTCCCACGCGCGCGAGCTGCTTGCTGCCTGCCCTCTCCCGGAGCTTGAAGCCGCGAAGCTGCTGCTGTCGACGTGGCTCCTGGCTGTTCTGCGGCACTCCACCTCCCTGAGATGGCCTCACAGCTAACCAATCGCGCAGACACTCGTGCCTTCTTACCATTCTTTATTTAACCTTTCTTCGGACGCTCTTTATACATCACTATGGGTAAGATCTTTCTTTCTTTGGGCTGTGCATGGCCCTGCGTGTCCCGTGCAGGCGGCGAGGCAGGAGACAATCTGGACGTGCCACGAGGCGCCTCACCACGGCAGCGGCCTTGAGCGACACGAAGCATTGGCGCCTCCTTTTCCTTACACACAACAACCGTTCGCGCTCTTCTTCCCGTAGCCACATTTCGTTTCCCACCATCTACTGTTTCTTGGGTCGCTTTTTTTGGGCAAAGCAACAACATTTCCGCTCCTTCAAGTACAAGTTCCTTGTATCCGATTTTTTGTAATTCGACATGACGTTCGATCTGGTTCACCAAGTCAAATCGCGGGCTCGCAGCCTCCAGCTCGACAAAAGCGCCCTGTCGCCGGCAATGGCTGCTCTGGAACAAGTTGCGTCACAGGCTCAGTCAACGAAGCGACTCAGCAGCCTGTCATCGAACGGACAAACTGCTGCAGCCAGCATTCCGGTGCCTGCATTTGTTCCCGCAACCATTCGTCGCTACCGCAGTATGCTGGAAGTTGAAGAGCCGCCCAAACTTGGACCATGGAATCCAATGTCATTCGAAGAACTATACACAACCCCTTTGCAATCTTCCATGGGATCTGATGATTACGATCCGAGCTCTGTCCAGTCAACGAGATCATGTTCTGAGAAAACCAGTCTGCCGGCCACGGTTGGATGCCGAGGTGCTGAGTTGTCCAATCAGAAGCCTACAGATTCTCGCCTCTCGCCCTGCCATGCACAAATCATGTACGATAGTCATAGAATGAAGAGGGCTAACATTTGGGTAATTTAGCTTCCAACGGTGCCGAATCACCACAGGGCGTGGCTTCGCCTCCTCCTGGTAAGTCTTTTACTTCAGTGGGAAAGCTGCAGTATAGCTTTGTTTCTAACTTGAACACAATAGTCTCTCCTGCGATCGCTGCCGCTGCTGACAACAAGAACATTGTTCGACGAAAGCTGACTGGCTATGTTGGATTCGCCAACCTTCCCAACCAGTGGCACCGTAAGAGTGTGCGAAAGGGCTTCAACTTCAATGTGATGGTTGTTGGTGAATCTGGCCTGGGCAAGTCGACCCTCGTCAACACTCTTTTCAACACCTCTCTGTACCCTCCCAAGGAGCGCAAGGCGCCTAGCCTGGACATCATTCCCAAGACTGTCACCATCCAATCCATCAGTGCCGATATCGAGGAGGCCGGTGTCCGCCTGCGCCTGACCGTTGTCGACACCCCCGGCTTTGGCGACTTCGTTAACAACGATGAGTCTTGGCGCCCTATTGTCGACAACATTGAGCAGCGCTTCGACGCCTACCTGGACGCTGAGAACAAGGTTAACCGAATGAACATTGTCGACAACCGAATCCACGCCTGTGTTTTCTTCATCCAGCCTACTGGCCACTCACTGAAGCCCTTGGACATCGAGGTCATGCGACGCCTTCACACCAAGGTCAACCTGATTCCTGTCATTGCCAAGTCCGACACCCTGACGGACGAGGAGATTGCCAGCTTCAAGGCACGAGTAAGTTGAGCCTTTTTCTGTTTTTGACGTGTAGCGTTTTTCTATAGCATGGAATGATTTGCTAATGTGTACACTCCTCCAGATCTTGGCCGATATCAAGTACCACGGCATCCAGATTTTCGAGGGCCCCCGATATGAGCTCGACGACGAGGAGACCATTGCCGAGAACAACGAGATCATGTCCAAGGTCCCCTTCGCCGTTGTTGGCGCCACCAACGAGATCAAGACTGCTGATGGCCGCAAGGTCCGTGGTCGTGAGTACCCTTGGGGTATCATCGAGGTTGACAACGAGGAGCACTGCGACTTTGTCAAGCTTCGCCAGATGCTCATCCGAACACACATGGAAGAGCTCAAGGAGCACACCAACAACACCCTGTACGAGAACTACAGAACCGACAAGCTGCTTGCCATGGGTGTTTCCCAAGATCCTAGTGTATTCAAGGAGGTCAACCCTGCCGTCAAGCAGGAGGAGGAGCGTGCCCTGCACGAGCAGAAGCTCGCCAAGATGGAGGCCGAGATGAAGATGGTCTTCCAGCAGAAGGTGGCGGAGAAGGAGAGCAAGCTCAAGCAATCAGAAGAGGAGCTCTACGCACGCCACCGAGAAATGAAGGAGCAGCTCGATCGCCAGCGCCTAGAACTCGAAGACAAGAAACAGCGCGTCGAGAGCGGGCGACCGATAGAGAAGGAGGGCAAGCGAAAGGGATTCTCTCTGCGATAAACCAGTCCCAATGCCTCCCCTTGCTCACCACTCTCGAGTTGCGACTTGCTTTCCTGCATGATCAATATCAGAATATCCATGATGTCCATACAATATCTGCTCGACGCCTTTCCTTTTTCAGTTTTCGATTCTTTGTTTTTTTTTATGTCGCGTCCTTCTCGTCACTTTATTTTAATCATAAACTCATATAATCGCAGCCAAGAAAAGTTTGTCTTCCAGAGGGTGGGCAAGGGAACAAAAAACCTTTGTTATGAAAAACTGGTCGTGCAGGGTGGGAAGGAGTGCAGACTATGAAAACATTGCAAATCTTTGACTTGGTATGGTGGTCGCATCCAAAAACAGGGAGTCGGGGTTCTTTTACGGGAGGGGGCGTCTTTGCTTATCTACCGGGCCATCGTCCTAAGGGGTGAAGCAGGACGATGCTCCTAGAGAAGAGTCACAGGCAAACTAATTAATGTCCTCCTGCCTCTTGGTACAGTTGTTGTGGGAGGGTTGGGGGCCGCCGTGCGGAAAGTCACTCATTATTCATTCCCTACACGAATTGTCACTTTATGCTTTCCTTGAAATCTATGTCAGGCAGAGATATGGCCGAAAATACCCTGCGTCTCCCGTCTATTCCCCTCGGCATGCCTTCAGATGGTTTCTGTTATCTGTCTGGAAGGAACAGCGGATTTGAATTTGGCTGGAGCAAATGGACGGCTGGAGGAGGGTTGAAATCAGCAACTGTTGTATTTTAGTCGTGTGGTTGATGTCTCAACACGCGACGGTATGTCTAGGCTTGTTTGTCGTAATTTCCTAGCTAGTTTGATTTTACTGTCTCTATTTACTTTTTTTTCTCTAAACGTTTTGGCCGTTACGCTCGTGCGAGTGAAGATGTGACATGTTTCCAAAGCCCACCCAAAATCCTGGCCTTGCGTCAAGAGTGCCTCGCCAATATTTGAAGGCTGCGCGTCGTAAGAGGAGAGAAGAGCGTCTGGTGGTTTGTTTGTTTGAAGGTGATTCCGCTAGCTAGATTACATTCGTCTCGGCATTCTTTGTTATTTTTTTTGTTTCGTTTATGATGGTTTTTTTTTTAACTGTTTATATCCTTTTAGTCCTTAATTATTGCGTATAAAATAATATGATGTGGTCTTCATGTTTTCACCTCCGTTTCGCGTTCCGCAGCAAGAAAGCGCCGACGACGCCGGCAGCGATGCCAATGCCGCTAATAATGGCGACGCCCAGGAGGCCCTCCTTGGCGACCTTGTCGTCGATGAGTTGGCGCAGGTCGGTGGCCTGGAGGTTGGCAGGCTCCTTGTCGAGGAGGAGGTCGTTGTAGCGGCGGGCCTCGCCGTAGTTGCCGAGCTTGTAGTTGCCGAGGGCGAGGTAGTAGAGGCATTCGCGGCGGCGCTCGGGGGAGACGCGGAAGATGTCGGAGAGGAGGCGGACACCGAGTTGCTGGTCGTTGCGGTTGTTTGACTTGACGAGGCCCTGTGTTTTTGACGACAGAAGAGTAAGAAGGATGCGCGCGATTATAGATGGAGGAGGGATGAGACAAACCCAGGCGTAGTTGAATTTGGTTTGGACGCCGACCATTTCGCCTTCTTTTTCGAACTGGGCGCGCAGGACGCTGAGCTCTGAAGGGTTCAGAGGGCTGGAGATGCGGGAAGAAAGTGGTTAGATTATGATGCCATCTTTGTACGGCGCGAAGAAGAGAGGAGAGGAGGTTTGAACGAACGTCTCTGCATCGAGGGCGTCTGCCATGTTGGATCAAGGTCAGTTAGCTGAGATGAGGTTCTTCTATGATAACGTATGTCGCAATGTTGCTGGTGAAACGGCAGCGAGCGTTTGCGCCGAGAGAGCTGTAGGCTGGAGAAGAGGAACAAGGCTAAGGAGGGTCCGCGTCTTACAGGGGAGTTCTGTAACCATTTTGCTAGGATTCTCGGGTGAGAGGGGGGACTTTTGGTACTAGGTATACGATGCGATGCGGCGCAAACGAAGGCTCAACTTGTCTTTGAGCTGAGGGCGAGGAAAATGGAGGGAGGCAAGGGAGGCGCAAAGTGGCGAAGGATGCCGAGGTCGCTTTTTATCTTCGAGGGACTGAGAAAGTGATATTCAAGAAACGAGACGAGACGAGGGTGAGGCGAAGGGGGGAGAGGGGTTGAGAAGCTAAAGAAGTAGGATGTAAGGGAGAGAGAAGAGTAGATTGAAATGAACAAGAGCTGATCGCTTAAGCCGTTGGCGTAGGTATGACTTTCGGCTTTGGAACCTTTTGGTCTCGTGAGTTTTGCCAATGCGGCTTGGCTCTTTGTCCTTGGAAACAGACCAAGCTTTTGGCTTGCGCAAAATGTGGCTGGTGCGTAGGTTTACCTTTTGGAGTGTGGCGTGGCTGGAGGGGAGATGACGTGGGAGACTGGGGAGCTGTGGCTTGTTGGCCGAACCTGGTGGTCGTCCCGGGAGACGGGCGCTGGAATATGGAGTGCATGTTTCTTGGCTAAGGAGCTGTTTCGCTTTTTTTCACAATTGTCGATTTTGTTGGACCCTGCGATTCGTGTTGAGCAACTGTTGAAGCGCGCGCAATAAGAAGAAGAAGAGCCCTTTTCGAAAGCACTTCCCCAAATTTCTATAGATAGACGCAGCTGCTAAGCGTTGAACAACCGCCACAATGCTTCTCGCCGAGGATCCAGCTACGGTATGTTTCTTTGAACGAGAGAATCAGAGCATCGCATGCTAATCCTATCCAATCTGCACACTCACAGCTCATCCACCACACCATCGACAACTTCAACATCCAGCCCGACAAGCTCGCCGTCGGGCGCATCGGCGAATCGCTCTCGACGCTGCAGCAGGCGCGCGAGCTGCACGTCCGCGACTCCGACTCTACGCTCAAGAAGCTCTCGCGGCAGCTCAACACCATCAACGCGCAGCACGGCGAGCTCGTTTCGTCGCACTCCTTTTCCGATCACGCATCGACCATTTCGCGCCTCGACACGCACAAGTTCCGCGTCGCAAAGGCGGCGTCCGACGCCGAGATGGAGGCCGAGCGGTTGGCGCAGCAGGCGGCCGATTTGGCGGCGCGGCTGCAGGAGCTGGAGCTGCAGGGCGTGGAGGGGTCCGAGGAGAGCCGGAGGCGAGATCCTGTGGACGACGAGGTGCTGCTACGACTTAAAGTGTATCGCAGCTTGGGGATTGAGATTGAGAGGGATGAAAAGGATGGCGAGTGGGCGCGGGCGGTGATTCGGAATGATAGGAAGGGGGATGTGCATGTGGTGAATATGGACAAGAAGTTTTCGCGGTACTTTTACGCGAATTACTTTTGGCAGGCAATCTGATGAATGGATGGGATATGAGTTTTTGGGGGGTTTTATTGGCTGCTTGCTTTTGGTTGGAATTTTTGGGTTTGGGAAGATACCACTACGAGGGAGTTGGAAATTGGTTTGTGTTTTTGAGCATGCGGCGTTTGAGGGCAGTTGGAGGCATTTGTTGGAAACGATGGCTACGCTTGGGACTTGAAAATAATCAAGTGTATATCAAATGGAGTATACCAATGTCCATCTTGATTGAGCAAATTGCTATAAGGGAGAGAAGTAAAAGAGGCAAAAATCACAGTATAAATGTACAAATTTGCAAACTGCAGGCTCATGATCCTTTTGCTTATAAAACGCCAAGTCCAGTATCCCCCTCCGTGTCGTTGCGCCATGGTACTCGATCCGAGTACAAAATCATCATCAATCCAAACTGTTCCATCAAGGACACAAAAAAAGGAAAGAAGAGCTAGATGGCATGAAAGCCATCCACAATCTGGCAAGTTTTCAGGTCCTCAACCATTCCACGACTCATATTCATCATTATCATCACCAAGATGGATAACTCGCACGCCTGTTTTCTCCTCACAGCACCGAAAACAACGTCAAGAAAGGTTTCTCTTGACTGCTTTCGAGTATGTCATCAAAGGGAAATACCCATCGCTGTGGTTGTTTGCGCCCGACCCAAGACGCGGCGCTGCCGACGGTGCCCGCACCCTGGAGCTGTTTGGAGACGGCGTCGTCAGGAGCATCTTGTCGGGGCTCCGGGTGCGGCCCTTCATCATGAGGAAGCCGCTCCCGCTCTCGGCCGCCGTGCTGGTCGGGCCGCCGGACGCGGTGCGCCGGTGATGCCGGTCGTGCGAGCGGTCGTGCAGCAGCTCGGAGCGCGAGTTGATGGTGGTCCAGGCAGCGTCGTTGTCGTCGTCGTCGCCGAGGCGCCAGCCGCCAACGCCCTCAAAGTCCCGCTCGGCGCCGACGCTGGGGATGAGGCCGAGGCCAATGTCGCTGGCGGGCGTGGCGGTGCCGGAGTAGACGGACGAGCTGGGCCGGCGGCGGCGGTGCCTCTTGAGCAGCGTGGACGAGGCCGACGGGCTGACGCTGTTGGCGCGGCTGTTGATGGACGACGACGACGATGGCGTCCGTGGCGGCCGGAGATGGGACCTTTTGCTGCTGGTGATGAGGCCGCTGCTGCTCTCGGCGAGGTGGGCCAGGGACTGCGATACGAGAGACAGGGCGATGTCGAGGTAGACGACGAAGACGCGGAAGATGAGGATGGAGAAGGCAAAGGTGGTGGTGATGCCGGCGAAGATGGCGAGCGGGATGGTGGTGATGAGGAGCAAGGGCACGACGCAGGCGTAGAGAGGGTTGAGGAGCGCCATTCGGGAGAGATTGATTGGAATATATGATATATGTGGATTTTGTTTTCTTCAATCAATTGTGGGTGCAAGTTGATGGGGTCATGACATGGTTGAGGTTTGTTGTTTTGATAAAGTTGGAATTGATCGTCGTTGGTGAGGTGAATGCTCAAATGTCTTATAAAAAAAAAGAGAAAAGGCAGAGCAGAGCAGAGCACGCGACAGACACGCCAAGACAAGTAAAAGTATCAATGGAAGATGAAACAGGCCAAAAGAGGAAAGACAAAAATTCCAATCAAGCCGTTTTGGATTTTTATGTGTGTTACAGAGGGGAGCGCAAAAAGGGAGGATGCGATAAGAAGCTGTTAGAGGGCCAAGAAACTTTGAGACGAAGTTCTGAGCAGGGGCAGGATTGGAGAGGCTAAGCACATGTATGTATATAGAAACGCGGCAGTGGGTCAAGACGCAGAGATGTCAGCAAAGAGCGACAAGGGAAAAAAAAAATCAAATCGTTTGCAGAGTCAGTACCTGGAAAAAGGAAGAGGAGAGGAAAAGGGAGGGGTGGCGAAAAGAAACGAAAGAAGGCTCGGTTATTGGTAGGTAGCCTAAGCAGTTCTGTAAAGCTTGTGGCTGCTTTGGATCTGAGGGTCTAGGTCTTTCGTGGGAGGCGTCAAGGTGTGTGTGAGAGGTTCTATCATCTAGACCTAAGGATTTAGCTGCTGCTGCTGCTGCTAACGTTGGAAGCCTGTTTTTGGCAGCTCTGGAGGAGAAGCAGTTGAGCAGGGAGAGCTCGAGTGGGTTGCGGATATCACATGTTTGGGAGCAACCGGTTGGCCGGATCGGATCCCCGCTGGCTAGGATGAGGAGCCGGGGTTGCTGATACGTTGATATGATATGGGTGCTATTACCACTGCTAATGCCACTGCAACCACTGCAGTCACTGCTACACAAGAGAGGGATGGATGGATTCTTGCATGCACTGCAGTTCATCAGCCATGATTCATGCGGTGCGGGGAAGCGCCGGCCGGCCGCGGCGTGGCTTGTGGCGCGTCTGCTGCTGAATCAGGGCGGGTATGAAGCTTTTGTTAGAGAGTCATGGATGCTGTGCCAAGTCCATGTGGAATCTCCAAGTTTATGCCGAGCAGTATCTACAGCGCAGCCTATACTGTACCAACCATCCATCTATACCATGCAATGGCCAACGCCCACAAGGCTGGATGGAATTCGATTCGAGATCGGCTCTGAGTGGGTCGCCGGGACCGTTCTCCATCCCCGCTCTTCTCTTCTCCACCTCAGACTCACTTGAGAGGACGTTTCACGCCTCGAGCACGTTTTTGATGCACGACATGCAGCTCGGCTCGTTCTGCTGTCTCACTTGTACGATGCCGGCTCGTGGGTAAAGCGACAAATAAAACGAAATCTTGGCAGATTATCCACTTATTCTCAAAAACTTCTCCTTTCTGGAGAAGTCATGAGCCTGCAGTGCATAAAGCTCTGAGACACAAGAAATGTGCCAACAACACCAAAACCAAGGCCACGATGGGGCTCCCGCCGCCTCACCCCAGTCAGATACCAACACCCGGCCTCGCTACAATGACTCCTTCCCCTGGCATCTCGGCGCCTTTGACGCCCACTGCCATCCCACCGACACCATGAGCTCCATCGCCTCTCTCGCCACTCTCAACGCCCGAGCTCTCGCCATCATGGCCACCCGCTCGCAGGACCAGCATCTCGTTGCGCAAGTCGCAGCCGAGCATGGCGTTTCCGACTCAGACTCGCCTTTGAACCATGGAGACGACTCAATCTTGGATGGTCCAGCTAGCAAAAGGACATGCAGAGTCGTTCCGGCGTTTGGCTGGCATCCCTGGTTCTCATACCAGCTCTACGACGACACCGCCTCCAACCACAGCTCTCCCAATTCAAATCCAGATAACGCTACATCTACGACGGAAGACGCCTTCAGGATTGCTCACTACAAAGCCGTCCTCTCACCCACTCCCAAAGACCCATCCTTCCTCTCCTCCCTCCCCCCTCCAACCCCCTTATCCTCATTCATCGCATCCACCCGCAAACACCTCACTTCCTTCCCCCACGCCCTCATCGGCGAAATAGGCCTCGACAAGGGCTTCCGTCTCCCGCAGCAATGGCTCCCCGACGACGCCTCTTCTCGCGACGAGGGCCTCACCCCCGGTGGGCGCGAGGGCCGGCTCCTCAGCCCGTACCGCGTGCAGATGCAGCACCAGCAGGCTGTTTTGCAGGCCCAGCTACGGCTTGCGGGCGAGACGGGGAGGGCAGTCAGCGTGCATGGCGTGCAGGCTCACGGCGTGCTGTACGACACAATAGCAGCGTGTTGGAAGGGCCATGAGAAAAAAATTCTCTCCCGGAGAGAGAAGAAGCAGATTGCTCCGGGAGCCGAAGAAAGCAGCAGCTCCGACGATGACGACAATGAAGATGAAAATGGAAACGAAAAGGAGCCCAAGCAAAAGAACAAGACAGCACGCGGCAAACCCTTCCCACCGCGAATATGCCTCCACTCCTACAGCGGCAGTGCCGATACCCTCAAACAGTGGTTCCATCCCGCAGTGCCCTCCCAAATCTTCGTCTCCTTCTCCACGGCCGTCAATCTGGGCACCGACAGCGGCAGGGCAAAGCTCGAGGGCGTCGTGCGTGCCGTGCCGGACGACAGGATCCTCGTCGAGAGCGACTTGCACATGGCGGGCGAGGAGGCCGAGGCGATGCTGGAGGACATGTATCGGCTGGTGTGTGAGATTAAGGGGTGGGATCTGGAGCCAGGGGTGAGGACAATAGGGAAGAATTTTCAAGACTTTATATATGGATAGACAGCAAATTTTGATGAACATGTTCATTTAAACTTTCTTTCTTCGTTTATTTAAAAAAAAATTAGTAAATTTCTATCAACGCCATGTTGTCGGTGGCACGCTTGCTTCATTCTCGTCCGTTGGTTGTATTCAAACACCACGGCCATATCAGTTTCTAGTTTTTTTCCCCCTTTGTGTGGTATGTAATTATTATTATGTATTAATAGCCCTTTTTCTGCTTCATGTCTTTCCAATCCTGATGGCCCATAATCTCTTTCATCTTCACAATGGTCTTCAATTCCCATCGGGTCTCTTCTCATCATGCATTTCCCTCACTTCATCATAAGCTGGAGGGCTCACGTCCTCGGTGATCCTCGGCGGCAGCGACTCGGCCCTCCTCGCCGCCCTCCTCTCTTCTTCAGCAGCCACCATGTCGCTGAATACAGAGGCTGCCTCCTGGAAAGACGCAAGCTCGTCCTCCATCGAGGCATCCTCCTCATCCCGTGAATTGATCAACATGTTTGTCTTTTCGTTAAGTTCAATGTGTTTGGTGCGGAATAAATCTCGAAAGTTACAAAGGAAATTCTGGATGCTTTGTTTGAAGCCGGCTCGGCGGGCTTGCCTTTGGCAGCGGCGTTGGGCTCGAGCTTCGCGGCGGTGTTGGCGATTACTGAGGTTTCTCGTCCGGCGCGTGTGGCTTCGCTGACGAATGGATCGGAGAATAAAGAAAAGGCCCAGGTGGAAGGTGAAGATGATTGCGAACAGGGGGGCGTAGGTGACGTGCTGTTTGAAAGACTGTTAGAGTCAAGCATTCTATGTGAAATCCTTCTTTCATATGAAACAAAGGAGGGGGAGACAGAGGGCAGCATCTACTTACTCTTCGGGGATGAGCCGGTGTTAGTCTGGTAGAGTTGCTATTACGGTCGCGGTAATAGAAAAAGTGCTGGCCTCCCTCGCCATCCACTTGCATGCTTACAACAAGATCATCTTCTCGGTGATGGGGATAGCGGTGAGGATGGCGATGGTGCCGATGGTGGTGATTTTTATCAGGCGAGTATCCGAGCACGGAATCCACCCAGTGCTCCATGGTGCCTCGGAGAGTAGAAGAGGCGAGCCTGGCGGTTTGATAAAAGGTCTGCAAGTTGAAGGCCGGAGTTGAAGGGGCAATTCCTAGCCCGTCCAATACTTTGCGCTGCTTAACCACAACGAGTTCCCTAAGCTCGTTGATCTGCTGCTCCATGGAAAGGATGCCTTTGATTTCGGCCTTGACCTCGTCGTCGACTTGTGTCAGGCCAGTGATTTCTTTGACCTTGTCCAGAAGCTTTTCCTGGTCGACTCGGGTGGGCGCATGGCCTTCGGTTGTGTAAACAACAGAATCTCCTCCAATGTCGTAGACTTTGACAGGGGTTCGCTGTCTGAAGCTGGTGAAAAAGGTCGTCTCAGGAACGGCCTCTCCGTCCAAGGACATGATTGTCAACGCCAAGTCTTGGTCCCAGGGCACCCGTCGTGCGTGCTCCTTGCAAGTGAAGTTCCAGCTCGCAGTGACGGTGTGTCCGTCCAGCGAGGCGAATGTCCCCTGGCCGGTGCCGTTGTCATCTTGAGAGAGCAGGAATCCGTCGATTCTTACTTTGGCCTCGTTGCAAGCTTCTGGGGATTCTTGGATGTCAAGATTGAAGACCTTTAATGTTGGTGAGCAATACAATTCCACTAGATCACGGACAGCTTTGATTTTATCTTCTTACCAGTGTTTGGTCGGTAGTCTTTGCACTCTTGGAACCGCTCGAATCTATAGCAACAGCGACGGAAAAGGCAGAGCTGGCTGGAGCACCTATTCCAGATGGCAAGAAAAACAATATTAGTACAGGGCTCGATGAATATTTTGATGGCTGCTTCCACGCAAGATCCTCCATCCACTCCGGGTAGGGTACCCAGTCTAGGCGTCTTGTTCATCGTCTTTCCAACCTCTTTCTGATTCCTTGTTTCTCTCGTTTCCACATGGGCGTCTTCCATCATGGCTTGTACACACCTCTTGATGATGTCGGATCCACCGGTAAAGGCCTCGCCAACACTGCCGATGGCGCCAATATGAGCGTCGCCGCCTTGCCGAGGCCACGCATCGTGTGGGTTTTCCAGGCAGCTAGTATTATCGGACGGCGCCGTATAGTATACTCTCCTCTTCGTATATGACAAAACAGCAATGACAGCCAAGACCCAAAACAAACAAAAGGCAGAAACAAACAAAAAAGAACAGACAAGTGGCAAAACGTTTGCAAACAGAATAAGCTTAATAAAGAAGCCTAGAATCCTGCTCCGCAATAATGCTTAATAAAAAGAGAGACGACGTGAGAGACGCGCGTCCGAGTACGAAAGCAAAAAAGCCTTTTTGGGGATGGGAGCGAATGAGGGAGTGTGGGAAGGGAGAGAAGAGAGGGAGAAGAAACAAAGCGGCTCGAGTATCGCCTGCTGAGGCCGCATTGGATTCTACTTGTACAGACACAAGGCAACAGGGCGCCTTACTGGAACAAGCAGATGATGCCCCATTCTGGCTGGCAGCAAAGCCTCCCTTTGGGACTTTGGCCAGGCCATGCGGGCCTTTGGGGCCTTTGGGGGAGGCGCAGCGGGCAAAGGGTCCGGCGACGGGCTTGGAATACGGGCACGCTACAGGCGGTTTGAGACAGATATTACGGGGTCCTGTAGGGCGGTTGGCAGCGCTGGCAGCACCACGGCGTGCGCTGGAGCTACAGCGTTACAGCGGCTGACGATGGGCCTGGGCCTGGGCCCTAACGGTACCTACATTGCTGCACAGGCCCATGCTCGCAGGTCAGCACCTTGATTTTCCAATTGGATTTGGACGAGCGTTTGGGCACGATGCGACGTCTCCGCGCGACGTGCACCGAAAAGCATCAACAACATGCCCAATCTGGACGGCTGCTGTCCAGCGCTCAGAAGCTCTATTTCCTCTAATCTGCGTGTGTTCCTTACGGTGCAAGTTGCCGCCGTGGCCAGGGGTGCTGGAATCGGCCAAACGCTATTCGAAGCACGTCTCAGTTGCAGCAGCACCACCATCACCCATCCCATCTCACCTCCGTCGAGTTCACATCGTCCAAGAGCAACTGACCCGCAGCAGGCTAACACATGCTATGCCTCATCATGCCAGCGGCCAATTATTCATGCCTTCTCCCTTTTCGGTCAACCTCCGTCGCCCTTCTGCAGGCATCGACTCGGCCATCCGAGCCTCCCTCGGCCACACTATTTCTCTCTGACGGACTGGCTCTCCTTCGAAAGGGACTAGACTATCTGCGCAATGATTGAGAAACCACAGAGAGGACCGGGAAATAAGAGGGGCCCGATCGCACAACCTTGCCGGCTCTAGAACACTTGCCTCGTATGGATGGGCGAGGTTATTAAAGATTTTGGGGTTGTGCACCCTTTTTCTGGGTTATGGCCCCATATACTTGTACGACAAACCACATCAGTCAGCAGAGCGTAACCCGGCGTTTACAAAACTACTGCTACCTGCACGGATACTAGCATCTGTTGATATGCCTACTCTTTGTTTCAGAGTAGGGCGGAATAGAAGAACAAAGAAGACGAAGAAGAACCAGCGCGGGCCTCAAGTTTTTTGTCTGTGCTTCGGGCATTGCCAAACCGGTCACTCCGCCTGCTGCGCCGCCTCAGCGAAACAAGTTCCAGCTCGACCTCCGCCGACAAGCCGTCCAGCCGTTAGCCGAGTCACACCAGAAAACCCACTGCTTGCATTGCTCTCCCTCTCTTTGTCACTCTCTCTTTTGACTCTTTTGGGCAGTGATCGAAGAGAGCTGTTGGTCACCCACGGAACTGGCGTGCCGTAGAGCGGTGTCTGTGCGCTGTGCAGCATCTCCTTACATCAGTGTCTGCAAAGCAGCCAGCAATGGTGATAGGCGAGCCCGATTCAGCAGCTAACGCACGGCGATTGCATCAAGGGCAGACGCTACGTGGACACACAAACGTGCTTGTGCTTTGGGAGCAAGAGAAACAAAGGAGAAGAAGCAAGAAAAACCGCTAGCAGGTTGATGCAACGGCGGCCTGCTTTGGGAAATGCGTGTCCCAGGCAAAACACTATTGCTACTACCACTGCCTCGCAGCAGCACCCGTCAACTTCGTGATCAGCGCTCAAAAGACGTCAAAAGGATGCTGCCGCCAGGTCCAAGCTGCATCTTCTAGTTTAGACGCACCGCTGCTAGCTGAATGCCAAGCCACGGGCGACAAACAAGCTTCTTCCCAAGACCGATCTGGCGTGGCGCCCAGCATCCTTACTCAGGAGCTTATACGAGGTGTCATCTCGCCGGCGGCTCCACAGCCAACTAGCTGCTGAAGACGGGATCGAGACATATTCTTCTTTTGTCGCTCCGCATTGCTACTGTAAGTGGGCATCAACTCGGCGGTTACAGAATACTCCGTTCCTGGTCTACACTGCCCCGGCTTGGTAATTGTTGATTATTGCATTGCTTATATTCCAGCAGAGAATCGTCGCTGGCTGGATAGTCTATGGGTAGGTACTAGCCGGGAAGCTGACTTGATACCCGCGCCAGTCTGAGTACAAGTATCCGTATATCCGTCGCACCATGCTCCGCCGAGTGCTTTGATTTTATCACGCTCCAGTTGGCCCTTCTGATCTACCTCTAAACTAGATCAAGTACAGACATGCGGGACGTAGACCATCTTCTGGCCACTTTTTCAACCGCTATGGATATCGGCTCGTGAATTAGCGCACATGGCTCCTTTTCTTGCGGCTACCGGACCTCTACGGCCACAGCTCCGTTGTCCTCCACGAGACTTCAGACTCTGAGAGCTCGGCTCTGTGGTTCCATCTCCTCGCTCTCTTGGGGTCTGACAGATCCACCTGGTCTATAGTCTCTGGAACAATGACCAACACTCGAAAATTCTTTCGTGCCAGCGCATCGTTGACATCTTCCACCTCCTGCCCTAGCCCCAGCCCCGGCTCAGGCTCTTGCGTCAGAGGAGTTCCTGGTGGCGGGTTTCGGAACGAGCCTCTCATCAGGGGGCTCAAGTTGCCAAACCATGAGGTCAGTTCTCTGCTCCAGCTCCACGCATCTTTCTGCTCGTCTGCACCGCCGACAGCCCGCATCCAGGGTTGCAGGGCTGCTCTTACTGGCGCGGCGGCTTCCGACTCAATGTCTGGGCCGATAATATACGCCCGGCCTCGCAACCGCCACTGAGTGCTGGAGCTTTTCGCCCAGAAGACAGCTTCTACGGGACCTCCCATTGTGGATTGCGGCTCTGACGGTGCTGACGACGGCTCATGTCTGCTGCCAATGAGCTCGGGTACCTTTTCCATGCGCACGTCTGTTGTAATGGCCGGCAGGTCACTGGTGTAGACGGCCGGGTTCCGCGGGGCCGGGTTCCTGTGATTGTCTGGCAGAGAAGCCCACATGCCTCGAAAGATGACGGTCCGGGCCCTAGGCTCAACCTGATGGCCGTCCAGCGGATGGAGCGTGCTGAGGGTGAAGGTGGCAGAGTCCATCTGCTGGATGTGCGAGAGGAAAGCAGAGCGCCATGGTGCCTCGCGGTTGGCCATTGTGAGGTGGTGGTTGAGATGGCTCAGAAGCTGTCTTGTGCGTCTTGCAGGCGATGTAGATGGATTCATGGGGAATCCACGTGGTTGTCTCTGAGCGAGAGCAACTGGAGGGGAGAATTAGTGAAAGCACTATTGCAATTCGATGATGCGATTTTAGGAGCTGGAGCTCTGCTTGGCCCCACTTGTGCCGAGCAGGTATGGCGTCTAGAATCAACGAGAGCAACGGTACTGCAAAATAATCTCGCGGGCTTTGATACATGTGAATTGTGATGCGTCTAGAGCCCATTTCTTTTGCTGTACAGGGAATATATACCTTGCATTTCTGATACGATTCAATCATTGGCTTGTTAAAATAGTTCATCATTTCTCAGCGTCACATTCTGCGCGCGTTGTGATTAGTAACTGAAGCTAGCCGAATCAATTAATCAAATAGAGTTGCCTACCCTGGACAGAGGCTAATTTATACGCGTTTAGCGATCAATAATTCGGTTCGCTGTGGTTGAATAATGGGATATTGAAAGCCTCGTGGTAAATTGCATTGATTCCAATTTCATATGAATGCTTCTGATATCGGTGCCGATGAAATATCACTGAACGAGCCAGGGCATGCAACCACTTGCTATGCGTATCTGCCAAGGGAATGTGCCAAATTAGTAAAGCAATGGGCAGATGCGGCGCATCAGTTTAACCGAACGCGCCAAATCAAGACCGGACGGTAGATTCAGTCCATTCCCACAGCGGCGCCACGCCCAATGTCCAGGTGAATTCCAAGCCTGCCTCGAACTGTAGTGCGCTGAGAGAGGCGCGGATTAACTGTTGCTGCGAGCAGACCTCAAGCTCTGGCTTCAGCCCACCACACCCCAGCAGTTTCGCCTATTCTCTTCTCTGAGTCCCAGATTAACAAAGTCCTCGCTCACCTATCAGCTAGTGCCCTGCGGCTGAGAGCTGGACTTCCCCCCCATTTTCTGCATCTCGTCATCCAATCCAACGGCCGCTCCCACTTTTCCCGCTATAATTATTTGGCTATCCGGCAAACACCCCCCTTCGAAAAGCGTGTTATTTCCAGCGCTCAAATCCGACAACCCAAGAAGGATCAACCATTGAAAGATCCATCCCAAAAACAAGCGTCCGATTTGTCCATGTCTTATTCCCGGCGGACAAGCGCGAGCGACAGCTAAACATACACCCGCTGACAGCAAAAAGAACCAGCAGAAGGAGAGACAAACCAGCAGGGGCCTTCGCAGCTTAGGGGCGCGGATCAGGACCAAAAGACAGGGCGAGGGTCAATAGAGGAAAAAAGGAAGGGAAAAAAAAGCAAAAAAAAAAAGCACCACGGGTTTGTCACGGGCGTCATCCCCAAAGGGGACAAAGACCTGCTTGACCGAGGCAAACTAGACATTCTCGGGAAGGGGGCATCTCTCGTACGGACTGATTACGCTGCGTTAGTTGGCACAAAGTGTCGGGTGCGTTGCGCGCGCCGCAGGCCGGATGGATCTGGCGCTCTTCCAGCAAGGCCAACAGGGCCGCTCCATAGCCGTGGGACGTGGCCATGCCTTGCCCCCCAGCTCATTGTCCTTGTCCAACGCCGCCATCGCGTCGCCGGCCGGGACTCATCACCTGCCGGGCCTCGGCGGCGGCGGTGGAGGCACCGGAGCGCTGGGTGGGCTCGACTTTCGGGGAATCGTGTCCCACGATGCCGACGCGACGATGGCCGAGAGTCATGAGAGTGGGCCGTCCAAGAAGAAGCAGAAGCGGAACAAGCCCACGCTGTCGTGCCACGAGTGCGTTGAGCGGAAGACCAAGGTGAGTGAGTGAGTGAGCGAGCGAGCGTGTGCGACTCTGGCTCGCTTTGAGACAAACAGACAGCCAACCAGTTGCGTTGCTTTTCCTCGACTCTGTATGGAGTCTCTACCTCTTACATCCATCCACCTCCCTGACTCGTTTCCTTTTATACCGTGTCTCGCGTCGTCTCACTAGACAATGCCATGGGATTGAGCTTGTCGCGAGCTTGTGTGCCTGTGGCATGCCCAATTGCGAAGAGGCACCTTCTTTGATCTGGCTCATCTATAGATAATCGTCCGTCTGTTTCATAACATGATCTACCTCACATCATCTCATCCATACAACACTTTACGACTATTCCATACACGCCACTATACACATCACCATCTCTCCATCCACTCTCTCACACGTATCCTTGCTCTATCCCGTTCTACACTTGAGTGGTGCTTGGGTGTGTTACACAAACATAGGCTAACATCATATTCCCGGTAGTGCGACAGAGGTCGGCCCCATTGTCTCGCATGTAAGTCACGTCTAGCCTCTTGATACACTCTCACCACAGTTAGACATGGCTGTTGACCAACTCGTATAGGCATCAAGCGGCAGACTGAGTGTAGATATGCGCATGTTGCCAACTTACTTGAGTGAGTTTCTGCCATCAACTCGCCCAATAACCCCCCCAAATCTATCTAAAGGTAGCTGTCTAACATGATATCTTGGATAGGGAGACATCCAGGTCGGCTGCCAATGGGCTCCGCATGACCAAGGCCCCCAAGAAGAAGTCGGGGTCTTCTGGAAAGCTTCCAGTCCCCAACATCGCAGACAGGACTGTCAACAGCAGCGATGATCCCCCATCCAGGGGCGCTGTAGCCCTCTCCACTGGCTTGTTGTCAAACGTTCCATACTCCATCGCCACTGCCAGCAATGTGTTTGGAGTTGGTTCGGAACACCCATTCGCAAACTACTGGACATGTGAAGGTGGCCTCCCGGAAGTCATCTCTGTGCTTCCAGAGAAACTCCAGGCAGACATTTTACTCGGTCGATATTTCGAATGCGTCGATCCGGTGTACCCCATGATTCATCGCCAGACATTCTATGCCGACTATGAACATTTTTGGCAAATGTCTATACCGGAGAAGCACTCGGTTGATGCCGCCTTTATAGCCCAAATATTCGTCATGCTGGCTTTAGGCGCTCAGTTTGTCACGTCGACAACACCTCAGGAGCGGAAACAGACCGCCGAGTTTTACGCTTCCGCTAGCAATCAAGCTCTCCGGATGTTTTCATATCTTAGCACAGCATCAATTCGGTCCATTCAAGCCATGGTACTGATGACATACTTCCTTATCAACGATAACCACGCTTCAGACGGTTGGGCATTTGCTGGTATTTTAATACGGCAGGCTTATGCTATGGGCTTGCATCGTGATCCCAATATAGGTATTTCTGATCTATATCTTTTCTCTAAATATTTTCTCCACATTCAGCCTTCTGGTTGTGTGCCGTAACTAATTTACAATACTCTTTCAGTAACCCCGGATGCTAGTCCGTTTGAGAAGCAGCAAAGACGCAAGGTCTGGCAGGCAGTCTTATTACAAGATACTTTCCTTACTGTGCTCTTGTCTCTACCGCCGTCTGCCACGCATACTGATGTGTCGGTGGATGATTTGCTTGATCACGGATCCTCCATCGCCAGCAGCGACCCGACTGATAATGCCTACATCCGAGGCTCCTGGACGCTGGCAAACCTAGTACAAGAGACCATTTGCTCACCTCGGTCTCTTGATGTGCCCATTTGTGCGACGGCGCGGCACAAGTCGAAACTGATTGCCGATTTCCGGGCTGTTTACCGCTCTTTCCCGGACGTATTTCGCTCGTGGGACGCTGAAAGCCTGACGACGTTGGCCGGGACAAACAAACGTGTTGTACGACAGACACTATTTCTTACGAGCAACTACTTTCACAACCTCATGTTGGTCCACGCGTCGGAAAGCCCGGACGTTCCTGTCAACGCAAGGGGCACACTGGAGGCCGCCCACGATGCCATCGGAGCCTTTTTCTTGCTGTTCAACCTGCTGGAGAGCGAGGCTCGCGTGTGGTGGGTCTTTAACCACAGAGCCTTTCTCGAGGCGTTGTGTATAGGCAATGTCCTGAAAGAAGCAGCCAAAGAGCCTGTGGGTAAGGAACTGCTGGCAAAAGACCCGCTGTTTGTTCGAGCCAAGGCAGACATCAGTAAGTGGCAATGCCCCTCTCTCTTTTCTTCTCCAATTCAAGATGGCATAGTCTTTCTCTCTTCCACTGCCTCCAAATACCACAGAGCTGTTTGAGTGGTTCTTGTCCAGTATGCTAATTGTATACGAACGTTGATAGCTCGGATGATACAGATCATGCAACAGATGGCCGAGGACTCCGAAGTTGCCCGGACCAGGGTTCAAGTGCTGAGCGAGTTTCTGAGCTAATGCGTTGGGAGAATAGCTTTACGGAAACTTTATTGAGACGTCTCCCAACGACTTGCTTGCCCCTTCTGCTTCTCTTTGTTCGCTTTGTACACCCCCCTCTGACAGCGCACGGTGTTGGATAACATGTACATATTCCGGGTACATATTTTGAATAAGCTATGTTGGCTGCTGAACAGTGGCACATCGCTCGTATCAGGTCTTATTTACTTGTTCCTTTTTTTTTTCTTTCCCCTTAGCTACAATTACTACATACGCACGTCGGAAGATGAATTGCTACGGAGTGGAGTTTTGAGGCTCTTTTTGGAACTTGTTTGTACTCGATGTCGCAATGGATAATTATTGTTACTGAATATCAAATGAGTCAGCTACTGGATGAGACGCAATCCTTTGTTGGTTTGAATTACGGCATGGCCGCTGATAAAGGGAGAGCGGGTTTCTGATGGGTACGTGGTCGCATGATCGCAGCCCAAAGTCACTGCGTACAGGTACGTGAGCAAGATAGCCGCGCCGCAATTTCCAGCCCGGGCATACGACCCATTCCAGCCATAATCGAGGTCGGCGACTATCAAGCAGGGCAGGGCAGGGCAGGGCAGGGCAAGGCTCCAGACCACATGGCAGGCCTGTTGCGCCGAGCCTCTCTGGGCTGGGATCCAGGACGACTCCACATCAGATCGAATAGCTATTTTCTTTCTTTTTTTCTTTCTATTTGTGCTATCCCATGTATTCTCGTGTCTGGCGGAGCTGTGGTGGGCGGGTACGAAGCCAAGTACCTTATATTACTGTATATGCGATATAGAGATACTTGGTGGGATAGACAGGGATACATGTACCTTTTTTCCGGTTCTTTTGCGGTGCGTACTTTGCAGCTGTTGAGTGGCATTTTCTATCATGGCTATTACTACTGTCGGGCTCATGTTTGAAAGCCTGATACATACATGCATGGGCATGCGCGTGAGCGTGAGAGTGTGCAAGAAAGAGAAGGGGGGGACGGAGTATATGGTCCAAGGAGAAGAGCGAATGCAAGTACAGCCGAAATATGTGGCCGTGATAGGTGGACAAAAGGTGGGCAATGAAATCATTGCGTTGCTTTGCATCCGAGACGCCTTCATCTCGTACATTGGACCTATTAGGATTGCAGGCTCTGGTGAGATGCGTGATGCCATGCTACCCGAGAAGAGGGTGGAGGGAGGGGTATGACGCTCATATGGTGATTCTGTCTTTTCTTCTTCTTAATCCACTCTAATTTAAATTGGTGTACAAAAAGATTGTGTTTGGTTGTTGGGTGAAGTCGATTGGATGATCACAACTTGTTTAACCTTTTTTCCTTTTTCCATTTCTTGGATGCTGTCTCTGGGTGATTCATGAACTTTACGAGCGGACGAATAGTAGGTCGGCGAGGTGGATATTTTTTCTTTTTTTCTTTTTTGATAAAGTGTGATGTAACGGTGTGGTGTATTCGTGCTCCCGTTCCTGTTGTGTAAGGTATGCGAGCAAGACAACACTACTAAGGCAAGGGAGGGCTTGTGTACACATGTATCTACGCATGGATGAGCACGAGTGGTAGGTGCTGTAGTACAAAGCATCATACGTATCTATGTGTGTGCTCTATTCTGGAACGAGACATGGAGAAACGTGGCGAGTGGTGGTGTATGCTTCTAAAGGTTCCAGCCACTTTTGCCGGCTTCAAGTGACGGGAGGAACAAGGGGGGGTGCTTTTCGAGATTCCGATTCCTGAGCTTTTGGATAGTAAGACAAATGTTCCGAGACAGCATCTCGGGGAGGTCTAGGGGGGCTGAAAGAGGGAAGACATGAGGAATGGGTGTTTCCGTATATGGATGGGAAGTATCATGGCATGGCTCGCAGCTGTAATTATTCAGAGTGCATCATTTCGATTGGGTATTATACGTAGCAGTCGTATCAGATGAAGTACACGTTACAGAGATGGGGATGTGTCATCACAGTGATTGTCTGATTTATTACTCGTGCAGACGCGGGTTTATAAATAGAGGGAGGCAGAGAGTACCTTGATGAAAAAGGGAAATGTATAATAAGAGCATTTGCCGTCCCCATCTCTGAATGGAGGAGACATGTGCTGCGGTTTCCACGTTGGGGAATTCATGGAACAATGGAAATATATGCATTCGTGCTGATATTAGCGGAACAATCAAGGAAAAGGGAATAAGAAGTGCTTTTAGGTATTAGTTTGTAGTACTATCTAGTGCGTAGAGAGACATATATTGGTAATTTCGCCTGCTGCAGGGTGAGCGATTGCAACGGAACTCACTACCAAAATAATACTACATCACAACACGCGAAAGGAAAATAACACGAAGACGAAGATGTGGAAAACAACGAGGCTGGAGTGAAACACACGACGTGTAGTGCAATAGCATCCATTGGTGCATGTAACAGCAATAAACGGTCCATCAACGGTGGAAAAACTGGAAAGCAAGTGTGTTAGCCGCGCGGTGATGGAGAGCAAATTTCCCCTTCCGGACTGCGCGCTATCATTGGAGGGCTGTACAGCAGGCAGCTGGTGAGATGGGTATAGCAGGTAATAGGAATAGGTATCTATTCGCTTGTGTGGAAGTGAATGGGTCGCACGAGTCGTGAAGAGGCTGGATTGGCACGGCTTCTGAATAGTTGCAAGTTTGGCTAGGAAGAGTAACAGAAGCTAATACTGCAGGCTAAGGGGGGTGGATGCAGAGGTCCAACAAAGGAGCGGCCAGTTAATTAATTACATGTAACTACTCGGAATCCATTTCCGCATACAATGTATAAACACGGAATCAACTGCCACAAGTGCCTACGAGAGCAGGTATACAACAAGTAGGTCGGTTGGAGAACAATGTGTGTGTGTGAAAAAATCCACAAATGGCGAGAATCAAAAACCCTTTCGAGGAAAAAGAGAGAAAGCGAGAGCGAGAGAAGAGGGTAATCGAGTATGAGGTACAAAAGCCATTACTGCTTGTATATGACCCAGCACGACTGAGAAAAAGGTCGCCAGCAGACGCTGCCGTCGGAAATGGCCTGCGGGACGGATCCTGGCTCGATCAATCTAAGGTGGTATTACTGCTACCCACCTTGCGCCGTAGGTACTTGGTGTGAGGGTTGGAGTTGTAAGGCTTCATTCTGGGAATAGACACTTGCTTCCTTTTCTTCTGTTGGTGATTGAGGTAGCATTGCTGCTACTACAACAACAAATGTTGATGCGTCCGAGTACCTATTGCATACCTATGTCTGAGCTCTCAGCCGCAAATCATCATGGTGTATGTGGTAACGCATGCGTGAGTCGAATGCCTTGTAGCATTGAGCAATGTTGTATTGTTTCAAAGAATAGTTGCCTTTTTGGGACACAGCATCTTCTGCTTGGGCACGTGGCAGGAATCCTGCGTGAGAAATAGTGGACATGTCATGTTTTTTATTTATTTTACCTTTCTTCATTACTTACTGTCCGTCCGTCCACACAAAGAGGCCGATGGCGATGATTTCTGACGGTGATGACGATGGAGGTGATGGCTAAAAAGAGTGGTGGTGGCGTGTAGGGCAGAATCCAGCCTGAAAAAGCAACATGGCAGGTATTGATGCGTTGTCCGTGGCATGTGCGCCGGATGGATGCATGCCAAGGCGCAGAGTCTATGATTGCTGCCTTGTGGTGCTTCTCAGAAGTGATTGGATTGGACTGAATTGGATTGAAGCCGTTGGATGCTAGCGATAGAGTTTAGAATGGCGTCGGAGAATAGGGGACGGGCCATTTGTTAGTGTCGTGCTCGACTCCCGAGCTTTGCTGCGAGCCACAGTAGTTTGCTTGCAACGCAGAGAATTGAGAGCATCGTGCAAGTGAAATGGGCTCGGCTTCATTCTCCATCGCCAACGTCGCCAAGCGGCCCCGCGCACCAAGGCCAAGCCACCCGCACTAGCATCCGCCATGATCGCCGCGATGCCCAAATTCTAGGCTGTTGAAAATCCTCCGCAGCGGCAGAACAAGAGTTGAGGTCAGTTCAAGCAAAATCAAATCAGTGGCAGAAATGGCTAAACGCCTCATCAACTGTGATCTGAGACCTGGCGGCGCATCGGACATGCGCGCGTGTGTGTCCAACCGACTCCAACGCAGACGACATGTTACAGGCACCGCTCGTCCACCCCCAATAGGGGACGGGACAGCAGACAAAGGTCCATCCAGCCCATCCAGAGGGTGTCCATCAACTGGCATTTGATTGACCTCATCCATCTGAAGCGTCTTGGCGCCCAAGGCCCCCCCCGTTCTGCCATTCTGCCGTCGCGGCTTTGCCCACTCGGCAGCCTTTCTCGCTGCCAGAACCTCACAACGCGTGCTGTACATGGTACGAATTCCAGGTACTTGTACAGTCCTCGATTTCGATTTGCTGCGCAGGGTGGCAAAACAAAGCAGCAAGGACCCCTGGCACAGCCCTGGGAGCGTATCTCTTCCCTTTTTTGACATGTGCCGGGCTGCATGCACGACAATCCACCGGCATCTTCATCTTCTCTTTTTCCTTCTGCCACTGGTCCTTTTTTTTATTTTCTTGCTTGATGTCTGCTTTTACTCGGCAGGGCTCTGAAAAGGGCAGGGAATCTCTCCATCTTCATTTCATATACGCGCGATCCTAGCCTACCTGGGAGGAGATTTTCCCATCCTTTCCTATTTTCCTTGAAGCGACATCCGGCACTATCCCAGACCCCCCCGTCTTGTAGTTTTGACAATCTCTCCTGTGCTGATTGATTCCAATTCCAATTCTTTTTTTACAACTACAGGGGGGTAGCCCAAACAGTGCACTGCAGCAAGTACAGTAGGTTTGTAACTGGCATGAATGTGCCAAAGTCCAGAGTTACGTGATTTTTTTTGTGGTCTTTGAACTTCCAACGCAGCTGAAAAAGTTCCACAACTTCTCTGCCGCATGGCACGGTAGCGATCAGTCAATCCTCTTTTTTGTTGGCCCCTTGAACCAACGACAGCGGCACGCCGGCGATTACGATTGCGGATCTGATAGGGCGTCGGTGTTAAGAATCAAAGGGACAAGGAGAATTTTATACTTCATGCTTGCATTGCAGTGTATACAAGGCGCTGAAGTTGTCCCGTCTGGGCCGCTGAATCCGAAGTTGCGCCCTGAGCAAGTTATAATATAATCATCGCAGCCACGTGTAGTTGGTGGTTGGGTGTACAGAGGGAGCATGTGTGTAATGCCGGGCCATCCTCTCGAGATGGCAAGTAATACGGCGAACGAACTGCCTTGTCTAGACTCGCTACTTTTTTTTTTCATTTTTTTTAAATGTTTGTCAAGGTGCCTGTAAGAAAAGAAAGAAAAAGCCAAATTGCCTATTTTGGCCCCCCTCGCAAGAAAAAAAAAAAAAAAAAAAGTCTCCTTTCGGCGCTACATAGTGCAGTATACCTACTAGTAGCATTTGACATCAATTCCTAAAAAAGACGGGCAGTGGAGCGAGAGAGTCGAGTCAGGCCGGCTCGGCAGCGTCTCCCGTCGCCCTGCCGCATTAGATTCGCCTCAAACGCGGTGGCTGATGCTGATGGAAGCAGATCGGTGGGCATGTGGGATGGTGAGTCCTGGGTAGGGTAGAGTAGCATTTGGGGAATGCGATGGGATGGGGTCGTTCGGACTGCCACCTCGGCATTTCGTCTAACCTTGTCGGTTTCCACAAGGTGTCAAGAAATGTCATCATTCAACGAGTTTGCCGGTTCGGCTGTTGCTTCAATGGACGAAAGGAAGAAAAAGATGAAGTATAATAGAGCATTAGATGGAAAAGCGGAAACAAAAAAAAAAGGAAAGAAAGGGGAGATGTTGCTTGGCGTGTACAGTACTCGTTTGTAGTATGTATGGATATGGGGCATCGACGAGCTTTGATTTGATACAGTAGACTCGGACCTTGTAGAAGATCCCCCTTTTCCTATTGGCCATCAGCCCCATTCATCGGAATCGCTAGGAATTGGCACTTGAAGCCATCATCGTCCTCTGCCCTGTCTCTTGGCACAAAGGGAATAGGCGTCTGAGGAAAGCAGATGCCAGTACTAGTATCTTGAACTGTCATTTCGATTTCAGCGTCGTGCGATATTAATGCATCATTGTCAATGATTAAGGTTTCTAGAATTAGACCCCGCACGTTTCATCTCTGAAGCGGAAATAAATAAAATGTATACAAACGGCACGGCAAGGCAAGACAAGGCATGGGTATTCGGTTCATGTACTGTAGCATTGGCAGGTATCAAGTAATGTTCAGGTATGGGTTGGCATTATCAAAGTCCATCTGAAAGGGAAAATATACGCCATCTCGAACCAAGGGCTCATCTCATCCTTACCCTTTTGCTTCCTTGAGCCTCGCCATTAACTACCTACACACCCGCGCAGTAACTTTCCCTTTTCGAAAAGTCCAACTGACATGTCCACACCATAGATTTGGAGGCGACGCAGCAAGGCTTCTTCCCCAGCTGGGGAATTTGACGAATAGTAGGTTATGGAGAATAGAATAGTAGATAAAACGATTTGTTCTATTGCTAGTATGCAGCAGTTCCATTGATCAGCTACGAGTCGTGCTTTGTAGATGTACGCATGCAAGTATGAGATGGGTAGGACAAGTATATTCATATACTCCCATACTTTCTACGTATATAAAACCATCCTTCTAAATGGTTTACTCTTTGCTTGTATATCTGCGACTGGCTTACAACGGCCGCATCTTGCAGCATCTGATGTTTCTTCTGGCCTTCTACGCTTTCCATGGACGGAGCTAGCTTCCGCTGCCCCTAGCCAGGCGTCTGGGCGCTACTCTGCGGCCCGAAACACCGCCAAGGGAGATTTTTTTTCCTTTCGCTTGCGGATGGCCAAGATTCAGGTCGAAAACGTACAACTTTACGCCCGTACTTGTAGATCCCTTTTAGATGAGGGTGCCAATAAGAGTTTAGCACGGGCGCACGTACCATGTACGCCGCATGGAGTATTCTGTACCAGCTGGCACATGCCATTTTGCATGCACAATACGACGGCCAACGGCTCGAATCTGTACCGGGCTTGGACACCCTTGTACAGAGTACATGGCCCTCGTACATCGCCCGACTTCCCTGCCTCTTCGCTTGGCCTGCCGATTACGTAAAGCTGCGCTGACACAAGACACGACAGAAGCGACCAAAAGCGACCGGGGTCCTCTCGAAAATCACGGCTCATGCAGCTGGAGTCGCCGATGCGGCACGACGTCGACGACATGACACGGCACGCCTGACTCGACCGATTCGCACCGCGCTCAGCTGATTGGCGACAGCTGGGCGGTCCAGCGGCCAATATGATTGCCCCGAAGTGCAGCGCATGATTTCCATATCCACCAACTGCGTCGAGCGCAGACCGTCTTTCTGCGCTGTCGTTGGATGCAGCGTTGCTCGTGGTGCTAGCATACTGCCGGGCGGGTCTCATGGAGAGGGAGACAGAGCATGTGTGAGAGAGTGAGAGTGAGAACATGACACAGCAAAGGCTCTCGACGCCATCTTGATTGAATCAGTCAAGAAAAGGCCATATTCTGCCCACACCATTGCAATGCTGCTGCTGCTGCTGTTCCTGGCTCTCCGGCTCTGCAACACGCTCGGGATTAACGACAAACAAAGAAGCCCGTCCCGTCAGCAGCTCGCATGCCGGCTCTCCATCTCAATGAGGAGGGCCGAGGGCGTCTTTTTTGCCTCTTCTTGGTGTTGCGCTGCTGTTGGTCCCTTCTTGTATCCCGCGGAGTTCCGCATCTCTCCACGGCACGCCAGCTACCCGCCGGAGTGACATCCCGACGACTCACCACAGCGTTCAGGTAAACTCCGCTAACTCCCCGGACCAATTGTTGAAAAAAGTCCCCTTCTCTTTGATTTGATGACCGTGCATGCAGGTAGTATGTTGCCTTGTAGGCCGATGCTTTACAAGTATATGAATGCCACGTCCGACGGGGTTCCATCCGGATATCGCTGCGAATCACATCTTGATGTCAGGAAGCAACCTGGATTCCGGCGACTACCTGTTTGGTCCTTGTACCCCGTACTAAGCCCTTCATGCCTGTGCCAGTACGACCATGTGCGTGAGCATCAGAAAATCTACGGAGCGAACATCGAAAAAGGCTGCTATGTGCGAACGGACATCTAATCTGGCACGATTCGCTTGTGTGTGTGTGCCGCCTAGCGAGCCTGGCACGGCATGGCATTGACGCCACAGTGCCATCATGGCGATGAAGCTTAAGAGCCTCCACCCCGGTTTATTAGCCCCGATCTTAAAATGGACCACCAAGTGGAAGGTGGAAAAAGGAGAAGAAAGGGCACCATGTTAGCCCATCGGATCACGACGAAGCAAAGCCGCAGCAGATACTAGGGGACTATTGCCGCGAGCTAGCAAACATGGAGATGCGTATCCTGACTGGCTGGATTGCATGCATGCGAATAGATCCAAGACATGTTAAAAGGACCAGATATACGTGTGCAACGCAAAGGACGATGCAAAACAGACAGGCTCCTGCGGGACTGTGGGATTGTCTCACTGCCGGCGAGTGGTCGCCGATCAGCTGGAGACCGCGATTGGTCGATACGTCACGCCTAGATCCCCGAGAGACTTTTACCACTCGTAAAACGGGATGCTGTGTTACTCTGCGAATTCAACCAGATGATTTGAATTTGAATCAAAGGATTCTTTGCCTGTGATCAGAAACAACATGCCGTCGCGGGATCAACGGGTTGTTCCCACTCATACACGTAGGAATTTACTTGGCCGATATTAGCGCAAAGCGGCCAAATTGCACAGTGCGCAAAGTCTTCATGTAGGTGGAACTCGGTGTCCCGCGCGGCTGTGGGATAGTAGGCACATGCTGCCGAGTGGGATAGGCGATGGATGATGCCACGACAACTTCTGCAGTGCTTGAAGCCAAAGGCCGTTTTGGCGAATACAGGTCATACTGTACTGTACAGAGTTGCAAGTGCGAGGATGACGGCACGCATCTTGCATGAAAGAGGATACTCATGCCACTGAAATAGACACTGAAAACGCCCGTACAAGGGAAAACCCGGGGTAGAGATTGGATCGCCGTTGAGCTGGGTGTGCTGCTGCTGCTGCTGCTGCTGCTGCTCTCGGTTTAATAACAGCAGAGTGGACTACGAGGACCTGCTGAGATCAAGCCAACATGAACAGTTGCATCGGGCCGCTTTCCATTCGGATGCTGAAGTCGGTAATTCACTCACTGAGAAACCAACGCTCGCTCTTTATTCGCTGTCTCGTCTCATCTTGCTACACGGCGGCTGTGGAAGAAAAAGAAACACATATACACGAAGAAGAAAGAAATGACTGACAAAAGACAGCATGAATATGCCCAGCCTTGCGTGCGGCGTTGCCGTGGAGCGGCTCAAGAGCCTCGCTTACGGTGATAGCTGGGCTTACAGGCGATGGCTCCTTGCCCGCGGCTATTGCCCATCCTTTGTTCAAATTTTCTCCTCCCGCCTGTGCTGAGATGTCCTGGTGCGGCAAAGGCGCAGGTACTTGTGGTGCTTGCGGCGATCCGCTCTGTGGATCATGGGTCCAGGAGACGTGAGACGATGGGATAGGTATCCGTACCCATATGGACTGTATCAATCTCATGTTGTATGGCCGTTTTGGCAGGGAGCGCTGCTGCCAAGGCCTGTAGCGACGGGCGAGCTCAACCTGGCGCCCAACCGGAGGATGAACCCATCGCTGGCTGGTTGCAATCTGGCGGCCGCTCCCTGCCCATGATCCTACCACGAGCTGCTCCTTTGCGCTGCTACTGTACAGGACAGTATATGGCCTTTTGCTTCCACCTGAGCTTCTGGATGGCACGGACAGGCCCGCTCGGCGAGCCACATTTCACGTCACAGCAGGTAGCAGCCGTTGCAAGTGGGACAGGCATCGCAGCATGTTGTAGTACCTACTTGTAGGCTTGAGGCCACTGCTAGGCCAGCCAGGCCAGGCCTACATGCCAGACCTAGGAGATGGCGCGAAGCCTCGTTGCACGAAAGATCTAAGATGCCGAAAGCTTGTGTGTGCTGTGGCTCGAGCCTAGGTCGCCCTAAAGGCTTAGCTCCGGTATCTATACGCATCTGCAAACGACCGGACCGGCGAATAAGAACGATGGGAGCAAGGATATGCTGAGAGAGTTCGAGTTCACAACATGGAGCGAGTTTCGCATTCCTAACCGCAGCCTCATCTCATACTTGCGCATACCCTAGTTCAGCCTATAGAAAATAGGCTGTGTGTATAGAATACTGACTGTACAGTATATACATCCATACGCGGGGGAACCTTTTCGTTGTGACGCGGCATCGGGTCTAGCAAACGGCTGTTCATTTCCCCCGGCCGTCCTTGTAGATTCTGCCAGCTTGATGCTAAGAAAACAACGGCGTGGCAAAAGCCGAGTCGGCGCGGCGCGGAAGCGCGTAGATCTATCCTGCCGTAGCATCTTTTTTGCTTTTTGTCCAACTTAGACTGAGATGATCAATACTACTAGTTCGTTGTATTAGCGGCGCTCTGCTCTTCTGCCATACCGGCCAGCTTTATTACAACATCATGTTGTGGAAACAATGGGACACCTGCTCTGGGGCTTTCTTCTCCTCTCTCCGCGTTGCGGCGGCGATAGCATAGGCACAGGGCTATATGGGACACAGTGCTATGGCCTATGTCCTATGCCTTTTTACTATCGCTCCATTTTTTTCCCATACTTTTTTTTTTTCTTACAATGGGCGTTCGGGGACGAGAGCGACTGTCTATGTATATTTCTCCTCCACTTGAAACTACGACGTTGACGCTCGTATACCCTACATTAGTGGAAGCCCAAGATGCACAACAGAATGCTCAACCAACAACACAAAAGCATGTGCTACTGAGAGGCGGTGCCCTAAGAAAACAGCTCGAATCCACTTGCTGCTGCATTCTGCGAGTTTCGCTGTAACATGAGCAATGCACGAGCAGATGTAAGCACGCATTGGCTGTACTGCATTGTAAAGAGCAGCATCTAGGTGTATGAGTGCAGGCACGAAGCTCTGAGATGAGCCCCGGATATCAAGGCTGAACACTGGCGTCCTTGTTCCCTAATCAGATAATACCTGTTACATGCCAACATCTATAAGCAACCAGCTTTTGCTTGACGACAGCCGAGCCATGTGCTGCAAAACTAGACGAGGCAAGGCAAGGCAAGGCTTCAATGGCATGGCACAAGTACTGCCGTACGTGTTTGTGTGGAAATGCCCAATTGGGCAGCGTGTCGACGCAGTGCGCCATTGGCCATTGGCCATCGGCGGTAGATGCGGCTTGTGTCGCTAAACCCCCGACGCTGCATGCACGCATGTACGCATGTACTCATGTACCCATGTACCCATAACCCCCAAATCTCTGCGACAGCTCGCACCGTCCCGCGTATTTGCGCACCCGGCAGGTACAAGGTACGCGCTGCAAGTATCCGATACCTCTGCAGGAATCCAGGCGCACGTCGTATGCTCGTTGCAGCAAACGCAGCTTGCAGTCAAGTGTCGTCTTGCCCACAGTGTGGTCTGGCTCACCTCGATCCCTTCGAAATACGGGGGCGGTCCCCGATTCAGCGAGTGACCGTTGGGGCAATTCGTGAGCGACGGGGCCGACTCAGGGTGCAGGCACTGTGTGCTACGTACTGTGGGAACCGGCGGCCCTTGCGCTCCTTCTGGGGTCTGGCGTCCCTGCAAGAGTCCAGGTACCTCGCGGTGGATGTACCCCGTACCTGCCCCCCCCTGGTGCTGCGAATACAGTACAAGCTGGCCGTGGTACTTGTGCCCCATGTCCCTGCTTGCGAGGTGGACCCCCCTCCCCCCAAGTACTAGTAGTACTGCCTACTGTGCCCACGCCCGCCCAACAGCGCAGCACACTCCTCGGGCTTCAGGCCAACAACCTTGCTCCTGTGCGAGGTGTAGGTGCCTGTAGCATCCAGTACAGCTCTCTCTCTATACAGGGTCCCCGTCTCATCGATTTCTCGGACAGCCGTTATTTAATATTACAGGTCACCACCCTTCCTGCGGCGCGCCTCGCTCTTTTACTACTTCTCTGTTTGCGTGCTCGCTTTTTCCATCTCTCTCGACTCTTGACTCTCGACTCTCGACTCTCGAACTCTTCCTTTTCCCAAAACGCAGATTCAGATTCATCAGACGAAGCCTCCCGCCGCCGCCTCAGTGCCAGTCGCTCGACCGACCTGGCAATCCATCGCCCAACCGGAGCCTAGCATCTCCCCTCTCGGCAAACCTTCCAAGCCACCAAAAAGCGTATCGCTGGCAGCTCCATTGAGCTACGGACGACCGACGAGAGATCAGACCGCTGCACCACACACACCACGCCACTTACCTCGCTCTCAGTTCTCCACAGCCTCAAACGACCTTCTTTCCCCGTCATTTCCCTCGACGCTAGTGGGAATATCGGACGGCTGGCTCGCGCTGTTTTTTTTCTTCCCAAGCCTCTTTACCGAGATCAGAGCTGGTTACTGGACAGGAAAAAAAAAAGGTTCGTCGACGGAAGTTGCGACGGCGAGCTCCACCGAGCTAACGTAAGGCCAAAGCTACGCTCTTTGTCCACCCTTTTTCTTTGCTTCTCGCTCCTCTCGCCTTCTCTCCACTCTTTCTCTGGAGTCCTTTCTTCCAGTCCACGAGGGCAGCGTCCACCGACGCTTCAGGAGACATCTGACACGACCTCGACGAAACTATTGAAAACCACATCCTCGATTTTGATTGTTAGGTGACAACGCCTAACACCGCCACAATTGCTCCGTCCAGAGTCTCGTCGCGGGAAAACAACTTCCGCGATATGGCTATCGACGCTTTAAAGAACCTCATCAACAACATCCCCGACTGGCAAACGAAGCTCGATGAGCTGAGTAGCCAGGTCGACAAGCGCCAGCTGGAGCTGGCCGCCTTGGCCGAGGCAAACCCCCACAAGGAGCCCGAGACCAGGTCGCTGAGGAATAAAGGCTCAACGGAATCCCTCAAGCCCAAGGATGATGGCGCCATGCACATCTTCTTCACCGATGATGCTCCCACTCAGCCACAGCCCGACATCGTCAAGGCACCCTTTCACGGTCCCAGGGAACGCCGGTCGTCACCGCCAAGCCCCGCTGCCGAGAAGCGCCCCCTATTCCCCAAGTCTTCGACAGATACCAATGCCATCCCCAGCGCCAGAGCGGCCAAGAAGAACAAGACGGCGTCTATTGCCTCGGCAGATGGCCCCCGGCAGACATATCGTACTAGGAATATGATCATCGTTTACTACGACAGCTACGTCCAGGGCTTCTTTGACGACCTGGTTCGGTTTATATCGTCAAGTAGGAATCTGATGCGAAAGGCCAAGATGGCTGCCAAAGTGGCGCAGATCAAGAAATTGGCCGAGATGGAAGTTCCCGACGACGAGAACACCGGCGGCGACGACAGAGGTACAGAGGCACTCCCATCACTACGATATATCAGCAGTCGGCGGTATGGACCTGCTGCCATGCGCAGTGGCCACCCCGGCCTGTCCAACCACACTCCCGACGTATATGACGAGCTGGACAAGGCGCTCGAGTTTGTACAGAGCACGTGCGAGCACGGCGCCCATCAGTTCTTAAGAGATGCCAAGTGCAATGAAGAAGTACAAAAGATCCAGAAGCGTATCGGTGAGGTGCTCGAGATGGCCAAGAAGGAATTCGAGCGTATTGAACGCGAAGAGCCCGATCAGTTGAAGGAGGCCGAATCCAAACCCCGCACCATCAAGTCCATCACCGTCAGCAGAACATTGGTACCGCATCACAAAGAAGGCGGCGATCCACATTCGCAGAAGCTCGAAGTGGCAGATCCCGCCGCACCAAGGGCCCCCATCATGCACATGGTCGATCGAATCGAGGCAGACCCAAATGCCGATCAGAGCGACTTCGATACAGAAGCCATGCTGGCAAAGATGCGGTATCGCTCAACACGGCAGATGCGCATGCGTGCCATAGTAAATTGAAAAAAAAAAAAAAGGAAAACAAACAAGTCTGAAAGCTTCATCTATTTTTTTTTTTTGCATAACCGACGTAGCTCGGGCATGAGGATCAGGAGATTTGAAACATTTCCTTGCCAATGACGGAATGAAAAACCAATTCTTTTGTTTTTTTAACGATCCTGGTATGCATAGGAGTTCAGGAATAATGGGCGGGGAGGTATACATTTAAGCATTTCACTCAAATGGGGGCTATTGAAGCCAAAGTTACAAAGGAAATATCGCATTAGCCGCGAAAAGGGGCGTTTTTGTTTACTTTTACTTTACTACATTTACTCTTTTTTTCTCTTTTCTTCATTACTATCCATCATGCCTCCTTCATTTGGAATATCCTCTTTTTTTTTTTTTTCCTTTCCACACACACACCAAATCTCTTCGGTTTCTTTTTTCTAGGGCAGAATATCCGGGTCCGATCATGCCGGGCCTTCTCGTTGAAGGAAATTACATCTTTTTCGATGTTTACGAAGTTGAAAGGCAACGCAGTGCTGGATTCTGAGCCTATTCCTTGTCTATCATGAAAGGAACCTACTTATTCTTACCTCTTTCTCTTTCCTGGTGTATATGAGTCTCTGGATATGGACACGGATACCGGGTCATGGTCAACATTTAGTACCATCTATAACCACTTCTTTTTTTATATCTATTTTTTAAACAACTTGATACAAATATGATATGGGCTCTTTTTCTGGGTATATGACATTGATTCCCATTGTGGTTGATGGAGATACATATAGTACATTTAATGGAAAGCTGTGAATCGGATGAATCTTTTTTTCTCCTAACTCTTTACTCTCGTCTTCGTCGTCCTGTAGTATGGCCATTTTGTGAAGTGCAGTAGAGGAGCAAGAATCTGTGAACACTGAGCATGCTTTCGCCAAAACTTGTGCCTTTTCAGACTCAGTAAACCATCTGGAGAATGTTCTCTGCATATTATATTGAATCGATAAATTAGAAGAAAATTATTTGTTCTAAGTTATAGTGGTTTTCCTATGGTTTCAAATTCATCCTTCATGGCTGTAGCTTGCAGCAAGTGTAGGCAGCCGAGCTCAACGGTTTCTAGCTCTGGCGGGCAGCTGATTTTAGTGGTTGCTAGCGGATGCCTAAGTACCTATGCGGCCAAACCAACCCGCTGTGGCGGCGTAGGTACCTGGCAAGCTCCGATCTAAAGGCGGCGCATATTAGCAGGTGACGTCCCTCCCGCACTTGGAAGCCTCAACACCGCTACCAACTCTCTCTCTCTTTTCGTTACACATCCCCGAACGAACGGCGATATCTGGCAGCCCCCGTTTCAAACCGTTGTCTCTGCCGACTTGGCTCTACCGTCTATCCAAGATGACGGCTGCCTCCTCCCTGGCCGAACGATAAGACGTCGCATCCCGCCCCTCTCCCGGTCGTCTCGTCTCGTCTCGTCTGGTCTTGCGTCTCTCTGAATTGCTACCGGGAGGACAAGATCCAAATACATCACAATCTCTTGATTCATCATGGGTCAAGGCTTCTCTCTCGCAACGCCGTCGGCCGGCGCGGCGGGCATAGATATTGCCCAGCTGCAGGATATCCAGTATGAGAAGAGCATTGGAAATGCCCGGTTCATGAAGAGTATCCGGGGCAGGCATGAACATGGCGTCGTGCTGGTCAAGGTGCTTGTGAAGCCGTATACGGAAGTGAAGTTGGAGAAGTACAAGAAGAAGATTATAGGTGGGAGCTTTTAACTGTGTCTGTCGTTTGACACGGGGACCATATCTGCTTGCTAACCGTGTGCACTCTGATTAGAGCAACGAAAGGCGTTGGCGGATGTCCCTAATGCCCTGGGCTTCCAGCGCATCATCGAAACCGAGACAAACGGATATCTGGTGCGACAGTTCATGTACAACTCTCTCTATGATCGCATGAGTACGCGGCCTTTCCTCGAGGATATCGAAAAGAAGTGGCTGGCCTTTCAGCTTCTTTGCGCCCTGCGAGATTGCCACGCGCGGGACGTCTATCATGGCGACATCAAGGCTCAGAACGTGCTGGTTACATCGTGGAACTGGTTATATCTAACGGACTTTTCATCTGCTTACAAGCCCATCATGCTGCCCGACGACAACCCCGGCGATTTTTCCTACTTTTTCGACTCCTCTGGGCGGCGGACGTGCTATATTGCTCCCGAGCGGTTTTATTCATCCAATGAGGCTCCGCCGCAGAACCCCAAGATGACGTGGGCCATGGACATCTTCAGCGCGGGATGTGTCATTGCGCAGCTGTTCCTCGAATCTGAAATATTTAGTCTCGCACAGCTGTACAAGTATCGTCGGGGCGAATACGATCCGGTCATTACCCATCTGAGCGTCATTTCGGACAAAGATGTGCGGGACATGATTGCTCACATGATTCAGCTTGACCCAGAGAGGCGTTACTCGGCGGAGCAGTATCTTGACTTTTGGAAGGATAAGGTCTTTCCTAGTTATTTCTACAACTTCTTACATCAATACATGGAGCTTATTACGGATCCGTCTTCTGGGAACAGTCCGATATCTGGAGCCCAGAGTAACTTGGGCGAGTCGGATAACCGGATAGATAGGATTTTTAACGATTTTGACAAAATTTCATATTTTTTGGGATATCCCAACGAAAAGCAGACCGCGGAGCCGATAATTCCCAAATCGAGGCTGGGGCTGGACCATTTCCCTGTCAGGTTGAGCATTCCGACCCACGAACACTCTGTTTCAGCAGACCTCGAACCACCAGAGGACGATGGGACGTTGTTATTTCTAACATTGGTTGCCTCGGCTATGAGGACAACAGCCCGAGCTGCGTCTAGAATCAGGGCGTGTGATTTGCTATTAGCGTTTGCTGAGAGACTTACCGACGAGGCTAAGCTCGACAGGGTGCTTCCGTACCTCATGTCACTATTGCGTAAAGAGGAGACGGATATGGTGCTGGTTACAGTCATACGAAACGTCACCCAGCTATTGCAGCTAGTACGGACGACCACGCCAATCAACTCCCATGTTTTGGTGGAATACGTCTTGCCTAGGATGGAGATTGCCCTTGGGACAAAATCGTGGACTCCTAATCCCTTGGTGCGATTGACGTATGCGTCTTGCATAGGTAGCCTTGCTTCCACTGCACAGCGTTTTCTAGAGATGGCATCCAGTCTCAAGACTGATGGATCGATGCCGATTACCGATCCAGAGGTTGAGCCTGGGACTAATGGCGCCACAGCAAACTTTGAAAGTATGTACGACAATGCAAGCCGACAATTATCTGAGATTTTAGAGAGCCATGCAAAGCAACTCGTCGAGGATCCAGACGCCAACGTTCGACGAGCGTTCTTGACCTCTGTGCCAGATCTCTGCATGCACTTCCAGGACAATTCAAATGATATCCTACTTTCGCATTTGATTACCTACCTCAACGACGGAGACTGGATGTTGAAGAGCGCCTTCCTGGACACGGTCGTGGGCATTGCAACTTTTATGGGAAGCACAAGCCTAGAAGAATTTATGCTACCTCTCATGGTCCAGACTTTGGCAGACTCGGAAGAGAATGTTGTGCGTTCAGCTCTGCATTCTCTGGCTCAAATTGCAGGACTGGGACTGCTGTCTGGGCCAAGAATCTGGGAGTTGGCTGACTTGGTAGCACGACTTACCATGCACCCAAACGCATGGATTAGAGAATCTGCAGCTGAATTCCTATCTATGGCTGCCAAGTTCTTATCAAAGGCCGATATCCAGTGCATATTGCTGCCATTGGTCAGACCATACCTCAAAATACATACTCTCTCCGATTTTTCTGAGCTAAATCTGCTCGACTCTCTGAAGAAGCCTCTCCCTAGGGCCGTTTTTGACCAGGCACTGACATGGGCCTCCAAGACTGATAAGGGAGTCTTTTGGAAATCTGTTTTGGGAAAGCGGTCGACACCGGGCCAAATACCACTGGCCTCGGCAGCCCGATCGTCCAAAGAACTGATATCCTCTTCTTTGAGCAAGATTAACCGCAACGAAGAGGATGAGCAATGGCTCGAGAAGCTACGGAATTTCGGCCTCAAACCCGAAGACGAGTTGAAACTGCTAGCTTTGGGCGAGTACATCTGGCGACTTAGCAAGAATAAAGCTCGCGACGCTTTTGTCGTCTCTTCCACAGAGGAAGAGAACATGCCAACAGGATTTGTTCAGCTGAAGGAGCTGGGTGTAACGCCGCAGACGGTGTTCTTTGATGATACGGCCCTGAAAGATCCTGCTGCTGTTTTGCCGGATTTGGAGCCTACACCTCCTGTAACAGGTCCGTATACAATTGCAGATGCACTATTAGACGCCTCTATGACAATAGATGATACACTCGGTAAGAAAAAACGCGCCGCTCTTCATTCACACAAAAGAGTACACAGTATTGGGCCTTTGCCTTCCAGGAGTACAGGTAGGCTCTTGTCTCCTACTGGGAGTGGCAGAGCTAGTTCGACGGACTCTAGGAGGGCGATGACATCTCCATTAGGCCCTGGGGATGACTCTGTTTCTGTCAAGGATGCATCTTATTCTTCTCGCAGAGGCATCCGCCACCAGTCAAGTGCTCTCAGTCTTTTGGATCGCAAAGACGGCCACAAGTCCATCCCGGAGACTGGAACAAGCGATGCTAATGCTTTTGGAGAAGTAGAAGGGCCGTTTGCCCAGGCAGTGCCAATACAGGTTGTTTCTGGGCCAGGCACGGAAGCCGAAGAAAATGCCCGCCAGAGGCATGTGCGCCATAGCTACGAAGGGACAGACCCTCATATTCGACGCATGCTTGACAACATGTACGTCGAAAACTTCCCTCGCGACGTGCTCGAGTTTGGGCCCATGGTACAGCCTATATCTGGAGATAAGAGCAGATCGGTCAATGTCCCTGGCGCAGACCCTCCTTGGAAGCCGGATGGCCATCTCGTGGCGACATTTGCAGAACACCACGGGCCTATCAACCGGGTTATTGCCTCTCCGGACCATATTTTCTTCATTACAGGCGGTAATGATGGGACGGTCAAGATATGGGATACACAACGGCTTGAGCGCAACATTACAAACCGATCGCGGCAGACTTACAAACATGCTGAAGGCGCTCGAGTTCTTGCTCTCTGCTTTGTTGAGAATTCTCACTGCTTTGTCAGTTGTGCGTCTGATGGCAGCGTTCATGTAGTCAAGGTTGATACAGTTCCTACAAGCGGTGTGATTAGGTATACAAAGCTACGAGTTTTGCGGGAATATCAGCTACCAGAAGGCGAATATGCCGTATGGTGCGAGCATTTCAAGCAAGAGCAAAGTTCCATCCTCGTCATTGCTACGAATCTGTCAAGAATTCTCGCCATGGACTTGCGGACCATGACTGTGCTCTACATTCTGGAAAATCCTGTTCATCATGGAACACCAACTTGTTTCTGCATTGACAAGAAGAGGAACTGGTTGTGCGTGGGGACTTCTCATGGCGTAGTCGACCTTTGGGATCTTCGTTTCAAGATGAGGCTGAAGGGCTGGGGTTTGCCTGGAAAAGGATCGATCTATCGGATCTGCGTGCACCCTAATAAAGGAAGAGGCAAATGGATCTGCGTCGCTGGAGGAACCGGGCAAGGAGAAGTTACCGTGTGGGACTTGGAAAAGACAACTTGCAGAGAGATATACCGGACTGGTCATACTAAGGATAGCCAGAAGGGATATACTGCGTGGGAAGTCGATGAGGATAAGCCCGAAGGGATGCTTGGCCGGTTTGCGACCAACCTCGAGATTAGCGACATGGGCAATGGAGATCGTGGAGTTCGGGCGATGGTTGTAGGCACGGGAACGTCAGAGGACTCTCGCGACGTCCGGCACGCATACATGCTCACGGCTGGGTCAGACAAGATGCTCCGGTTCTGGGACATTTCGCGGATCGAGAACTCTTGTATCTACAGTGGCCTCCAGCCTGATGAACAGCCGCCTACGTATACAAGCACGAACCCGACGTCGTCGACGACGCTGAACACGGAGCGGTTCGCGAGGCACGCGGCATCTTCGCCCAATGCGGGGACGGCTAGGCAGAAGGCGCCGAGGTCGACGGTGATTTCGCAGCAGCAGCAGCAGCTGTTGAAATCGCATTTGGATCTGATTATGGACGTGGCGATTTTGGAATATCCGTACTCGATGAGCGTGTCTGTGGATCGGTCTGGCGTGGTTTATGTGTTTCAATAGAATAAAGTGTTTTCGGCTACTGGAAAAGGAGGAGCGGGTTTTATGACATTGGCATTAGATGAGTAGATTTATGTATTGGACTCTGGGTTTAGTCTGCTTGGCTCAGAGTGAGGAGGAATGTCTAATGCCGAATATGGCTGCTGTAGTTTTTATATGTGGCGAAATGGTCAATGATGAATGAGTACGGTTATACATTTGGACATGAAGTTGATTTAGTATAGTAGTTTGCTGTCTCTTGTCTAGGGTTGTAAATTCGTAGGTACGAAAAATTTCGTACTTTCGTAGTACGAAATTTTTTCATATTTCATATACGAATTACGAAAAACTTTCATACTACGAAAGTACGAAAAACTTTCATACTACGAAAGTACGAAAAACTTTCATACTACGAAAGTACGAAAAACTTTCATACTACGAAAGTACGAAAGATTTTCGTACTTTTCGTACTGCCATTAACTTAGCATCTTTGACACACCGCCTTCTTATCTTAGCTATAATACCGGTAAAAAGACTACACTGCCCTCTTAATTAGGAAGGTATTTAAAAAATACAGAAATCTTTTTTACTTTCATACTATAAAAGTTTTTTATATTTCGTATACGCATTATGAAAAAAGTTCATATTCATAGTGGAGTACGAATTTGCAACCCTGCTCTTGTCTCTTAACTCTTTTGAAGGAGTACGAAAAGTACGAAAAGTATGAAATGTTGCTTCTTGATTATTATAAGGTAGAGCGACATTAATATAAGACACTATCGCCTGTATAAGTAGCTGAGATACTAGTATAAAATTGAAAATAAGAATAAACCTCCCCTTTACTATCCGAGTCCACAGCCTCAAATCTGGTATTCCAGGAGGACGTATGTAATGCACATGACCCTTGTATTAAAATTTCTCTTTGCTGAATAGAGTACACTTTTAGCCACGCTCTACTCTGGTTGAGAGAGGAATAGCCTAGCAGCTGTTGTACACTGATTTCGGTAAAATCAAGTGGTGACTATCAACAAACACTAGGTACCTAGCTATCGTACATCTTTACTAAATTCGTACAACTTGCATATATAGGTCAAACTGTATCCACAACCTAGTACATACGACCATAGGTAGTGGAAAACTCGGGGTCCCGTCTGCTCCCCCATAGATAAGCCACTAACCGGCAGATTAGTAGTTGAGTGGGTGACCATCAGCGAACACCGGCTGTTGTATGTTTTTGTCTTTTCTTTTTTGTCTCTTTTGTCTCTTTTTGTCTTTTACATGGTTTCATAAATGTTGTTTATATAAGAAGACTTAACACTAAAGATAAGCATATACGACCATAGGTAATGGAAAATTCGGGGTCCCACTAAGCTCTTTTTTTGAGTTTATTTTCTTCCTTTCTTTGCTTCTCCCGACTTCAAGATTGGTGACACATGATTCCGTTTTTTGAGGACAATAGGCCAGAGTGAATTCCATCAAATTAATGACACTGGGTGCCTTGGTCGTGCAAAATAAGTTCGCCATAGGTGAGTTCATGGTATTGCGTAGTTCCCAAGGGGTAAACGGTATACATATTCTAGCAATCATTTGTTACAATAACGGTTCATTTTGGTAGGGAATCAATTCGATTCTCTTCTTCTTCTTCTTCTTCTTTTTTCTTTTTTTGAAGAGAGAGAGAGCATCTCTCCTATATACATGTACTGTGCAGCTGGCCAAGACCAGGCTGAAGCCTGATGTCAGCTTGGACCGACCAATCCAGTATCAGAGGTTGTATGCCCAATCACCTTGACCAGCCTCGAATCAAATCCCGCCGCTACAGAATGTGAGCCTTCTCATCATATCTTTTTGTCGGTATTGTCATTCTTCAACCCGACTTCGCAACCTACATGCGCGGCCGATGTAAACCCTCTTCATGAGCTTTACAAAATACATTTCTCCAAGATCACGATGCCGCCGCCAGCTCGTCAGCGACCTCGCCCAAGACCTGCTCCAAGACCTGCTCCAAGACCTGCTCCGCCGAACAAACAGTCGGACAATGGCCAGCTCATGACACCTCCAAAAGGCCAACTACAAGCAGCTTCGTCTGGGCCGGAAAAGAGACAAATAAAATACAACATCTTGACTTACCTAGCCTGCGTCCAAGAATGCCAGATAGACGTGACCGACATGGTACCGATTGAAGCCCAGGGCATCTTGGGCCGCGGCGGCCAGGCCATTGTAGTGCAGACGCAGCAAAGCCTCGACACGACCCTGGCGTTCAAGTACAGGATACCGGAGCCCAGCATGTTCGGAAGCCGATCGTGGGCGAGCGAGAAGGGCGACGATGCGGCTTATCGCGAGATCTGCTCGGAGGTGATGGCGCTGGGACACCCTGAGATACGCAAGCACCCCAATATTGTGCAGTTGCTCGCCGTCAGCTGGGAACTTCGCAGGAAGAAGGGGTGGATCTTCGGCAGCACTCTGCAAGTCTGGCCGATGATGATCTTTGAGAAGGCCTCACATGAGGACCTGCGCAAGTTCATGACGGCTGGCGAGGGCAAAGAACTGAGTCTCGCTGCTGGTGTTGGTATATGTGAGGACCTCGCGTCAGCGCTCGCAGTCGTCCACAGCAACGGTAGTTGTCATCTTTTTCTTCCAACCCTTTCCATCACCTCCATCCAGTGGCTTGACGAATCTAACGAATGGCTTCAAAGATATCATCCACGGCGACATCAAACCGGAAAACGTGCTGGTGTTTGCAGGACCCGTCGTGAAGCTGGCAGACTTTGGCTTTTCCGCGCTTGCATCGGGCAAGCCTTTTCGACTTGGGGGGACTGAGCCCTGGGTCGCACCAGAATACGACAGGTCAGGTCGTTACACACTTGAGCAGGCCAAGCTAATGGACCTCTACTCGTATGGGCTGCTATGCTTGTGGGTGGTTTTCAGGGACCAGATACAGGAGATGGGATCGCAAATACCAGCACGCAATGGCTCCCTACTCTCTCGTCTATCTAGCATCTTGAGCCGGCGCTATCGCGACATGACAGACTCCCCCTCTCCTGTACCTCCAGACCCGGTCTTGAACTTCTTTGCCGAATACAACGTAAAGGATGCATCGCAGAACATGATGCGAGCGCGTGCCTTGGAGCTTGTGGACAAGATGGACAAGATAGACGAGTCCGGGTTCAAAACGGTGTTGCATCGGCTATTCGCCACATCTCTCTCATACAAGCCTGCCGAGCGATCATTTGGCTCGTCAGCTGGGACTAACTTCGCGATTGTAGCAGGAATACTGCGCGAGGCAGGGTGAGATTATCCCTCTTCAAGGACTTTCAATAGGTGAATACTGACCTTGGTAGTGCTAATCTTGGAGACGCGAACCTTTCCACCCCGGCAAACAGCGAACCATCTCAAGAGCATAGTCCAAAACCATCATTTCCTGCACCAGAAAGCTTTCAGGTATGTTCTGGAGGACGGGCCGCCTTACAAGCTAGGCGTACCCATGTCATGTATCCGGCGCTGATGATGTATGCGGTACCTAGGTCTGGAAATCGCTACCGGGTCTCTGTATGACGGACTACCGTGTGCGAGAGCATATTTGCAATAAGCTAATCAAGGAATACAATGATGCCTTGGATGCCGAACAGAGAGCTCGACTTGCCGTCGAGATTGCCTTTTGCAAGAAGATTGGATTGGGTTGCGAAAAAGATGACCAACGAGCAAACTCCCTCTTGGAGGAAGCCAAAAGCTTATCTCCCGGAGTGCTTGCTTGGGGAGAGGATTCTATCCAGGATACACAAATGCGTGAATGCATAGATGCTTGCCAGGCACCCACGAGGCAGCGCAACTTTATCATTCGCGATCTCTACGACAACGGGACGTATTTACCATTCTACCACGCCACTCATTTTCGCTCCGATCCAGATCAGTTGTGGATGGGCATGAAGGAGGCTCGAGAGAGGGAGGTTGAGAGGATGGAAGAGGCTCTTGGAAATACCCACGAAGCGGTCTTGCAGCTCAAGTGGGCGCTATCTACTCTCTATGGCGAAATGAGGATGCCAATCCACCAACTAAGGCTTCTCGGTGGTGTGATCAGAGATATTGAGGACGACAAAAGCCGCGGCCCGCATCATCGCGATACGATCATGACGAGAGTATATTATACCATTGCGCGCAATGACGCATTTGGAGTGCAGTATGGTGATAAATACATCGGCCAGGACCGAGAGCTTGTTGATTTGCTGTCACGAAGCAGACTTGCCGAACATGACATGACCCGAATTCTCGCGGCAGAGTTGTCTGAAATGCTGGCTTACTCTGGGCACTTCAGAGAGGCTGCAGAGTTTTTGAAGCTTGCGAAGAGGATTGCTACCATTAGGCATGGCGAGGATGGCATCGAGACCCTCAAGCTCTCGGCAATGGAGTCTGATCAGCTGCTCTCCGAAGGTAATGCGGTAAAGGCGATAGAGATAAAAAAGCATGTGCTTAAGAGAATGAAGAAGCTAGTGGACCAGAGAGACCCCTTGTTGCATCACCTGCGGTTGAATCTTGCCATGGCTCTCCTATCGTCGGGTAATCTATCCGAGGCGATTGAGCTGATGCAAGAATCGGAAGAGGTGCTCAGGAGAAACTTTGAGCCTCAGAGTCCGATCATGCTGACCACGGCCTTGACTCGCTTGGCGATGTTGACAAACCATGGAAAATTTGAAGAGCCCGTGAGGGCCTTGCCGAATATCATAGAGGGTCTACAAAAAGACCCATGGCAGCCGTCCGAGATGTTACCCCCTGAGCTGACCGCCCTCGAGCTGTCTGATTTACTGAGGACTGAGGTTGAAAAACCAGCTACTACCTATCCAGACCTGCGGCTATTTCCCAAAAGGCCCGAGCTACTCATGGCGCAGATTCTGTATGCAACAGCGTGCCGCGCCTACATCTTCTCAGAAGGTGACCGGGAGCGTGGAGACAGCAAAGACGCCCTTCCTGCCAACCTTGAGCATGAAGCTGACAAGTGTCTGGAGGAAGCCATGCAGGCCATTGATCGTAGCATGGGATCTGACGAATGGCATCTGCCCAGTGCGGTCAAGGGCGTTGCGGGCTCAGCCCTCCGGCTAGCCATGGACCGGGAGATGACTCCTCTCGTGGAGCTGATTGCCTCGATGGGCGCGAGAAATGAGAGAAACGGTCTGCATTATGACAAAGCCACTGCAATAGCGCGGAGGACGGGTCTGTGGAAGACCACTGCCCTGTTAGAGGAGCATCGTGACCTTTGCGCGAGGAAGCCTGCAGACACATGGGATCCACCGCTGTTTCAAAGCCAACGTGATTTGGCTGCATGGCTTACCGGGCAGTGGAAAGGGTCGTATCTCTACGAGAGCATCGGCTCACGCAGAGATCCGAAAGGTCTTCGGATTCTAAACCTACAGGCCATGGATCCAGCAGAGGCTGCTGCTGCTGCCGACGGCGACGGCGACGGCGACGACATGACAGACGGACGTTCTGTAAAAGTCGAAGGAACAGCGGCGGATGATCAAGGGGCATGGGTTCTTAGGGGTATCGCCGACGTCTCGGGTAACGTGGTTCTGCGTCACTTCCTCTCGGAGGGCAGCTTTGAGCAAGGGTGGGAATATCACGGAGTCGTGAACCTCGAGAGAGACACAGTGGGCGGGTTTTGGGGCTCTGGAAACATGTCACGCCAACTGAGCAACGGGACGTTTTTCTATTTCAAAGATTGAAGTGAGGTATGCGTGAGAACAATAGAGACATATCCCATAGTCGTTGCCTCAAGACATCGTATTGCATCACATAATATATGAGAGAGAGAGAAGAGAGAGAGAGAAACCATCTTCCAAACCTGACTTACAAATTCACCATATTACCCAAGAGACGCTCCAACGGCGTTACCACAAGCCTTTCAAAGTTCTCGTCCACACTGCTACCAGCTCGACGGAGACCATCTTCCCCATCAGACAAACAGGCCTTGACCACCTCAGCGTAGGACTCGCCCATCGACCCGGCCAGGAACGGCACGGATCTGCTCAGAATCTGCATCCGCTTCTCCTCCCGAGAGAGCTCCTCGCCCATGATGGCCTCCAAGGGCCACCAGAGGCCAATCTCCAGCAGAACGAGCCCCAGGCTGTAGTAGTCGTACTCGGTGCGATAAGGGGTAAACTTGCCATCCACACCGCCGTAGTTGGGGTGGTGGAAGGCATAGAGGAGTTCGTCGCTGCCGTAGAGTTTGTTGGAGTACATGGAGGCCTCGTCGGGGCGGCTGTGGGAGAAGCCTATGAGGAACGGCGATGCCAGGCTGATCTTGCGGGGGGGTCGGGATTCTTTGTCGTCATCGTCGGCATCTTGGTCGTCGTCAGCCTCAGTGTCAAAGAAGATGATGTTGTAAGAAGAGATGTTCTTGTGAAGCCAGCGGATTTTGTGGAATTCGAATACCGCCATGGCAAGATTGTAAGCAAGACGGAGCCGCTCGTCAATGCTGACAATGATGTTCCGCTCGTAGTCGACTGGATCTCCGTATCTTCTCAGCACCTCTGCGAGCTGCAACACCCTTGGCTTCACCTCCTTGGCCAATGCACCCTGAAGAGGCCCCTGTGGGAAGGAGTATATCAGCCCAATCGTGTGTCTCTGTTCGTCGTAGTAGAGACCCTTGCAGATCAGTGCACGAAAGGTCGAGGCCGCTCGAGAAGATAGAGCGAGTACGTTCTCCAGGCGTTGAAAGAGCAGAGAGCTGATGTCTTCTCTTGCGAAGTCGGGTCCAATTTCCATTTCTTCGATAACGACATTCATCTTTGATGACTCGGACGCGTCATCAGACGAAGAAGAGACCATCCCGAGTCGAAAGGTTGGTCTTTCGCTCGTCGCTTTCGTCTTGGAATCATCTAGAGTGATCTGCTCAAAGTTCAGTTTCGGAATGGGGCTTTTAGAGCTCCCAATCAGCTTGTTGATATGCGAGGCCGCGAGAAGCGCGAGGAGGTTGGAGTTGGGACTGTCGTTGTCGCTGCCCTGCAGCAGACCAGCAACGTCAGGGGCAAGAGACTGTGAGTCGTCTATCTCGCTGTCTACCGTATCAACCAGGGTCCAGCTATGAACGCTGTCCAGCGGCTTAAGAAGTCTCGCTGCGGTTGGAATGATGTTCAGCTCCACCATTCTGCGCAAACTCCTCCTGCTGATCATTTCCAGCGTAGAGATCAATTGCTCGTTGAGGCGACGCAGTCTCGAGAACAACGGATGGCCGTAATCGGCGTCCAGCAAGATTTCGAGCTCTTCTCCAATCTTATATATGGTATCGTGCGCTTGCTTGAACGATATATCCATACTGAGGGCTTGGTGTTGGTGATTCCTCTTTTGCCCTGCTAGGTCGATGCATCTGAGCCACTCGAGGAATACTTGCTTTTCGATGAGGAACTCTAGGTCGGAGTCGTACGGCAATTTCTCAAAGCCGACCGTAATAGACTCTGCGATCTTCTTGAGGGTGATTAAGCGTAGACGTTGGAGCACTTCCATGGTCTTTGGTCTTGAGGAGGGCGCAGGTGTGAGCATGTCTCGGATGAGATGGATCAGGTCAATCTCTGCAGGCACCTGCTGCCTTGCTGCCTGCCCCTTGCTGCTAGAGAGAGCTTCTGCCTTCATACTACTTGCGGCGTCGTTCTCGAGTTTGTCGAGCCATGTGACCACGCCCGGATTGACAGAGCCAAGGCCGTCGTGAAAGGCCCGGAGTTCCAGATCGATTACCCCTGAGACGAGCACAAGCCGCCTGTCGGAAAACTCAGCGATGCCCGAGGGGCCCTCCTTAATATACGTCAGAATTGTGGCAGCGATACATCCAAACGACCAGATATCGGCCGGCGGACCGAGTTCGTGTTTGTCCAGCGTCAGGTAATCCATACCCTCCGGCGCTGCAAAATACAGGTCTCTGTCCTGGGCCATCGTCTTTGCAGCGTCCTCGTCTGTCGCATTGTGCATGGTCGAGAGCCCAAAGTCGGCGAGGACGAAGTTGGCCCCGTCGATAAGCACGTTTCGCGGCTTCAGGTCGTGATGGCACCCAATCATCTTGAGGCTCAGCTCTTCGTTGCAGTAATCATGAAGCTGGTCCAGAGCCGAGGCCAGCCCGCACATGGCGAGGTAGATTGCTTGATCGCTCTCAAACCCCACGGGTCGTTTCTCGTTGGCAAGAAACTCATGAAGATCACCGCCGTTGGCTTCTTTGAACAGAAAGCTGTGTCGTTTCTTGTGGGTGTAAGATCCGTGAAGTTGCAAGATGCATGGATGCCGGACAAGGTTCAAGAGTCTAAGACACCGCAACTCGCTCTTGTAGGCTTCGTCACTTTGCGACTTCAACTCCTTTCGTACAAGAGTCAATCCCTAGTGGTGCGAAAAAGAGGTTCAGCATAGATGCCCAATGTCCAATCATGATAGATATACATGTACCTACCAAATCGTTGCCAGAACTGTACTGTAACGGCGGCAGTCTCTCTTTGAACACGAAACCAAAATTACCGCCTGACGGCCGGTCTTTCGCCTCCTTTCTTTCCCCCTTTGGGACATTGCGGGAGAGGAAAGGCAGCCTCATATAATCGGAGACGATACGGTGAGGCGTCGCTTGTGGGAAAGTCGGGATCAAAAACATATACTGGGTTGACTTGAAGACCCCAGCCCACTCTTCTCGCTCCGAGATGAGTCCATTCAGTTTCTTGTACTCTGCATCGCCCTTGCACTCTGTCGGCTCCTTGCCCTCCATGAACTTGGTTCGTTCTTCCTTTAGTTTCTTCACTCCGAAGAACTCCTTGAGCTGCTTCTTCCGCAGGGGAAGCATGCTATCGAGATGATCTTTATTCACGTATTGGTCCCATTGGATGAAGTTGTAAATGAGGCCGGGCTCTCCCATCAGAACTAGGATGGCAAAGATGCGCAGCCCGCTATTACGTACGGTGGTGGCCACGGAGAGGCGTTCATCTTCCTCGATGTTGCTGCCCTCCAGCGCTGCCGATATCTTGTCCGACGTCAAGAGTTCTTTCAGCCAAGTGTGGGGCACAAACTTGAAGTTATCCGTATTCAATCGCTGTCTCTCCTGAATCTGGCCCTGTAGGGCCCGCAATTCAGCTGTAGCCATAGTCGTCGTGCGAGGAAGACTTTTGATTTCCAAACGAAGACAAGCGTTCGGGGCCGGTTGATGAAATAAGAGGCTTCGTAATATTGTTCGATTGAACCCCTAATCTAAAATGTTAGTTTGCATTAATTACATAGATGGGTTATAGCAAGCTCACCTCACCCAGGCAGATCGATTCACCATTCGCTCCTCAATCTGTCACCGTCATGAAGCTCAATTCCTCCTCCTACATCTTATCAGCATCAACCCCGTTATCAGGTAGATCAAATAGCATCACCTCCGTCACGAGTCGAGGCACGTAAATTATTGTGATGTCGTCTCCCTTGGGCTGTTGAACATGGAGCAAAAAAAAGGGTTAGCAATATTTCATTCCATGGGTAGGATTCAGTCAGCCGAATGATAAAATGCACTTACAACGACTTTGCACTTGACATTAGGAAAGAGTTCTTTCAGTTTCAAAGCAAGGAGCTTTAGGTCTATATACTGAGACTGAATTTCTTGTTTAATTAGCGATGTTGTCTCCATTAAGATAATTTTAATGAGGAGATGGATGATGCGCGTAAGTAAAGGTTAGACCATGACATATCCAGGTTAATCATTCGTCTGGCTGCATTTTATACATTGCTTCTTAAGCCTTCCACACCGAGCCTGGTACAGTATATTAGGCGGCATTGCATGCTGCTGGAGGCCATCACGTTGCTGTATACATATATGCTGGCGTCAATGCATTGTCGTGGGTGTACTGCCTGCATCTACCATTGGCGGATTCAGCTCACGACCGGGGGTCTTCAACCATTCATCGATGCCTTCGGTGACATCTCGGAAGAGTCTCGCATGAGGCATGGGCTCTTGTTCACAAGGATGCCTGAATTCCCCCTCACGGACAATTAATATCCAAAGTATGGCCACGGTAGAGTCTAGCACTCTCAATCATTCTCAGTCATCCTCCATTGACCTGAATCAAATCGTTATCATGGCAAATCCACCAGATGCCGCTTTGTGGAGCTGTGACGCAGTAAATGTTTACCAGAAATTATCCAATCGCGCATCCCTTCTATTTACCAGCGGCTCGGATGAGGGCGAGGTTTGGCTATCAACTTACCCAGATCAGACAAATGCTTCTCAATCCGGCAAGTCACTCCCAAAAGCAATCTTAATTAAGCAAGATTGGATTCTATCCATAGTATAACTTACGTGCTGATAATCACCAATGTGTCATAGCTATAACAAAGCATAGCTTGTGTTCGTTCGAGCTGGACCGGGTGCAGGCAGAACCTATGCTCAAAGATGCTTTCTAGTGAGTGTCTGGTAGTCTTACCGTGAATGATATTGTATGAAGCGCTGTTCAGCGTCTCTATCATATACACGATTGTTTCCTAAAGGTATAACTTGACCGCCAGCAGATTCTGTCGTGCTAATCACCGCATATGTATCGACCAGTCTAATTCCCCAGGCGCATTCTCGAGATCGGCTTCGCGTGAAGAAAGACACCTTTGAAAAGATCATGTCCATGCATGACGTATTTCCGCACTTCTTAGAGACAGTTCAAGCATTCGGTTTGCGTACCAAGGATGGCGACAATACGTGGAGCAATTTTCACTTTAGAAAGCTCATGTTGGAGGAGGGTCATCGTGAGTCGCCTATAGTATGTACCGATCAGTGAATAAATCGTAACAAAGTCCTAGAAATATGTTACACCGTACGCTTTGTTGAATTAAATCACCGGGATATCGGCGATCCGTGGTCTCCAAGGCAGATGGGAGTCTATCAGCGGTTCCACGCTCCAACGCAGAGGACGGTTTGGGTGATGATCAAGCCTCCCCAGCGTCTTCGAGATATTTTTGAGGAGAAGATCAGCGCGATTCATGGATACAAACCACTAGCAAACGCTCAGTTTCTCCTTTTCCACCTTGCCATACTCTCGTTTTCTCTCGTCAACTGGGGAGAGTACGTCGCTGCTCAACGAAAAAACCTGGAGAAATACGTATGCAATTTTCTAGAGCCAAGTCTTGACACTCACAGCACCGCTCTCTATCAGTCTTCTTTCGTTTTTTCCCTTCCTTCCATTCATTTTGCATGTGATATAAGTCGCTTACAGCTCATAGGAAGGGACATCCTTCTTTTCAGATGTTGATTGCCACGACGTAAATGACTATAAGCTCGGATTCGAAGACAGACAAAACCTACAGCGCTTTCGACGTAAATTGATAAAAGCGACGGCCATTATCGATGCCGCCATCCTCCTTGGAGAGAAGATGAAAGGGTTCATGGAGCGAGTTGCGCCAGCGGGACTGGATATAACGATACAAGAGACGATAGGATTGGAACTGGAAGACTACCTTTCTGAAGCCAATTATCATAGAGAATGTCTGATAGGTCTTCAGCAGCGCGCTGTAGATACAGCCACTCTAGTGGGTTGATTCCTTCCACGGCGACATGCATGATTGCTCGTGCTGACCAAAGAGCAACCAGTTACTCGACATCCTCCAGCGGCGCCAGGGAAATACCTCATTACGAAGCGCCGTCGCAAACGAGGCCGCTGTCAGAACCATGATGAACATAGCTGTCATGGGGGAGATGGAGCACGAGGTCGAAAAGAAGACGGCCGTCAACATCCGAGCGTTGACGTTTGTGGCGACGCTGTACCTGCCAGCATCGCTATTGGCGGTATGACCTCGAAGCAGCTTGCAACGGACTGGGCTAACAGAAACAGTTAGGGAATCTTCAGTTCGCAGCTTCTGATAGATAATAAGGAGGGCACCATGGCCGTATCGCCAGAGCTTTGGAAGTTCATCGTCGTGCTGATACCCATGATTGCCGTCACGCTAGCATTGGTTCTCGCATTCCAGAGCATATGGGCTAGGGATAAGCACATGAATAGACTTGATGAGGGGAGAGAGGAGGCGGGAGTTCTCGCGGGAGCGTAGGCATAGACTCTTGAGGAGGCGATGGACTGACGGTAGCTATGTGAGCCTGTGAGGCAAGGATTGATAGGACACGGATGTTCGAAGGATACATAATCTTGTTGCCTCAACGTCTATAAAAAGAAGATTGAAACGTCGCCGCTATGCCCTCCATCTGCAGTAAAAGTAATCAGAGAAAGAAAGAGAGAAAGAGAGAGAGAGAGAGAAGAAGAAGAAGAAGAGAAGATAAAAGAAGAGAAAAGAAAACTCTAAAGCTCTCCAATTAGCACCAGCCGGCACTTGCATTGTAAGCCTCTTCTCACCACAATAGACTGGATATGCATTCTGCACGATATGACTTGATGTACGTTGTTGTGTATAGGGCGTGGATGCCTCGTCACAATTGGGTTTCGTATCTCTTGGGGAGTGTTTATGAGATATCTATATAGATGATCTTTGTGTAGTTTCAAGCACATACGACCATATCCATTGGAAAATACGGGATCCCGTCTGCTCTCCCAGAGTCAAGCCAATGAGAGGCAGATTAGTAGTTGAGTGGGTGACCATCAGCGAACACCGGCTGTTGTATGTTTTTTCTTTTTTTCTCTTTACCTGGTTTCGTGACTGTTGTCTATATAAGAAGACTCAACAGTAAGACAAGCACATACGACCATAGGTAATGGAAAATTCGGGGTCCCGTCTGCTCCCCCATAGACAAGCCATTAACCGGCAGATTAGTAGTTGAGTGGGTGACCATCAGCGAACACCGGCTGTTGTATGTTTTCTTTTTTGTGTTTTGCTCTTCCTCTTTTAATTCTTTTTCTTTATTGCCAGCCCTTTGTAATCAGTTTTGGTGAATAAAGTAGTCTCTGATAAGTAATGATCTGATCGTGAGGTAAAGAAGCGTGATATAGAAGGACATTCTTTTTCTCTCTCTTCTCTCCAGGCTTGGAGATTAAATGCAATATCTCTCAAAGTATGACATTCGTATGAGACACCGAAGTTTGAGAGCACGTTGATTTTGGTTCCGCTATTCCAAGCTCAAGCAGGGTGGCATCGAAGTCTTGGTGAGAGTAGGGGGCTTTCGGCTATAGACACTGCAAAGAGAGAAACATGGAGATGAATAGTACGCGTATCAGCTACTATTTTTTGTTAGATTTTGTTCATTCACAGCGAAGACAAGTCGTATAAGAGTGCATGAAAAGAAGGATGTTTAAGGCACGGAGATCGACGCTGCAGCTAGACATAAAAAGTTGAAGTGTGGCACCAGCTGTCTGTGGCGCTGCGCAAAGTGTGGCGTTTTTCCCTAGTGTCACTCAAATTTCCCGACGCCTTGTCCAAACATTTCAGCCTTGCCCAGCTAGCCCAGAGTGCGGCATGCGACACCACCGCCCTACCGTGATAGTTTCTCCAGTTTCTTACAACATTGCACTTTTTTTTCTTGTTGTCGCCTAATTGCAACCTCGCAACGGCAATATATATCTCGAGAATATCTGATTCGAATCATTAGATATCATAACGACGACCACTACCGGAGCAATTGCTCGTTTTTGAGGCGCGAATCGAGAAGCGCAGGAGCCGGCCGTTCGATCGTTTTCCCGCAAAGCCTCCCGAGAAGGCTTCTCCTCCCATCCTTTCTCGACTATAACACCGATCCCAAGATATATCCGCCATGAGACTCACGGCCGAATTGATTCGGGACTCGCTGTCCTATCTGAATCCCCTAAAGGAAAGAGAGCTTGATCTCCGAGGTGCGTTTGCTACCTGAAGGAGAGAAAGGGTAAAAAGAAAAAAAGCAAGAAATGAAAGGAGCAGATACTACACACTTCTTCATCTCTCGTTTTTCTTCTTACAATCTTTCTCTTTTTTCAATCTTCTTTTGGTTTGATGAGAGAAATTGTTTGATACATTGAAAGGCCTTTTTCCTGTCGCCGCGGCGTAAATAGGACACAGAATTCCTGCCATTGAAAACTTGGGCGTTGCAGGCGTGAGTGTCCCCCCTTGCTGCTTTTTACTGTATCTGCTCTAGTTTATTCTCCCGATAGATGGAGAGCTCTACGAGCAAAACTAAAGAGAAGAAGAAGCCATTGCTAACTCGTCCTTTGCTATCGTACAGCCCCACGATGCCATCGATTTCACCGACAACGACATCCAAGTGCTGGGCAACTTCCCTCTCTCGCCGCGCATAACGACACTGCTGCTGGCACGCAACCGCGTCGCAAACATCCAGCCCACGGCAGCAACTGCGGTGCCGAACCTGAGGAACCTGGTCCTGGCGTCCAACAGCCTGGCCGAGTTGGCGGACGTGGATGCGCTGGGGACGTTTACGCGGCTGACGCACTTGGTGTTGGCGGATAACCCTGTTACGAAGAAGGAGGTGCGTGTTTTTCACTTTCTCTCTCTCTCTCCGTGTACTGTGTGTTGTAAGATGGGTTATTGATTTTGAGGCGGTTGCAGCATTATCGTTACTGGGTCATTTGGAGGTGTCCCTCTGTCCGATTCCTAGACTACGAAAAGGTCAAGCAGGCGGAACGAGAAAAGGGCCAAGAGCTATTTGGTACAGTGGAAGAGCCTACAGCTTTGGCAACATCGGTACGTTATATCCCCCCATTCCTTTTCAAGATATGCCCCAATTTATGCTACCGGATGATATTCTAATGTGTGCATCTTTTTTTTTTTTCAGATCATGGGCAAAAAGTCAAAGTCGTTCGAAGTCACATCCAACGGCTCATCAGCCGCGCCGTCGAAGCTCTCGCGGATAAAGTTGACGGACGAGGAGAAGCAGAGGCTGCAGGAGAAGATCAAGAAAGCGACGAGCCTGCAGGAGATTATTGCTCTGGAGAAGGAACTGAACGAAGGGCGATTACCATCCGGCGTTTACGGCGATGCGATGGAGGAGTGAGGAAGCTACTATAAAATTATTTTGGCACAAGGACATGCTTGGCCCCATGGATGTTTATTTTGGGTGTCTTCTTTTCATTTATACTTTTTTCCTTTTTATACTTTAAAGAACAGTTTCTCTTAACCTGTGAGAAGGCCGAGAAAGCAGCATTGATTGGTACACGATGCTGACAGAGAATAAACAACATTTGCCATTAGATATATAAACTCCAAGAACCAACTAAATCCAGCCCCGTGAAAATGCAACAACAATAATTGATGAAACCTTTATAACTCTACATGCTCCTGAAACGGCTTCGCTTCCCACGGGTTGACCGCTTCGCAGGCCGAGAGAGACCCATTCTACGCGGCGACGGCTCGTAAAACAAGAAAGTTCGCTCCTAACCAGTCATGTCTACGTCGGCGTCATCCTCAGGGCGTGTGGCCTGCCTCATCTCCAGCTCGAGCTGATCATTGGCATCGTCTGACACCGCTGGCGCGGTGGTGATGGTCTCTTTCTTGCTGCTTTCCTCACCACGAAGGGACAGTGTGAAGGGGTTGGTGCCGGCTTTGCCTTGGCCATTGACCGCCGCCTTGGCTCCGTTGGCTTTGCTCTTGCTGCCATTTGCTGTGACGCGAGGAGCAGCAGCAGAGTCCGCATCGACGGCGTCGCCACGAGACTGGGCCTGGGCGGCGGCCTTTGCCTTTTTGAAGGTGGTGGTTTTGGGGGCGACGTCCTCTAGGAACTCGAGGTTGTCTCGGCGTGATATGGCATTGGCTGCGAGTGTTTGTTAGAGAGCACTGCTCTGGTGGGAAGGGAGGTAAAAAAAAAAAAAGAAGAAGAAGAAGAAGATGGCTGAAACAGTCTAGAGTGAACGTACCGACATCCTTGTACTGAATGTTGCGCCTGGGCTTGCGTTCAAGTTTTGCTTGGGCATGAGCTTCCTCAGTGAGGTGCTGGATGAACATTTCCTGCGTGAAGATGAAAATGCCGTGTTAGCTGGTAGTGATTGAGAAATCATGGGACGAAGAACGACGACGTACAGCGGCCAGAGTGATGACAAAGGCGGCGTTGTTGGAGCACATCTGGACGTCTGGATCTTGGCTGATGATCTTTTTGACTCTTGACACTAAAGAAGTAGGATGTCAGTGTTTATATTTTTATTGAGAAGAAAAGGAGGCACAGTGAGTCGTGAGCTTACAAGGCAATTGAGTCTGTCCCGTGGGCTCCTTTCGAGGAGGGATGGCGTTTGTGTTATAGGGCATTGTGGGAGATGGGATTCGAGATGGGGTTAGAGAGAGAGCAGAGAAGCCCCCTGGCTGTGCTTGATGAGCGTTGTGATTGCGGTGTTTGACGCGTACTGTCGCGGCTGGCTTATGAGAGTGAGCGGAGGAAGGGAGATTGCGCGGAAGAAGGAAAATCTGCAGATGGCAGATATCAAAGCTCGAGTCCCTTTGCGAAGCCCCGTCAGGGAGATGGATTACTTCAAGTCTCTGGTGTTGGAACAAATGCTGAGGCTTGGGCGTTGATGGAGACAAGAGAGTATTCGTGCGTGCAAGTCTAGAGAATTGTTATACGCAGGCAGTCGTCAAGTAGGTCGAGGTTGAGGGCTAGGGGCAGATCTTTAGGCAAGTTAGTAAGCTGCTAGTAGTAAAAGTGAGAGCAGCAGCAGGCCGGGGACGTGCTGTGGAGGGGCGTTTGCTCTTCTCGCTGGCAATTGAGCAATTGACATCAAAAAGAGAAGAAAAGGTGATTGGAAGCAAGCCGATGGATCAAAGTCTTGTTCTGTATCAGTCTTTTGGCACGTGCTCTGCAGTGAATTGGCGACTTGGAGCTGCTCTGTAAGTGATTGAAGTCTAGGACGGCCAATCCGATGGAAGCTCGGGCCACTGCCAATCGAGCTGCTAATCGCTGCCCTATAACGAAGTTGCTTTTCACAACCAGGGCCTTTTAAACCCAATTGTCTGACTGGAAGTGTTTCCTCCTACTAGATAGTATCTATATAAGACGTTGCAGGCAATATCAATGAGAGGCGGAAGTATAATTGGGATGGCATTTATATACAAGATAACGCTACTATAAGCGACGGTACTTGGGCATGGGCATCTACTGTAAGTAGCTACATGGGTACCTTTAGTGCATCTGACATTCAAATAGGCATTGATTGCTATGATTGAATTACGGACTTTTACAGAGGCATTTCATACAATTTCATACATAGGAACGAGACGTAATAGTTGCAGTGATTAACTGCTGATACACGCTTCTCATCTCGCCACAGAGAGGACTCAATGGAGCCATACGATTACGACATACAAAATCAATGTACCCCTCCATAGCGTAGCAGACACTTTAAATCTACCTGCCTATCCATCTATTCAATTCACTAGCTCCTCTTACAACAAATACATGCGGATGAATAATGGCAGATTCTTGACGACACATCTCAAATCAAGATTAAACGCCATTCAATTCAGGAAAACACATAACCTAAAGTGGTTCACAAAAAAGAAAAAGCGCACAATGAACCTCATCTTCGACTTCGACGGCACCATCACCGTCAACGACACAATCTTCCAACTCGCCCAAGGCGCAATCTCCTTCAAGCAGCAACAGCAGGACCTGCAACCCGCCTGGGACGCCATCGTCAAGGCCTACGGCGACGACCACAAGGCCTTTGCCAAAACTTACAGCCCTCCCGAAAGCGAGCGCCTCTCGCCAGAGCAAGAGCTGGCGTATCTGTCCAGCCTGAAGGACACGGAGAATGCGTCGCTGAACAGGGTCGACCAGTCGGGCTTGTTCTCCGGATTAACGTCGCAGAACCTCTTTCAGATGGGCAAAAGCCAAGTTTCCAGCGGCGCCGTGGCCATTCGACAAGGCTTCGTCGAGATGATTGAGCTGGCGCGGCAAAAGGGCTGGCACGTCGGCGTGCTTTCAGTAAACTGGTCCGAGGCCTTTATCCAAGGCGTTCTTCATCCGATTGACGTCCCCATCATCACCAATCAGATCTCCGCAGACGGCACGATCCAAGGCCCCGATGGCTTCAACGACGGCGTCAGGCTGACCACGTCCCGCTGCAAGGCCAATTCTCTAGAGCAGCTCATCTTGAAGGTAGGGCACTCGTCACGCCCGACCGTCTACTTTGGCGATTCAACCACAGACATGGAGTGCCTCCTAGCCCACTACGGCATCGTCATATCCGCAGATGCCAAGTCGTCGCTTATGCAAACGCTTGACCGCGTCGGCGTTCCTGTCCCACATGTCGACAGCAGTCAGGATGGGGCAAACGTTGTCTGGGCACGGGATTTTCGGGAAATTCTGCAAAACCAGACGCTGGAGCGCATCTCAACAGGCCAGTGAGTTTAGTGTCGGCCTCCAATCCCACTGACTCTATACGACAGCATATGGCATCATGTATGTCTATACTTTCACGCTGTCTCAATGTCAGAGGGAACCCAGGAGTCAGCAATTCCTTAATCTGGCAGTTATACCAAGATGAGGGCTTCCTACAACAAATCACAACTTGAAGTCTTACCCGTAAATCCTGGCTACGTGTTAAATTTCACCGTAAAGTCACCTGGAGTCACCTGTAATATATGGAACAAGAGACTTCACAAACGCTGCTCTGAGATACCTGAGAGCAGCTAAATAACATTTAAACATAGCGGTGCTCCTTTTCGCCGATTCGTGATCATTAGAAGAGCCTTGGATACAAGTTTAATTGACGATGCGACGTTTCAGAGGATAATTGGAAAGAGACCAGTTTTTTATTATTTATTTGATAATGTCACTGCTTAAGCGTAGCTTTAAATACACACTTATAGATACATCAAGTCAAACATTAGAGGCATCGACTAAACTTGTCAAGAAACACATAGAGATATCAAATACGTATTTCGCCGCCATTCACAGACGATATTCAGGTGCGAGAGTCTTGCCACCCTTCAAAAACTCGATCAAGATTGAAGGCCGCACTGATAAGTGACAGGTGACTAAAAGCCTGCGGCGTGTTGCCTAGCTGTTCGCCACTTCGTGCAATCTCCTCGGAGAACATGGACAGGTGGTTCGAGAATTGTAGCATATTCTGAAAAAGGTTCAGAGCTCGAGGAAGATATTGGGGCTCATGAATGCTCGCACGAGTCATAGCCTCGACGAGCCAAAACGTGCAGATAGAGAAGGCTCCATCTCTTCCTCCAACACCTATGTAGTGATGAGTTAGTGGCTAGCCTTGCCAGATGCTCTCTCTCAAATAAAAAAAAATGACCTACCATCATCTGACTCATCAGTGTCGTAGCGATATACCAACCCAGTGCTCGTCAACCCTCCTTGCTCTGGAGGCAACATTATGCGGTTGATTGTGTTTACAAAACGGGGATCACTTGGAGCTATGAAAAATACCAGAGGCGCAAGTAGAATAGACGAATCTAGTACCGTATTGGCCTCGTAGCTTTGGACGAAGGACTTGAGCTCCGTGTTATAGCCTGATATTCCTTGATAAGTATGAGACCTCAAAAGACCAACAGGCATACATACCCTTTTCCATGATTTCTTCGTAAAGACTATCGCGGGCCTCGAGCCACTTTGCTCTATTGGGACAAGGGAGACATCTTTTCTCTGCTAGGCGGAGACCGCGATCAAATGCTACCCAGAGAAAGATTTGAGAAATGGTGAACCGTTGCTTGTTTCCGCGCACTTCCCAGATAGACATGTCGGTTTCTATATCTAGTAAGTTTTTCTGGTTTCTCTGGCTTGGAGAACTAGTAGATGGCAAGTTTACTCACTGCCAATAATGGTCAAGACGTAATCTATCATCAGAACAAATTAGTAAACAGTTGTAGACGAGACACCGATTGTTATACAAACCTAGCATCCGTCGTACGGCACACCAAATGTCCCAGGACACTGGCTTTCCATATTTGTTATACAAATAAATGGAGTCCATCAATTCGCCATACACGTCGAATTGCAGATGGAAAGCTGCGCCATTCCCAATGCGAACAGGGGCACTGCCTCGATAGCCTTCAAAGTGATCTAGAGTCATTTCAGGAATATCAGTGCCTCCCCGAATAGTAAACATGATGGGAAGACCCCCATCGGGTCCTCGATCTGATGTGAATCTCTCCATGATGAAGTCCATATATGCATCTGCCTCGGCTTTGAAGCCAAGCCGGAGGAGAATGTATATAGTGAAGCTCGAGTCTCGTACCCAAGAATAACGATAATCCCAATTTCTCACGCCCCCTACGTCTTCAGGTAAAGAGAAGGTGGGAGCTGCAATAATGGCACCGGTCGGTTCTATTGCATGTTAGTTGCAGGCATGAGTAACCAGGGGTCTACTTTATAGGCCGTGCATTACCATAAGTGAGCAATTTCAGAATCATAAGACTTCGCGATACGACCTCTCTCCATCGCCCCTTGTACTTGGATTGAGAGATGAAATTGTACCAAAACATCTGCGTGTCATGCTGTTGACTATCCACAACTGCATCTGTAATGACTTCCGTAATGTGGTTGGGAATGTCATTCCTTAGGACAAACGACACCGATTGGCCGGCACGTAAAGTAAAGTGAGATACTATGCCTTCGCCGAGCATCTCATCCTTTTTCACCTTTTCGAAAGTCATCTGGCCGCAGTCGTGTCCATCTCCCTTGTCGACAGCAACGTCCAGCTGGAGTTTAACATCCTTGCTGTGAAAGGTTCCTATTTTGCTTTCTCGATGCTCCGGTGTATGAATCTCCTGTAAAAGTGTAGTCTCGTGAGAATCTCGCCCATAGTTGAATGCAGGAAAGATTTCAACATCTGCGATGGTTGCTCTGTCAGTACCATTCCAAGTCTCCAAAGCATAAAGCGCATCTAAGAATTTGATTGTATGACGTACTTATAGGCAACGATCCACGAATACACTCTACACGCCGCACAACCCATTTCTTCAACTCTTCTTGGACATTTATGGCCTCGCGATAGGCGTTCTGTTTGTACCCTTTGGTCATGACCTTTGCACTCTTGGGCCGGGGAAAGAAGTCCACAACGTCAACGACACCATCTTCGTGAATGTACCTGGTTTGCAGAATGCACGAAGAGGGGAGATATTGCTGCTTCGTAGTGCAGGCGAACTCATCGGGCGGCGAAATGCCGAAATAACCCCCCTTGTTCTTATCCAGGAGACGGCAGAAGACGGACGGCGAGTCAAAGTCAGGCCTGCGCCGGGTCAGAATCAGGTTCGGGTACATGATAGCTGAGCAATCGATGGTTTGTAGCTTACCAGCACATGAAGTCTATGCTTCCATCCAGCCCAGCAAGAGCGCATGTATGCATGTTGCCCACAATGCCATAGTCTTCAATGGGAAGATAGCCGCCCGATTGGGCGCGGCGATTGGTCCCTGAGTGCGTAGCCATTGCAAAGGACAGAGAGCAGTATCCAATATGAGGCAGACGATTATATGTTCGGGTTACGATCAGTATCGGGCCTGTTCTATGTTGGTTAGAGCCCCATTCCAGTAGAAGGAAGCTTTTGAGGTGAGAGGGATGTTGTGCGGAAACGGCGGTTTCTTTATATCAGATAATTTACCTACTAGTAAGTAGTAGTGCTCCATGTGCTCCAGCAGAGCTTCCTACCTTCTACGCTATCCAAATGCCAAGATACTATAAAGCTACATGATGAGGGCCTCTACCAATGTCGGCTGAACCCTGAGCGTGTTAACGGATTGTATGTGATCATCGTTGACTGCGCTAACAACCAGCTTACCTGGTCCAAGGTATCGAGTACGCCGACAATGTGTATTGAGGGGTCAGCAGGTCAGTAACCATGGCTTGCGACTACCTCGGAAGGGCAGCTTTGGCCCGGCAGCTAAAGAGAAAGGAAGGAGCTGCAAGTGGCTTGCCATTGCTGGTAAACTCGACTGATGCTCACAGATGGTGACGTATAGACTCCGCAGAAGGCAGTTAGTTCACAAGCCGCTGGGATAAGAATAGGTAAATATACATTGGCCAGCAATCTCCAATTGGTGTATAGGCCAGCCTATCAAAATACTACTCTAGAAAGAATAAAGAATACTTATTCGTGATCTTATTCTGCGATTCAACAGCATAGCTATTATAGACAATATCAATCGTTCAATCTGCTGCATCTTGTCATGACGTAGGTCAGCTCGAAGAGGACGCTAGTCTTGTTAGTCAAGTAACCCGCTACTTCCGAGGCCAATGAGACAGCACCAGCATGTTATTGGGTCATCAAATTGTTTGTGCCATTAACCTCCATAACCTGCAAAGTCTGGATTCTCTGTATGTTCCAAAGAGATAAAAAGGCCTATACTATACAATCAATTGATGTACTCTATACCCTTCACTAGAATTTCCCGTTATAAAAAGGTATCAAATGCCCTAAGCGGCATGAACCCAACGCCCCAACGCCAGTTGATAACCGTTGACTCTTGTTTTCATATTCAAGGCGGCTGCTATTCCGTCCTTTGAGATGGAAGAAAGTTGGTGGAAAGTAAAATGAAATGAAAAGCTCCCAGACTCTCTCTGCAGTATCGCCCTTACATAGCGGATACAGCTGTGAAGAAAGAGGTTTAACGAGATGCTTGCTACTGCATCACCAGCACATCCTCCATTTCTTCGCCCTCGTCATCATCACCATCGTCATCCATAGCCTCTGCGGCAGCCTCTTTAGCATCATTGCCACCTTTATCTCGGTAAGCTTCACTCAAGCAGTAGTGGTTGGCAAATGGGCCGCTCTTGTTGAGAACGGCAACTTCCTCCAAGACCTGGCGCAGATAAGAATCCGGCTGCTGGGTTCTCTGCCGCAGGGCCTTCATCGACCAGTACTGATATTGACGGAAACAATCGAAAATAAGATCGAGAAGCTGGTTCTTGGGGATACGAGTAGCTTTGAGGATTTCGCCCTTCTTGGGCTTGGTGGTAGGGGCAGCATTTTTCTGTGATGGAAAAAGTTAGCGGCGGTACCAAGACAGACCATACAGAGGGAGGACAGGTGTAAACGCACAATGAAGTTTCCTCCCCAGCTGACGGAGCCCGTAGCTCCAGGATTGATAATGGAAGAAGCTTTATTCCTGCTGATAATCTGAAGTTTCGTTTTGGAATTTTCGGCGTCGAAGATGCGCTTCGCCAAGAGCTCTTCTTCTTCTCGGAGGTTTCGTGGCTCAACACGCAGATCGTATCGAATCTTTCCAAAGATTTTGGTTTTCTCTATAGCAACAGTTAGATTTATGAAACACTTGCAGAGTTGAATCATCATCACATACTCGGGATAGCCTTGCGGTAGTATGGCTGGAATCGACTCCTGCGGTCATAAGTTGGCCTCTCGGACCCGCCATTGCCATTTCCTCTCGATCGCAGCAAGGCGAGCGGTATTCCAGCACTAGCCGCATCCGAGCGCGTCTTGTTCTTGTAGCCCGGCAGATCCTCCTCGCTGAAAATAAAAGAATTGTTCACGTCCTGGTCGAGAATCTCCAGGTCGTACTCTCGAGGGAGAAGCTGGTGCTCTGGGGTGTTTGCGGTGAGGAGCATGCGCAGCTTCGTAAGCTCGCGAGGGGTTCCATCCGCCAATGTGTCCATCTGAGGCTCGTTCCACGTCCGCAGCGTGCCAATCTGAATCTCCTCGTCGTCGCCCATCTTCTCCGTCAGCTTGATCCACGCATCCCACATGTACTTTGGGATGCGCGCAAGGTACAGCGTCTCAAACGTATTTCCGGGAGCGGACTTGTCATAAAAGTCGAGATCACCGGCATCTTCGAAGAGGTCGTCCTCGTCAAGCGCCATTGGCGAGGCTGCCGGCTCGTCCTTGACGAACTCCGACTTGACGAGCCCCGAGTCCGCCATGTCGATTTGTTTGTCTAGGAAAGCAAAATTGCGTCTCGTGCTAGATCAATTAAAGTGATGAGAAGATCGGGATCCGGGCGGCGACGAAACAGTGAGTTGTTAGCAGTCTAGCAATCTGCTGTAATGTGAAAGTTTGCAAAAGAGCCACAAGGCGTCACTGTGGGTGGCCGGAGCTATACGTGACGAGAGTATGCGTACATGCGCCTGCGGCTAACCTGAGGTACCAACTTGGGGCATGAAGTCAGTGCTGCTTGAGGGGCCCTTGTGCACTCACGTCGCTGTGGAGTGCCTAGAAGGCAGCACTGCACTGTGTAGTCCGTCCTGACGCAAAAGTCTCCAAGCCTGCTTTTTGAAAGCTTTGAGTACATTGGCCATACTTCGTACTGTGCCAGGCTCTTTGTAGCCGGCTCTCTTTTACAGCTTGTAGCAGCTCTGCTTTAGTCCTAGTAGCATCCAATTTAGCGGAACGGGACCGTGCACAAGGCTGGTCGCTCGCCCTTTCGACATCAAATGAGGCTTCGTACCCGTAGCAACTACAACTTAAGCTCGCTGCCGCACTTATACGCCATCACCAGAAGACCCCTTGGCTCGAATTTTAACTTGTGTGTGCCCATATAGCTTGAAACTTTCCATATGGCTTGTAACGGGTACCTTTTCTAGGCTTGGGTGCAGCGGGAATCAAGGCTTCGAATCGTAAAAGGTACACGCTGGCGCCGTTTCTCATACGGGGACTCATCTTCAACGACGCCTCACTTTATACTCAGTTCTAGTCTCGTTCGTCGCCACTCAAGCCATTATTGACGCATAAACAATACACGCAGGTTGTTTTTGTTTACATTGTTTAGACTTTGTTCAGTTTAAACTCACCTTTGCTGCCGAAGCCACCGTTTATTCATCTATATATATTGTCGGTCCCGTTCAGGACCCCCCATCTCTCTCACCATGTCTCTCAAATCACTCAAAGAACTCGCCATGATGTCTTGCGTCAAGAACATTCGTGATATCGACAACATTGGCTTCCTCACCTATGAGGTTGCCCGTGAGCTTCTAATCAAGATCGACAATCCCGCTCAGCTTCGACAGATTGAACTCAACTCGCCTCACATTGAAGGCCAAACAGCTGAGATATGGCTCAAGTTTATTGAGCGTGACTTTCCCCTGGAGTCCAAAGCCAAGGCCTATCAACCCAGAGACCCGAAGAAATGGTACAAGATCTGGGAGAAGTACAAGGTTGAGCACGACAAAGCCCTCCAAGAGAGCGAGGACAAGCTCAAATTTGCCCTGGCCGGCCTTCGTCAAGACAAGGAGAAGAACACGAGCAAGATCGTCAGCAACAAGGCTCTTCCCAGATCTGCAAAGATGGCAATCAGGCGATACACCGGTCCTCGCGAAGGCTCTTCCAATGCCTTGACCTTTGGTGGCGGCAGCCGGACCAAGACAGCCAATGGGGCAAGTGTCATGCGCAAAGTCCGCCGTGAAGTAAAGGAGATTGCCAACATCCACGGCTCCCTTTCTCGAAGCATCAGAGCGCCACACGCAGGCCATGGCGTTACGAGAGCCCCTGAAGCCATGATCAATGACCGCCAGAGAGCCGCACAACCAGCTTTCCGACCAACCCCAAAGGAAACTGCAAAGCCCTCGCCCTTGGAAGCTGCACTGGAAGAATTCGAACGACGCGCCACCTACGTCTCTGACTCTGATGAAGATGACGACGGCGATGAGGATGACCACGACAATGTCCTGGATCGAAGGGCAGCCAGCCAGTCGAAACAACCCGTCAATGCCGCGCCCAAGCCAGCTGTCAAGGCCGCATCAAAGGCTCCTGTCAGCATACTTCAGCGAAAGTTCGGGGGATTTAAGCCTTCCGCCCCTCCAGCTGCGGTCGTCACCAAGAAGGCACCGACGGCAAAGCAAGCAGAGAGCCCTCAGAAGCGCCCTCAGCCCGTCCTCCCCAAGGCGCGGAACTCTCCGCCCCTAGACGAGAGAAAGTCACCTCAGTCAGTCGAGGAACTTTTGGCTGCTGCCGAACAGCAGCAAACACCAGCAAGCCCAGCTCCGCCGCGCAAGAGGAAGGCTGTGGACGTTTTCATGCGACCCAAGCGGAGGGCCTAAAATGGAGGCACCAGTTTCTTTTGTCTTTGGCACCGCTTATTTCCTCTCATTTGATACCACGGGCGAGGTATGCCCACAGTGACTATACAAGGAACGGAGTTTTGGTACAATCTTGGCATCGGCAGGCCTCAAGCCCAGGTTCGGGCAAGGCGATATTGGACTTTACTTTTTCAATTGTTTTTCTTTTCTTTCGGTTCGAATCTTTTTACATGTTGATGGATGGTTGCTGCTGGATGCGATGCAGCTCCATGTATTTTAGTAGACGCAGAGGGAACCGGTTTCCAGCAGAATCGACAAATGCATTTCATAAAACTTACCAAACTGTCCTTTACGTGAATGTCTTGTTCGTGATGTATGACTAGTACGTGATGAATGACTAGTACGTGATGTGTGACTAGTACTTGCAGTCTGTGCTTGATTGCCGGTGAGACGTTTGTTAGTTGTTTGTTAGTTTGCTTGAGCGAGTCTCATCACTCAGCATCAACTTTCCCAAAAGATGTCAATCATGTCTCTCAAAGACGCTCATATGGACGCATATTTCGGCATGAAGAGCTTATATATTTTGTATAGCTCAATCTATCAAATGACCAAATGTACCAACGTTTTCGGCAGAAGAAAGGACCCGTATATCTTGCTCTCAAATACACTGCTCCTCCCCCTTGCTTATTGCTTTCCCTATCTACCACTCTCCTCTCGGCTTCCTAAGACATGTCGACATATCGCTTCGCTTCCGTCGTTTAGCATTATTCAAAGTGCCGTCCCCCCCTAAGGGCAAGGACGAGATGCAGAGTGTCGCCAGCGACAAGGTTGTATTCGGCCGCAGTCTTGTCATCGGTCCTGTAGAGAAGCAACGTCCGCATTAGTAAGCTGTGGTGTCATTCCTCGCCTTGGCGCCCTCTTGTGGCCTTGGGCGAGGGGGAAATCATGCAGTGTGGTGATCGTACATTTGCTTGCCGCCATGAATGAGACGCTGCTGCACGGGCGGAATGCCCTCCTTCTCTTCCACCTTCTCCTTGATCTGAGAGACCTGTATATGAAGCTATTCAGCTGCCATCCTCGACCGTATGTCCGGTTGGTGAATAAGGATATACCTTGTAGTCCGACTCGATATCGAGCTCGATTTCCTTGCCGGTCAAGGTTCGCACTCTGTCCATTTGCAAGTTTGGTTAGCTTCATGCATCCTTTATTGAAAAAAAAAAAGCCCAAACAGAGAGAACAGAGAAGCCTTCTCACTTGATCAACATGTTGGCGGTAGTGGCGCGAAGCAGGGATTAAATATCGAAGCTGGTCTGCTTGTAGTACAAAATCGAATCTTGTTGCAGGTTCAGGCGTGTTGGAGACTTGCTTGCACAAAAAAAGCTCTGTCCCGACCACTGTTTGCACAGGATGACAAGTTTAAGAAGCAAGGCTGAGAGTGACGGCACGGAAGCTGGAAGTGGGATGCGGGAGCCTGGTGGGGGGTCGGATGCGCGCCTTGCGCCACCTGGAAGGCGCTGCCTTTAGGCAGTTAGCGGGCTCCCTTCAACAAGCAGCCCTGGAGCCGATGCAAACAAAGAATACCTACTCTACCGTCCGCTGAAGGATTACTACTAGTAGCATTTGCTGATTCAAGGATGTTCACATATATACTTGAGGAGATCGATCACCAGGGATTGCATATTCACTTCCGTTTAATTTGAGAGAGGATTTTGCAAGTGTATATTGCAGTGACCATTTCGGACCCAGTATACCCTCCAGTTAAGATTCTCATTATAGTAATACAATTTTTTTCATTTTTGTACAGTCAAGCATGCAGCGGAGATTTATATCTTCTCGTCCACATCCACCACAACTTCCTTTCTTTTTTTTTCCTCCCCTTATTTCTTATCTGAATCCTCAAAGACGTTGAGGCCCAGACCTTCAGCATCTAGAAGCAGCCTGTTCTTCGCTCCGGACTCTTGCAGCTGTTGCGCAATGAGTCTAGCATTCTCAATCTTCTTCAGCTCCACGTAGGCCTTGCTCTTCTTGATAGCATCACCAATCAGCTCAGCGGATCGAGCCTCACCCTGTGCCTTGACAACCATGGCTTGCTTCTCCTGTCGGGCCTTGTCGACGACGAAGGCTGCTCGCTGCGCCTCTTGTTGCGCAACCTGCTTAGCTTCAACAGCAGCTGTGAATTCAGGAGAAAAGGCGAGGTGCTATATATCGCAGAAAGACATTAGCATATGTTGCCTACTTGATGTAGATCAAGGGGCGAAGAAGCTTACCGTCAAAGACACGTCGTCAAGCAGGATGTTGAATCGCGCAGCTCGGCGAGACAAGTTGTCTCGTACTAGCTTGGCAACCATTTCTCGCTGCGTGATGAGCTGGCTGGCATTGAACTGGGCGACGACGCTCTTCAGCACCTCGTTTACAATCGAAGGCAGCACTCGCTCATCGTAGTCGGTTCCAAGCGTTCTATAGATCTGGGGCAGAGATTCGACGCTCGGTCTTGAGAGAACACGGCAGGTGATGTTGACCATCTGCAAGTCTTTGGTGCCTGTCAAGGAGGCAACGTTCCGCGGCTTTGCTCGTACGTCATAGATGATGGGCGTCTCGAACCATGGGATATTGATGTGTGTTCCTGCAAAGTCGCACTCGTCAGCCTTTGTTTGCCTCAAGCAGTGGCAAATCAAGAGAGCTGTAAGCTCATAGCCCAAGTATCCTTTGTCCTCGTTTATCCCTCGCGTGTTATCAATGGGAAAAAGCTCATCGTCGCATCCGTACCTTCACTGTAGATCTCCTTGCTCACACCCGTTAATCTCTGGTACTTGATCGCTCGGTGACCACCGTCCACGTTGAACAGCGAGTTCGACAGCAGATAGGCGCCACCCGCCAGAAGGATTCCTCCAAAGAGCGCGGGATTCGCTCCTCTGGGCATCTGAGGCCCTCGTCCTCCGGGATAGCCGCCCCGCGTCTGCATCTGACGCAGACGGCGCATCGCCTCCTCCTGCCAATTGTTGGGGTTCGACATTTGACCTCTGGATCCTGTGCTCCGATTAGCGCTCGGTTTCGAATGTCTGGGATGTCGGAGCCTCCCACTGTCTCGAGGCATCAACTAGCTCTAGCTGTCGATGTGGTGATGTTTGCGATTTAGTAAGTCGAACGGTGCCTGCCGGCTTCTGCATGAACTAGCTCGGCGGCACAAGCTCTAATTTTTCGGCGAATGGAATGCGCTCACTCTTCCCCGCGTTGGCTCAGAAGCTTACCTAAGGCATCCTACGAAGCGCTGAGCTCTCTTATCATTGCCAAGTCGATTATACAACTCCAGTTTGCTAAATGAAATATTTTGTATAAATGATATCATTAATTGGGTATTCATTTCCTTTTGTATTCAAATTTGTGGGTATATGATAATTGCTAAACGTTTGTTCAAGAATCCTCTCTCTTCCACCTCCACCTCTTGTCTGCTCCCCTGTGCACAGGAGCATATTGTCCATCCAGGGACGAGAAACTGCCACTACTACCAGTATTTCGATAACTTTCTCTCAAAGTCGTGTATGAAAAAGAGACAAATCCAACTAAACCCTTACAAAAGAAAAGAAAAAACGGAAGAATGAACGTCCTGGTCCGATATCGCCAACGCAAGAGGCATCACACAACCGTCGCCAGAGGCTTCCTGGTATACCCGTTAAGCATCCGGAAGCCCGCTCTGCAGTTGCGGCCCTCCTCCATCACAGCATGCATACCTTCCAGACACTTGCTTGCCTCCTTGATAGCCGGGCTAGCGGTGACGGTGTCTACAAGTCTCAATTCGCCGGCGACCTTCTCCATCTCGCATCGGAGAAGCCACCTCTCCCAGCTCCAACCACCGGCAATGCCGCAAACGTTGGCAATGTCATCTGTGCTTCCCATAACCATGGCGTCCATCTGGCAGACTTTAGCGTCTGACACTGGGAGGTTGTCCTTGGGAGGAGGAGGAGGAGGCTTGACGACTGGCTTGGCTCCAACGGGAAGACAGAGCCAGGCACGGCGAGCATCGCGAAAACCAGCACGAGCAAGTCGGCCCAGCCACAGCTTTGTTGGGTTGGGGTCGTAGCCAAGCGTCTTTAGGGTGAAGCCAAATTCAACACTCTTAGCAAGGCCCAATGGACCTGCGTTCATGATATCTGAGTCGAGCAGGGAAAACTCAAGGTAGCCGCCAGGCTTGAGAACTCGCATACATTCCTGAAGACAGCTCTCCCACTCATCCTCGCCGTTTTCACCAATAAACTTGAGCAGGCCGTGGAGCTCACGAGCAGAGATTAGATCAAACTGGTTGTCTGCAAAGGGAAGCTTTGTGAGCCGCTCCACGGCAACTTGGCGATGGTTTGGTGGGCCTCGGATGTTAGAGTTGGACATCTGGCGAACTGCCTTGGTAGTGACTGTGTAAATCTTGGCGTTTGGGTAGGTCAGAGCACAGTGCCATGCCCAATCGCAAGTAGCTTGACCGCCAAGATCCAAGATCCTGGCTCTGTCACGGCCAACGCCATCTTTGCCTGATCCCAATCGTGAGAGCCGGGCTAGCCGCTTGGCAACAGGGGCAGAAATGAGTTTTCCGCCGTTGAGGAACTTCATGGCTGCTACATGCCAAGTGGCCATGGCCATCTGCTTCATGGCTTCGGCCTCTTTCTCCTTTCGTAGCGTTTCCGGATCATCGAGCAGGACATCATCGCCACGCACGACGTTTGCACTCAGGCGCTTCTTAGCAGACTGGGGGAGAACACTAAGCTGATACTTGCCCAGCAGTTGGCTATGATGAGCAGAGCGGAGTGCTACCCTCTGTGCCTGGAGGGCTTCAAATCGGGAGAGTTGGAAAATAAAGATATCGCTAAGCTGGGTTCGGACCACGTAGTCCTGGAACGCTCTATAGTACGCGGATTCCTGGCGAAGTAGCTTTGACGGAAGGCTCTTTGCTATTACCGTTGTCGTAATGATGTTAGAAAATCGAACAACCTTCTTTGTCGCTGCGTCCTTCTGGCCTGGCTTCTGCACTGACTCAGATAAGGGCTTGAGTTGCAACTTGGCCATGTCCTCATCTTCCTCGTCCAAGTCCTCCTCAATCGTCTCCAAAGCACCGTTGTCTTCGACAGTGTCTACACCTTTGAGATATACTCGCTGCGCCATGAGCCACAGCTCAGTACGGTCAAGGTTTGACAGCGCCTCTAACTGTTGCTTTCGGGCATAGCTAGGATCATAATCTTCGACGATTTCAGTTGGAATAGCTTCGACATCAGGAGAGGAAGGGGACTTCATGGCCTCGCTCGGCTCATCATTTGTCGGTACGTGGATGATGGGCCTAGCAGTGGGCATATCATCCTCGTCGATAATCTGGCTGGCTCGAACTTCCACAATATGCTCAACCGGTGCAGACGATGTAAGGCTCACGCTTCGATAGAAATCCTCTGCTTCGTCTCGCTGAGGTACCGGAGGAACAGGAGAGCTATCGGCATTCCAGGGGCAGCGGTAAAACTGCTCTGCTGTTGTGGTGGTTGGGATTATCTCGATTGGCGTAAGGGTTCTTGGATGCCAGGTATTCCTGCTCTGAGGTGACAGGCCAGAAAAGAAGCCACCCGGAGACGGGATGCTGAGCCTGGTTAGGCCTGCAAGAGATTGCCGACCAAGGATAGGCGAACGAGTGTTTGCCCGCGATGCCGCCTGAGACAGGAAATCGGTAACAAGTCGGAGAGAATTCTGCTGCATCTCTGGACGCGGAAGAGGCTGTGTTTGATCGGCCTGGACAGCTTCAGTATCCTCTTCTTCAAGGCTGCCATCTTCATCCCCGCCAGACAAAGCATGCAAAGTTGCCAGTGCTCCGGGCTGCAAATGCACACCTGTCCAGGCTGATTCCGTGGTAGCTTCATCGTTGCCAATCACAGGAGTTGGAGGAGAGCTCATTGTAGCGAGCTGCTCTGAAGACAAGCTTCCATCGAGAGACGGCGGTGCAGAGATGGTGGGTACTACCAAAGCCTGCTGCTTGCCAAAGAAGTCTTTCTGTGCCGGCGACATTGGGAGATTTGCAGATGGAGTCAACGGAAGCGGAGACGTGATTTTCTTGAGCTCATCCACGGCAGACCAGATCTCATCATTCTCATCTCTAGCAGGCGGGATGGCAAGAGGAGTGGGCCCTCGAATAACGGGCTCAAACAGCATAGATGTCGTTCGAGATTTTCGTACAGCCGACGAACGACGCAGTCCCTGTTGTGCTTCGTCGTCTGATACGCCATAGAGATCATACAGCTCGTCGAACTCGGTGCTATCGGTGCTATCAGTAATCGAGCTAGCTCGATTCCACGAGTTTGAATTCGAGATTGACGTTGGCGAGTTCTCATCGGCTGACATTGACGACGGCGACGATGGAAGAATCGGTGCAGCAAGATAATGCACTCCCCTTGGCGTAGGGAAGTGGTCGCTCATTGGCGATAGCCATGCTGTGATGTTGAGATGCGAAGTATCAGCTCGCTTTCCCTTTGCACTGCTTTCTCCATAGCCATCTCCAGTTTTCTCTTCAATTAAAGGATTAAGAAACCTCCTCGATCTTCGATCCAGCGAAGACTCTTGGGGTTGTTGTTGGTTGGGTATATAGTGTGTTGGCTCAGCCATTGTGAAAACAGACTATAGGCACTATTCCAGATAGCGGCCACAATGTTCCCCGCAGGAAACGAAACAATAGAAATGAGAAGGCAACAATTAAAATAGCGTAGTTGGCGAAATAATTAATAAGGTAGTAACGATTAAAACGCTCGACGGCCGGCGACGATGTGAAAAGCTCGAACGATGGGCTGCTTTGGTCAACAAAGCCTCTATTAGGTGCACACAGGCGCGAGGTCGCAAAGAAGAAAACAAAAAGAGAGAAGTATATGCAAAAGAGAGGGAACGTTGTTGGTTAGGGACAGTTGGGTCTTATTAGAGAGCGAAAGAGTAACTGATGGGGGCATGGGCGGCTACAGATGCTGGGCGCGTATACGTCGTCAAGCTCCCGCCCATCGGACGAGGCGGTGCGTTTTGGGAATAGAGCAGATGTGGCGGAACGCCAGCTCCAAGTGCCAGGTAATATCGCCGCGCTGGCGCATCTGATCCCGGCATGCCTTGGTTCTGGGCGGCTTGGAGCGCGTCATGGTGCGTTGTGGGCAGAGGCATAGACGATGTTCCATCTGGACTCAGATCGTGGTTGAGCCACTGTAGAAAGCAGCCTCCAATCAGCCGTCGAGCTTTGTGTCTATATTTAGGCCATCGCCGAGCCCACCCTCTTGGCGCGGCGATGACTGGCTGGCATCTACACACACTCCAGCCGCCGTGGGGAGTCGAGATTGGGCCGCGGCCAATGGCGATGCTTCTGCCAGAGCTGGGCGGCTAACAGGCCTGTTGTCACCAAGGGGCAGCTGCACCCGGGGAAGCATTGTGATGGCACAAAATCCAATAGATGAGATGTGCTTGCAATAGCCTATCGAGCCTAGAAGCCTGGTTCGTGTTAACGAGGTGACTATTGATGCAGAAGAAGCGATCGTTGGCGGCACTTTGCAGATATCACCGGCTTAAGAGCGTGCCCACCGTTAAGCGACCAGCGCTACTGGCGCCGCAGCTGGCGGATATGCATCAAGAATGCTGCATCACGAACAGCGCAATGGGATAAAGACGTCAGCAAGGCAAATAATAAGAGGCAGAGCAAAAGATGGCGATTCCTTTCATTCGAACGCATGGCGACTAACATGCTGATTGTTAACTGCAAGGCGTTATGATGGCGCCAAGTATAGAAGCCAAGGTGGGCTCGCGATGCTCGCCATTCCATCTACTTGTAGTACCTATTGTAGGTACAGACCAATATACCAACATACAATGCTGTACTTGATCACAGTCTAGAGCTTTTAGTACTAGTAGATACTTGAAGCAACTGTGTATTACAGCAGACCATGGTGAATGAGGTACTTAACTAACACCAACTCCCCAAAGCCAGGGTCTGTGATGTTTCTAGCGTTTTTTTAAACCATATATGTCCACTTAGGTACATGTAGATGTAACAATTTCCTCTAATTTCAGGTTATTGCGTAATATCCCTGAGTATAATAGGTAGTATCTCGATCTGCGTCTCCTTATATAGGTAGCTAAATATATTACATTATTAATCAAGTCTTAATTGCAGTCTAAGTGTCAAGACTTGATGCTTATAATATCGCGATACCTTGGTTCAGCTTCCACTGATCCTGGAGATATTTCACAAAGAAGTTGCTTTGCAAATGCCGCGGTTGTCATGGCTGCATAGCCTTGCCATCTTTCGTTGTGATGTGAGTCTGAGTAGTCGCAGATGCCGCGAATTACTAGACATGGAAAACCGCCACTGAACCCCGTAGCTTCCTGTTCAAAGCAAAGAATATCCTTTAGCTCACTCAATTTATCTCGAACTAGAGCATCTTTCATAGGTGCATATGCTGAAGCAATGAGGCCATAGTGGATCGTCGGACCGTCCTCGACCCGTTCAGGTCGCTGAACAAAGCTGGATGGGTCATCACCACAGACTACCGCACAATTGTTCTCGCTGTCTGAGCGATGGACGAAATGCGACTGGTAGAGCCTATCAGTGGCAGGTCGTTTATAACTCTCTCCCAGGCTTTGGTTCTTATCAAGTGTGGTGTCGATTGCCTCTTTCAGGGTATGCCTCTCCATTGCATACAGCAACGTAAGTCTGTCGATGGCTGCTCGTAAAACCTCTGGTATTTGTCTGGTTTTATACTGAATCACACTGCCTTCTCTCTCTGCAGGAGAATAACCCACTATAACGTCGCCAAGTCGGATGTCATGCTTTGCGCTAGGAGCGCCGCCACCACTTCCAACTGACAAGCAGAATCTGATGTTATGAAAGTGATATGGGATGTTTCTTACAACTGTTACCACAGGTGATTGTCTATATATTCTTTTTGCGGAAGGAAACAAAAGAACAATATTATGTCGTCCAATTTGGCCAAATGTATAACCATAGAAATATCCAGGTTCTTCATATCCAGGCTCCTTGTGAATGTCGTCGAGAAACGCTTGGGCGGCAGTATACTCGGTGCGGGTAGCACAGATCCATACAATGGTATAGTCCTCAGGATCATGGCATATGGGCTCTCTTGGTTTATTTTGCCAAGACTGCCAAGCTCCAGATTCAATTACTTCGTTTAAAAAAGTGTCATCCTCGGCTATCAAGCCATCGTATTGTCTAGGAATATCGTCGAGGCCCAGGTCTGTGTCGGGAACTGGGATGTCATCCTCCATCAAGTCAGTATCCAAATCCTTAGCGGCTCCTGAGCCATCTTCGTCGTCCATGTCTTCCATGCCGACATCTCTCCTGGAGTTGATGTCTGAAAAGTTTTCTGAGTCGTTGCCTTTTGAGGAGCTATTTTCCTCGTCGATGTCGACATCATCACTCTTCAGATCATCATCCACCAGGTTGTTATCGTCTTTTTGCAAGGCTGCAAAGCGCAATGTCAAAAGCATTAGCACTTGCAAATGTATCGCAATGTGACGGGCTATAGCCTTTGAACGGTCTTCTGTCTGCTGTGGTCTTTGTTGAAGAGTATTCATATCCACGTCAGAAGAGGTGTCTGAAAAGTCAGTGTCGTCGGAACTGTAGTGACCAGGATGCATCATAGAGTATGTCGTCCTGGCGCTTTTAAAAGCCTCGTGCTTTAATTTTCCGTTTGTTCGTTAAGAAACCCCGTTGTGCCCTCAGTATCTTCCTCCTCTACTGTAAATCCGCACAAAAGACAATTATCCCACGCCCTTGGTTGCTTTATCTTGCTCTGTTGCGAAATAACACGAAGTTGCTCATTCGTATAGTCCCCATCATGCGATTCTTGGAGATGCGAGTATAAATCTTGCGGGTTGCTATACACGCCTGAATTAAACTCGCAAATAGTACATACCCAGGTAGGTGACAGATATATCTGCCGATACCAACGCCGACTGTGACAATTCATGTGGCTATACCATTCATTAAAGGTAGAATAGACTGGGTGCACTTCTTGACATTCTTCTGAGAGGCAAATATACGGCTTGAGATCTCGATCTATATGTCGACTAGAAGGGCATGCGTAAGTTAGTACAATTCATCTCTCATAATAAACAAATTGCAGCTTTTATTTAAGTCATAGATAGACCTATTAAAGTTTGTCGACGCTCGTATGATTAAAGGGTGAACATCACATACCGCCATTCACTTTCCGAGAGTGCTTTCTTATCAAGCGGCTCAGAACACCACTCAAAAGCGAAGATATCTTCATTCTTGTTCATGATGGGTGGCCGTGGATAATTGCCCTGGTTCACTTGGACTGATGATGTTCGATGAAACTTTGTTGATGCTTCATCGGGCGGCCTGAAGCGGTCCCTGATCCGTTGAATGTTGACGCTGGATAAGTCAGATTGAGAGGGTGCTGTGATTACATGTGCTCCAGAGCGATAAACTGAAGCTGGGACTGTCTCCGCTTGCTGGATAACGGGAATGTCGGTTGGTGACTTGTTATTGGGTACTTCCGGGATAGATGGCAATTTCGTATATGACTCTCGGGGGGTCCTAAGCTTTATATAGCGAGAGTTGTGATGTATCATCTTTTTGTATCTATTCATCATCGACTCTTTGAGATAGTCTTTGAGGTGTTGGTGAGCATTAGGATATAGGGTTTGCACAGCGTTTGCGCAAAAATATGTGAATAATGTCAAATCAAGATGTGCGGTAGATTTCTCGGCTCGTATATGGATCTTCTCTTGGCTCGATTGGCGAATTGTAACACCAAGACGGTTCAGTCGAACGAGCGTATTGTCAATTGCTGCTAGTGATGCTGATAGCCTTGAAGAAACCTCAAATTGGGATTTATCGGGGCTTGTTGAGGCCTGGTTCCTTTTTTGAGAGTTTATTCCATCTTTATACTGATGCAGACTGCAGCGGAGGATATCCAGTAATCGAGTCGCAAGATCCTGAAGGTCAGGGAAGTTTTGTAGTCTTGTATCAAGACATTGGCTTTTCTCAGCAAACACTCCAAGATATGCAACCCATATAGAAAATCGTTGCTGGAATTCTGTACATTGCTCAGTATCTGAAGCTTTAGGCTTTGTGTTCAGGAATGCGTCTTGCAGTTGCTCGAAAAGGTCCTCACATTCACAAGCCAGCCTATAAAGAACATCTTCGGAATCGAGTTTCAGCGCCTCTCCAGGGTCAACAATTTCCCAGGTCCCGGTCTCTGAGATGGCTGAATTGTCTGCTGCCACTGTGTTGGTCCCTTGCTGTACCACTCTAGTTCTCGTACTTTTATAGGTATCCTTGCCGTTGTTGTTATCTTTGTTGCTGATTACCCTCAACCTGTATGGGAGGTCGCCATCGTCATCTTTTATGTACGATTCTACGGCAGCGCTGCTGATACATTAACAAGAGATCATCTTAAGGTATAGCATACCTACGGATACTTTGGCGGTTCATTGGACATGGTTTAAGTATTATTACGATGTGTATAATCTTTTTTAAGGATGAGTTAGTGGAAATCTGTTTTTTTGAGCGTATATCACGAAGATGGCTCTTTCTGGAGGGATATCTGGCAGATAACTTGGGTATCGAAGAGTAGAATGGGATGCGCGACGGTGGTTAAGATAGAACGTTCAGTCTGCTGTCATTTATAAAGAGCCGAGCGGGGGAATAGCAGCAGTAGCTCGATGTGACCTTCAAAAGGCGATCCTATTAGCCAGTCTCTGGTGGGGGCGATTGAGAATACACACATGTACGTACATATGTACATGTATTCACCCCGCACATATTCCTCACAGTCACTCGAGCAGGCTCTGAAGTCTATCGCTATTGCATACCACAGGGATGGAAATGAGGTCTGAAGATTGACATGCCTTATCTTGATGACTCGAATGAATGGCGCTTACTCGGTGAGCTTGGGCGTCTATTGGACCAGAGGAAGGCACGACATCATGTGCCAGCAGGACACTTCAGGGATCACAGACAAGTGAATCTCAACGCCGAGCTCATCGAGACGGAGCTTCGCAGCGTATTCACGGTCAAGCAGATTTCTCGGGTTCTGGATGCAACAGAGTTCGAACGATGCCAAACGCATTTGAGCAGTCTCTGTTCGTTGTTGGATGGCCTTGCGCGGGCTCCTTATATATATGTATATGCTGACGGTTTGACTTATCCCCGCTTACGAGCTTTACCTGAGCTTCTGCAGACGACACATGGAGAAATCGACCCAGCGAGTGGCCGTAATCAAACGCTATTCGATCTTCCAAACGGTGCTACGGAGCTTGACGAATGCTTACGGGTGATTACCGAATATAACAAGGTCATTGATAAACTGCTCGCGCCCCCTTTACAAGAGCCAGTTATTCCGCCACTCCAAAAGCAACAGCACAAAAATGGGGCTTGGAAGGAAGGTATAATACGGAACCAGGCTATATTGACTCTCAAGGCTTTATTTAAACACTTTAAATGTGGAACGCCACATGAAGTGTTGTTAAAGCTTATTGAAGATCCTGATGAGGACTTGATATTACCGGACCTGCAACTTTTGCTTTCGCCATGCCTAGATTTGAGTCCATGGCAAGAGGCCCGGTGTGATTTTGCCAATCCGTATGTTTGCTACATTAATTATTGTTTACAGAGTTACTCCTCTACCTTTTGTCTCTTTACTTACATAGATGGTAGGCGATCTTCAACTTTGTCTACGCCAGATGTCTGTATGAAGCTCCGTCAGCATACTGGCCAAGGCAAAGCGTTGGTACTGCATATCGAAGATAATAACAAGTTCGAGCTGTCCGGTACCTGGTCAAATTCTACATGCTCTGGGACAGGCTCGCCAATGAATGAGTCTCTTGACCAACTTATCCTAAAGGGAGTTTTCAGATCTTTTAACCCTAACATATCTAACGAGATATTACCAGCTAGGGCTAGCATTAAAGATAGGCGAGAACTTGCTGTTAAGCTCGGATTTTGCCTAATGAACTTTTTTGACGCTGACTTTGCCTCAAAAAGGATCTGCTTCCGAGATCGCCTCCCATATCTAGCTTTTGCCTCAGATATTCCAGTACCAACAAACTTGGACAACTTCCGGATGGGCCATCCTGCACTATTGTCTTTTGCAAAACTGTTGCTCGAATTGGATTTTGGCCAAAACATCGAAATTGACATAAGTCCTGATCTCAAAGGAAATAAACAAGCTTGGTGCCAGCTTATTGGCCGCATAGAACATCTTGAGCAAGAGAGAAGTGACTCATATGTTGAAGCAATCAGGGGCTGTTTTACAGTTCCTTATATGATATCAAAGGCACTAAGGTCGAGACGCAATAAGAGTAAAGACGTGGATTCAATAATAAGAAAACACCTTTACAAAGAGATTGTTTATAAACTCAAGCTTGGATATGATCAGTCAAACTTTGTGTCTACTCGGAAACGGCAGCGACTAGATTCGCCATCGCGGTCCGGCCACCGGGATGGGTATCAAGCTTCTAAATCTACAAAGCTGGTTATGCGATCCGTGGAACCTGAACAGACAACACCTGGATATAAAAAACGGCGCATGCCAGAGCCACAAACGCCGTCTAGTGTATATGGGTCAATCCACAGAGAAACTAGCAGCTTATGCAACAATAAAGACTCAGCCGACGGGATTGCAAATTCGTATGTTTCTACTCTCTTATCTGACAACATACCCCCCCCCCCCCCCCCCTCTTTTGCTGTTCATCGATTTGGTTTTTAATATGAAGTTATGTATCTTTTCGTTTCAGATCTGGCACAAAATTTTCTTTTTCGTAGCATGGAGCCCCAATCTCGCTGAGTGGATGTGCTCAATTACACCTTTGAAATGCAGATGCCGGTTTGCGCAAATCAACAACCTACCAAGACAAGAAGGGATTGGAACCAATTAAATCATAACTGGCCGCTAATATCTCATGCTAGGTACCATAGGATGGGACAATCTATGCGACCTTCTCGCCGCAGCGACTTCGACATCGCAATCATCTGCACTCTGTCGCTTGAGTACGATGCGGTTTCATACATCTTTGACGAGTTCTGGGACGAAGATGGCGATCAGTATGGACGAGCGGCGGGCGATACCAATCACTATACCACTGGCCGTATGGGCAACTACAGCGTCGTCCTAGCCCTTTTGCCACAGATGGGCAAGGCCGGCGCAGCCAGCGCGGCAGCAAGCATGCGGTCGAGCTATACCGGCGTGCGGCTTGCTCTCCTTACAGGCGTGTGTGGGAGTGTGCCCCATGTTGGTCAACATGAAGAGATCTTCCTGGGCGATGTGATCATCAGCAAGACTGTCTTCCAGTATGATTTTGGCTGGCAGTTATCAGATGGGTTTGTACACAAGAATACCGTCGAGGATAATCTTGGCCAGGCAATAAAGATATCCGTAGCCTCGTCACCACGTTCGAGACCGATCGGGGCCTCGATCGGCTCGAAAAACGAACTGAGAATTTCCTCAAGCAACTTCAAGGCAACGCTGCCCAAAGAAGGCGCCAGGCCAAGTATGATTACCCAGGAACGGCGGAAGACAAACTATTTGAGCCGACACACCGACACAAGCATCATAAATCGCCGTCCTGTATTTGCCGCCATTGTGTCAAAGACTCAGACCCTGTCTGCGATAAGGGGCTTAGCTCACCATGTATAGATCTTGGATGCGACGATGAACGTCACCTTACAAGGAAACGGCTCCAAGACTCCAGTGGTGATACTCCGCAGCCTGCGGTGCATGTGGGAGCTGTCGCATCGGGAGATAAAGTGATGAAGTCGGCGGCAGAACGAGACAAGCTTTCAAGAGAAGCGGGCGTCATTGCGTTCGAGACGGAGGGCGCTGGGATCTGGGATGAGGTGCCTTGCATCGTAGTGAAAGGAGTGTGCGACTATGCGGACAGCCATAAGCATCCGCGATGGCAGAATTATGCGGCAGCGGCGGCGGCGGCGGCTTCGAGGGCGATTCTAGAAAGCTATATTCGGACCGACGCGTCCTGAAAACATGGCTCTTTCCGGCATTGGAGATACATCGTTTCATCATTCCATCGTCTGTGTGGCCGGTTCTCGGTGATACAAGATTCCTCACATCTCCTCCCTAGACCTATTCGCACGTTCCTCGGTTGCTTTCAGTTGGAGAATTTGGTCTTTGGACTGCAATGGTAATAACATGGCATTTATCTCTAATTTAACCAGTTCTTACCCCCCTTATTGTATCCAAAAAGGTTTCCATTCAATTCACATCATGCCGAATCATTGATTCACCTATACATATCCCGGGCCAATGAATGAGGTCGTCCAATAGTAGTGATGATGAACCAAAAACTACCATCATTGGACTGAGAGGCTCCCAGTATGATAGCACAAAAGTGTCAACAAGATAAATAAAACAAAAAACGGATGAGATTCCAATTCCTTTATTGATCATATGGCAACTACAGACATGAGGTATTGTGCCTCAGGTGTCCAAGTAGCCACCGCCACAACCGGGCGGAGGCTCCCGCCAAAGACATTCCACTAAAGACAGACGGGAAGTACTCAGGTACCTCGCTATTGACGTCGCCAGTGGGAAAAGCAGCCCCGCCATGCACTCGCTGAATCTACCCCGCCATGCGTTTTGGTTGTGACTTTGGACAAAAGTACAGACAGCGCGCGTCTTGCTCTCCTTTCTGAACACAGCTCAGCTCAGCCTTTTCTGCCAGCAAACAATGGCAGACACAGAGCAATCCGAGGCGCCCGTGGAGCTGCAGGGCAGAAATGTGATTTACTGTGGAGGTACGGCAAAGCTTCTCCCTCTTCTCTATGAAAATCTCGTCCAGCTTTTCTTGAGCAATGACTGCTTGCGGTTGCTAACTTCTTGCCTTGGTATTTTTCAGTGTGTACTCTGCCGCCAGAGGTATGAAAATAGACAACAAGAGAAGACACCATCTCGAAAATTCCGATTGTGAACCTGACGGCTCAACTATAACCAAGTAGTACTGCGAGTATGGCGGCACCGTCAGAAAATGCCAGGAATGGCTCGAGAAGCACCACCCGGACATGTATTCCAGGATATGGTCCCCCGAAGCCCTAGAAGCAGCCACCGCTGCCCTCTCCGTCGATGCGCAGAAGAGAGCCGCCAAGGATGCGCAGAAGAAGGCTGCCAAGGCCGAGGCTGCAGAGCAGAAGCAGGCGAGCAAACTGGCCTCGAGCGTCGTCACCATTAAGCGAATCGAGAGAAACAAGAAAAAGTTTGTCACGGCCGTTATTGGATTGGAAGCGTTTGGTTTGGATCTGAAAAAGGTATGCTTTTGCTACGATATTGATATCTTTACTCTCTGGACTGAAGAGTTACTGACTATCCCTCCCTTTCTCAAGGTTGCCAAGGATTTTGGAAAGAAATTCGCAACGGGATCTTCTGTTACAAAGCTTCCTAGCGGCGGTGAAGAAATCGTGGTACAAGGAGACGTCAGCGACGAACTAGAAGAGTTCATTCTGGAAAAGTACAAGGATGTACCGGAAGACAATATCGAGCTAGTGGATGACAAGAAGAAGAAATGATATATTCCCGCTGAAACTACCCAAAACGCCCGATTCCTACTTGTTTAGTCCAACAATGTATAGTCTTGTTACATGCCCAAACTCCGTATCGCATTCCCTGTTACCAGTATCAAAAAGAACAAAGCGGTCTGGCCTTTTGGCGGCCTCAAGTTATTCCCACAGTTCCCTGTCGCCAATGCATTCCTTGTAAAACACGAGCTCAAAACATGAGCCTCCAATTCCTTAAACACGCAAAGCTTCCCAGAAACTGACGAAGCCCTTCAGGTTCTCTTTCTTAGTGTCCTCCCAGTAGTGGCAGTTGATCCAGCGGATGCAGCCTTCGCCGTAGATTTCGCTACTCCGCGCGAAGCAACCTTTTTAGCGCTACCAGGGGCAGCTTTTCGCGCGGCAGCGGTATTTGCCATCCCTGCAGCCTTTCGGAGCACGGTGTTCGCGCTTCCGTCACTCGACTCGTCAACGTCACTAGCTCTGCGCGTCGTTCGTGTCCCAGGCCTAGATAGAGGGCCTTTGGGCGCGGTTGTAGCTGTGCGCTTTGTTCGCGCTGTCGGAGTAGCCGAGCTGGCGCTTGAGTTTGATGTTGTGGTAACCTTTCTCAGTCCTCCAGCACGCGCACCAGCACCAGCAGCCGCAGCTGTAGGCCGAGCTGGGCTCCCCCCTTTCAAAGGAGAGCTGGCCTTATACAAGTACGACTTGGTAGGAGAAGTCGCACGACTGCGGTTCGCCAACCGCGAGTTGGACGACGTAGGCGATAAGACCTGTGCTGGGCGGACTACGCCAGCATCGCCGCCGCGAGCTTTCTTCTTAGGATTCTCGCCAACATTCTCATTCTCCTTATCCCTAGTAATTTCATCGCTGGTATCGGTTAGTTTATAGAGAATGAAGAAATGAAAAAAAATGAAAAAAAAAGGCACAAAGCGTTTTCAGGCGTAATTCACCTCAACCGCTTCTGGGCGCGTCCCACAACCTGTGGCGCGCGAGTGGTCTGGTGGCTAGGCTTTTGAGGACTCGGCGGCAACGGCAAATCCTTGACAGGAACTGGCAACGGCCGAGGAGTAGGTGCTCGTTGTGCTTGTTCTGCGTATTTGAGCAGCAGTTCACCCATGGTTGCCCTTCTCAGTGCTGTAGGAATTCGGTTGAGGCGTATTTCGACTCGTGACCTGAGGCCTTGCGCTTGGAGATGGTATTGAGCGCGTAACCTGCGGGCTCGCTCAGTAACTAGAAAAGAAAGAAGAGACAAAATGTTAGCACGCCGTATGTTCATGAGATGGCGAAACCGCGTACTTTCGAGTCGCAGGTTCTCGATCAAGGCTTGTTTCTGCTGCATGGTGATTCCCGTCCTCTTCTTCTGAATTGGACTTCGCTGTGGTGTTGAAGGGCTGCCTGAGCTGCTGTAAGTCGCGCTCTTCTGTTGCGAGGAGCTCGACTCAGTGGAGCCCTTCTTTTTGTTTCGCGTGGGAGCCATGATGTCTGACTATGGATGATTTTTGCGCCTTGTTGACAGGGCTTGGGTGGAGGGAGGAGAGCAGAAGTCGCAAGGTGCATGAAGGGAAGCAAATGCGTGCATCACTGATGCGCAACAGCCATCAAAGTAAACAAACTAACGGCGAGCTGCGACTTATGTAAGCAGATTCATGCAGCCTGGCCCATAGAATAGCCCAGTCAGCAAAAGGGTAACGGTACCTAATTTGGAGCAGTTACAGGGGCCAATGTCGGCTATTCCAAGTACCGCTACCTGCTGTCATAGCGTTTCTGCATGCATACCAGGCTGAACCCGCCTTACGACATCTCGAAGCTCCAACAAGCCGAATTGTCGAATTGAACCTGACAGTCCACACCCACCTTTACTTGACCTTCAATCTTAATCGCCTTCTCTCCAACAACAAAAGCAATCTCTAGATCTTCATCTCCCATTCAACACCGCTATACAAACAATTTAGTGGCTCGGTGCCCGTATCAGCAGCTACAATGGTTCTCGAGGCTGTGATGGTGGTTGTGGACAGCAGCGAGAGCAGCAGAAATGGAGATTACCAGCCCACTCGATTCGACGCACAGGTTGACGCCGTGAATGTGCTGTTCCAGACTATCACTCAGGGAAACCCGGAATCATCCGTCGGCCTGATGAGCATGGGCGGAAAAGGACCAGAGGTGCTCGTCACCCTCACCACAGAGCAGGGCAAGATCTTGGAGGGCCTGCACAGGACAAAGAAGAAGATTGGTGGATCGTCTCACCTAAAGACAGGCATTCAGATTGCAACGGTATGGTACTCCTGGTTTGTGCATGCTTGGTGATGGCCTGTTGAGCTGACTGGACCCCAATAGCTCGCCCTCAAGCACCGACAGAACCGATCCCAGCGCCAACGAATAATAGCATTTGTTTGCTCCCCCGTCGAAGACCAAGAGAAGGAGCTTGTACAGCTAGCCAAGAAGATGAAGAAGGGCAATATTTCTGTCGACTTTGTTATCTTTGGTGATCTCGAGGATGACGCCACGCAGAAGAAACTCCAGGCATTCAACGATGCCGTCAAGGGCAACGAGGGCTCACACCTGGTGGTCATCCCACCTAGCAGCAAACTGCTAAGTGACCAGCTCATCTCGACGCCCATCATGCTCGGCGAGGGAGCTGGATCAGGAGGCGGTGGCATGGGCGGCAATGACGAATTTGAGTTTGGATTTGACCCCGCGCTAGAACCTGAGCTGGCCCTCGCTCTACGCATGAGTATGGAAGAAGAAAAGGCCAGACAAGAGAAGCTGGCGAAGGAGGAAGAGGAGGCGGCAAAGAAGGCATCTCTGGATAGTGTCAAGGAAGAGAACGAAGCCAGCGGCAGCGGCAGTGGTGGTGGCGCGAGCAAGGACAAGGACGACACGATGGATACTTCTTAATACGCACCTTAGTTACAATGCCACGATAGAGGGTGTATAACTAAATAATCAATGGAACCTTAGAGGAGAACGCTAGATATTTTAATCGCGATTCATTTGAGGACTTAATATGGAATTCTAACTCTGATCATGATACCTCCCATTCTATACCTGCTGATCCCAGCCACGCCCTTGTTCTTATCGGTTATTAATTTCTCTAATGTATGACAGTAGTTTTCGGTCGAAAATGTCGCACCGTACAGGCATTTCCAAAGAGTAAAAGGGATTCTTCATGACATAATCGGCGTACAAGTCGTATATCCTCTTGATGGTGACGTCCACGTTGGTTTGTGTAGTTTCAGTGAAGAGCAAGAATTTGGTGCCTGTCAAGGTGTTGAAGCACTGCAAACGGAAGTTTTCTGTTTCCATGACTTCCAACCCAGATGAAGGCTCTGGACGGCTCGGCATTTCAGTTGAGCCAGGAGCAGGCGGCTGTGCTACTGGCTTGATGGGGTTCAGGCGCGCAGTGATGGCATGGACTCTAGAGTCGGGAGTAAGTAAGCATATGAATCGGGTCTTGAGCGTTGGAGAAGGGACTGTTGGTCTTACCCATGGAAAGTGCCTGCTAATACGAGGAAGTCATTAGTGCTGATTTTGTTGAGGCCGCCTTCGTGGAAGGTCTTGTTGTAAACCAGACCGCCAGCCTTGTTGATGATTACTAGAGAGAAGACAGTCCTGTGTTTGAGCTGGGTCAGCCAGATTCTGCCCACAGAACCAGAGGAAGGATTCATACATGTTGGAGATTAAATTGTGAAGATGTATATGAGTCAGAATGTTGTATTCTATACGGCCCTTGCAGGCTCATCGGTCCATCGAGGGGAGACCATGAACCTAAGATGGCGAGTGAGTTTAAGGCTCTCATATGTGAGAATGCAGGCTTGTATTCGCATCTGCGCCGATATGCAGACGTTGGAAGCATACCTTGGGTTTTAATTTGACTTTATTTCTTATGTCTTCTCACAGGATGTCTCTGTATACCGTCTTTGCGAGGTTATGCTATCTTGAAGCCACCTTCATGCGACGGGGATGGAAAGGCCGCGGCCGGCGTAATTAAGCGTCGCTGCTTTTACGCTAGTATCAACGAGCTGTCAAGAAATGCTCGTGTAATTTTCAGGGTAAAATTCGAGAAAATGCGCAGCTTGTCAATTTGAAAATGCCGTATATATAGTCTGATACGAGCGACTCAAACAGCTGGACCCTTTATGCTTTGATAAGGGCCCTTCATGGCGATGATAAAGCCAGGCGGTGGTTGCAATAGCACGGAGTACGGAGAGAGAAATACAAGCAGCAGTCGCACTAGTCCTATTAAGGCACTACTAGAACGCGCTTGGGGATAATGCCGCTAAGCCGCTTTGGCGTTTTGCGGGAGCCCTTGCGAGCGTCTCCCGTCGAACTCTAAGCAAGTCAATGGTCCAAGCCGCATTTTGCTGACTTTCAGCTTCGTCTTGCAAACCAATTGCTCAATCTTTTTAAATCAGCAGCATAACTGCGTCCCCCTTATCCACGCCCCGCGCTGCTGTCTGTCTTTACGTGCATTTCATAAACGATTCAGAGGAAGGAAGAAAGGGGGAGGATAAACGCAGCATATCAACAGCAATCATGTCAAATCGCACATCACGCCCGAAGCCACCTCCGCCAGGCAACGAGGAAGCCTCTGCGTCGCTGAACCTGGGCGAGTTTCAGCATGTCGATACTCTCACGCTTTCAGAAGCCGCGCTGGTTCTCAATGCGCTGGTTGCGAAGCGCCGAAACGATCGCAAGAATGTCAACGAGACGGAGTATGTGAATTCCTGTTTGCTGGGGAGGATTAGAAAACGCAAGAGGAGGCCAACCGGAAAATGGGACGCTCTCTACGACGGATGGCTAACCGTAAAATTATGACCTTGATTATAGGATGCTGAACCAAACTCTCAACTATCTGGATCACTTTGCGCGGTTCACGCAGAAGGAGAACGTCGAGGCTGTGGAGCGTCTGCTCAGTGCTCACAAGGACCTGGCCAAGTTTGAGCGCGCACAACTTGGTAGCTCGCCTCCAATACTTGCAATTCAGAAACGGAAGTGCTAATGCTGTTTTTCTTCCCTATCAGGATCGCTCTGCTGTGAAAACGCTGATGAAGCCAAGACTCTGATTCCATCTCTTGCGGACAAGATCAAGGACGAAGACCTACAAGACCTACTCGATGAGATTTCGAAGCTTCAGAACCGATAATGCTCAAGAGATGTTGCGTTGCGCTCGTCTCTTCTTCTGGATATATAGCTGCGACGATTGTTGATACATTGCTCCATGGAGAATCGAGATTACTAGACTGCTGATGTTCGGTTACGCAAAGACGGATGGATTCAGAGGGATCAAGGCTGCAAGCTGTTCGCATCATACTCGCCTTTTTTTTTTTCTTTTTCCTTTTTTAAACAACATTTATTCTGCCTTTTTTTTTTTTTCTACTGTTTCTTGGGCGCTTGGGGCAAGGGTCATAAAATTTTGGTTTGCAACGCGGACATTTATAAAATACGGTAGGGCAGCTACCAAATACCCCTTGATAATCTGTGGGAACGACTTTGATTATATTATGTCGGCTAGACAAGTTATATGCGCGACCGTGCTATCTCGCAGAGGTGATTATGAAAAGGATATCATTTAAAAATCATTCATACCAATTTCCTCCCTCTCCGTGTTGTTCCTGCTCTCATAGTATTATGAAGCACAGTTGCTGGAAATTGACATGCGATGGAAATGGGCACAGAATGCATTGCCTATCGCATCTTTTCGGGAATCAGTATTGCCGAGATGCCGTTTCTTCAATCTTCCTCTTCACACCTATCTGGTCTTCTCCTATGTTTATCCTAGGTTCTTGTACTGATCCCAGTGATTGACATACACTGGTTTGCCATCATCTATCGGCACCGACGTAAGGTTAGCACGAGGGTCCATAGTGGTGACTTCCTGAACGGGCTCAAGCCGAGATAGTTTAGGAGTGTTTGTGCTTGGGCCTGAGACGCTCATGGCGGGCAGCTCTATCGGGGCAGCGCTGCTTCCATCCATCTCAAAGGCGCCGCTAGCTGGAGAATACGGATCTTCAGGCTTATCTGCTCGGCCTAAGGTTCGTTTTGTTAGTGAGAACAGCTGAATGACCCGTCTTTATGGGCCACTGCGAATCAAAACTTACCTCCAAACGGGGCAAAGGGATCACTGCTCCCCTGAGTGCTTGTGGTATGGGCCGACACAGGATGGGGGAAATGCTTTTCTTCGACTACATCATCCCGACCGGTGTCTTGATGGGGATCAAAATCGGCTTCGGATCTGCGTTGCTTCTTGCGACGCCGCAGCGTAAGCACTGTGACGACGATGAGGGCGATGAGGGCGACGCCGCCGACGGCGATTCCGACAATGGCCCCCGGTGAGAGTGGGCTCGCTCCCGAGTTTGCGGGAGAGGTTGCGGCGTTTCTGGCGCCTGTGGACGAAGGAAATGCTGTTCCCTCGGACGTTGGGGACGCTGATTCTGTTATTGGCGTTCCACTGGCTGCTGAGATGGGATCTGAGCTGGATGATGTGGTCACTGATGGCCGACCCGTGACAATAGTTGTGTGTCTTATTATCGTGACTATCGAGTTGTTTGGGATTGTGTGAGTGATGCCCGAGTCTGTCATCACTGCAGATTCTTTTGAAGTTGCCGTTGACCGTGGCAAGGTTGTCGGCGTGGGTGTAGCCTCATCAGTCATGGAGACGATGGGCTTTGAACTGTCGTCGCTCTTGTCGACATCTTTGGAATCTTTGGGGTCTTTGAAAGATCCAAATGTGTCAGGACAGGAACTCAGGCCACAGGGATCCACGGAGCAGCATCCCCTAAAATTGTTGGCCTCGCAGGAGTAAAACGCCGTGCCTTTCGAACAGCCGTCCTCTTCATCCGCAGCTGAAGGCCTGTTGGAAACCATGACGAACAAGAACGGAAACACGGTGGTGAAGCCTTTGTTTGGCAAATAATTTGAAAAAGAGAAAAAAGAAGGATGATTCTGCTCTCTTCTTTGGCTTCGTCTTCCCTGTTTTGCAAACAATGGCTTTAGGGCAGATGCAGAAAGCAGGTTGGTCCGCACACCAGCTGGCGGCAGCCTGCAGAAGTTGGGCTGCCGATTTTCAGAGGCTCTCGGCAGCCTCTCGGACACATTCGAGGCCCGGCGTTTGTCTGAAGCTGGAGTCAGTTTTTTTTTTCTGCCCCCAAGCTGTCTGTGTGTGTGTGTATCACAGCGGGCAGCAGCTGCGGAGGAAGAGGTAATAAGTGGGAGTAACAGAGACCAAGAAAGGAAAATGGAGAGAAATAAATGAATTCTGATATGCTGTGATGCAAGGCTGGATACTAGATATAGTACCTACTAGTAGATAGCAGGTTGGACTGACAAATGCAGTGTACTCAAATGCTGTAATGGCAGAGATGCATGAGATTCGCACAGCCCATCAAAGGTCTCCAGAACAGCCAAGCAGATGCAGACTCGGGTTGACAAAGTTTAGAAAATGAAACGAGTAAAAAGAAAAGAAAAAACGTCGACGTCAATACAAGATCGAAAGCCCGAAGCCCAGAATAAGTGTTGGTCCTGAGTGTGCAACAACAATCACCCGCAGAGCAAACCAGAGGGGAAAAAAAAGTACAAACAACGACTGGTCGTATTATACCGGAGCAGTGCCTGAAGTGCTGTCACAGGTCTGATCCTTTTAAGAAAAATAGAAGAAGGACTCCAAATCACTCCGCGAAAATCCCCGTCTTTGCAAGTTACCACATCAGACTGATTGGGGGCCTCTGCCAGGGGTGAGCTCTCACCAAGTCGCCTCGTTTCCTGAATTATGTTCCTGTGGCGCAGTGTAACGACTGCTATATTTGCCAAACGCCTCGATAAAACGCAGCATACCTCTACATATACATACATTCATACATTCATCATACCTATTTCGAGCCATCTCCCCATCGCGCTCACCGAAATGCTACCACCCCATCCACCCACTCCCAGCATCATGAGCATCATGAGCATCGCCCCCAGCCCTAAAAAGTGCCAGGTGCATGCATTTCGGGGCATACCGCATCGACAACTCGGACCAGTTCGCGATCCCATCTCTGCGCCCTCTGCTTCATTGACCAACCTCCATGAACCTCTCTGTGTAACTGTTTTGTTGGTTGCTTCTTGACATACCCACCTAAAACTTTCCGCGACGACAAGGGGCCCAAACAATTCGGCTGCTCGCAGGTTTTTGAACGCAAGCCAGCCGAGTTATGACTGCCTCTTCTCTCTATAACTGCTGTGAAACGTCCAGCTCACGGATTCGCTTCGGCCTGTCCTTGTACTTCCTTGCTGTTGTTGGATGTATGTGTCCATTCCACGGCACATTGGTTGCTAACAGCTGTGACTAAAACCTCGCGAACACAAGAGAGGCATGTTAAAGTAGGTTCCAGAGCGTTTTGAAAAAAGAAATTTTATACATTGAAAGTTTTCTATCCAGAAGTACTATAAACACTTGTAAAATCACTAAATTATGCTGCTGCAATTGGAGAAAAACGAAAACTAAAAACTGGGCCGAGATGTGACATTATCCATTTCACAGCTTCTCTAATAGCAGCTTGCTACCCTTGTTGCCCACAGGAGCCTCCGTCTTCTTGCCCTTCTTCGCAGTCTCACTGCCTTCCGCCGCCTCCTTTGCGGCCTTTTGCTCTGCAGTGGGTTCCTCAGCCGCCTTTTGCAGCAGCTTCTTGTTCTTCTTCAGCGTCTTCTTCAGCTCGTCCGCGCTGGTAAACTCTTCGCTCTCGAGCAATGCTACCACAACGAATGAACTCGGCCCAGTAGCCCAGTCCATGATGGAGTCCTTAATGACAGGGTACAGAATATTGGAAAAGCCCAATGGCGGGTCAATCAGCTTCACCTTGCCAGCAGCCTTGTCGAATCGGCCACCTTGAATAAGAGACTTGAGCATTCGTCCACCAAAAGGTGTGTTGGCAATGTGTGGCCGGGTAGCGATCTCGTCTTCTGCTGGCTCTTGCTTCGGGCTGCCGCTGACAGACTGGGCGAGCGCTTCGAGCGCTTTCTGCTTCTCTCCGATTCCGGAAAGGAAGACATCCGCGACAAACTGGCTACCAAATGGGGAAGCTGTGAGGTCAGAAGGCGATGCCTCAATTGCGGCTATCAAGGATGGCGATATCAGCGCAGCAAGCTCTTTGCGTCTGCTCTCATCTTCCTTCTTGCTTGTGGTCTTGCGGATCTCATGAATCTCCTTAAGCACCTCCAAATCATAAGCGTGGCTGGCCGGGAACAGCGACCTGGAAAACCCTTCGAGGAGGTAGAGAAGGGTAATTCTGGCATTAGCATTGTTGGCAGCCGCCACAACATTCTGAGCCATCTCCTCCTCCTTCTCTCCCAAGAGCTCTGGGAAAATAGTTTTCGAAGTCAGCTTGGTGTCATCAATGACATCAAAGGCTGTGAGGATGACAATGTGGCCGTATTGATCTCCAGACATCAGCTGGATAGTGTCCTTGTACGCTTTTAGTAGCGTCTTGCGATCTTTGGCTGTACCGTATGCGAACAGAAGGCAGGCGAGCTTTGCACCGGAGCGCGTGAATGCAAGGTTCTTGAGCAAATCGCTGGTCTCATCGCCCTTGACCAGCTCTACAAACTCATTGAACTCCTCAGTTCCTGGCTGTGTATTTGTAAAGTATTGTAGCATGGCATCATGTAGCATCGTGAAGCCGGTCATTTTCTTTTGAACAAGTGTGTTGATGAGCTCCAACAGGCTCTTCATAACTGGTCCTCGTTTGGCTGGCTCATCTTCAAGGATTTGTTTCAAGTCGGAAGTGGCCTTGATATCCTTTGTCAATTCCTTAATGGCAAACTCTGGTCCGTACCATTCGCGTAGTAGAAGAGCCTTCTGCTCCTTTGTGGCGACCGTCCGGTAAACATCATCCAGAATCCACGAGGCTTCGGAGTGATTGATGAGCTTTCGAACTTTGCCGTAGAAGTTGGGTATAATGATATCGCGAATCTCATCGTCGTTGTGGACCAGAAGCTTTCCGATAAGGAATTTGGCATACCGTCCCTCGGCAAGTTGCGTATAGGTGCCTTGGAGCTCCAAAGCAATTTGTTTCCGCTGCTCCGGGGTGGAATATTTGATGGCTGTTTGAACTGCTCGGACTGCGTCATGCTTCAGGACAAAGTCTCGGACGCGGCCTGTGATGATGCCATATAATTCCGCCACAAGCTTCTGTCGCTCGTCTTTGGGAACCTGGGACTTGATGCGCAGTCGTTCCCAGATCTTCTTGGTTCGCTGAACTTCATCAGCGAGGGGCTTGGCAGCTTTTCGCTCTAGAGCAAGCTGTTTTTGCTTCGCATGAGACTCGCGGGAGGTTTGCTCTATTATTGTGATTCGGTAAGCATCAATGCATCATCGTCATGAATCGAAATAAAGCATACCTGATCCAGACGGCTTGCCATTCGATTTATCCTCCAATCGAGGCTTCTTGCTCTTGCCGTCAAATTTTTCTTTACCGCCTGAGACATCCTTTCTCTTATTTACGAACGCGGGGGCCTTGGTAGCCATTTTGATCGAAATATTCGCTGTTGTAATATGCAGAATTGATGTCGACTAATCGCAAGACTCAAATTCTAGCTAGACACTTTATCGTCGCTCGCTAGGATCTTTTTTTTTTTTTTTTTAAAGAATACTGCCGGGCGGTGACACCCTGATTGGCGTGGAATTGCATCTTATCTTATCTACTGATTATGTAATCGTATACATACTACAGTGCACGAGTGCCTATTCCAAACACGATGCCTTTTTTAACTGGTGATTTTAACATTAATACAGGGCTCAATTAAGAAATGCTACATCTTTTAGCACTCAAGAGGCATCAGAATATATACTACAATCGGTATTATCCTATAAATCTAAATATGCGACAGAAAGCTCAGCTCCAACTGAGCAATTCTTGGTATCATTCCTCTCGATTTTCAGTGTGCTAGAAGGAACAAAAAAGCAAAAAAATTAGAAGAAAAAGTTATCAAGAATCATCTTCAAAATTCATTTGTTTCCATGGGAAAATCTGATTAGATATTTCGTCAATATCTGCTAAAAACTCGACCCATCCGTTTTAAAAAGCCAGTCGCTACTCGCATCAATCATAAAATTGGTGATGTTGAACTCATTCGGCTGGTACTGCGGGTGGTCCATGTTTGTGTTTGCCGAAGACATGTCAGGGTTTGGTATTAAGCCTTCAGTGGCACCAGAAACATTATCCCCGCTAAATGGAATTCGTGGGACATTGAAGAAGTTGAAGACGTCCAAATACTCCAACTCATTCGGTCCCGGCGTCCTTGAGGGTGTTGCGCTTCCCAAGTGACCAAGACCCTGTGCACCATGCCGGGGCTGTCGTGATATCAAAAAATCCAAATCAAACGCCGTCCTGCGCATGTCGGCCAAAATTTTGACTGAGCTCGGCGTGACTCCGCCACCTTGTCTTTCGCTGTCTCGATGCTCGTCCAGTACTCGCTGCAGCAACCTCGAGTATCCAGCGGCTACCGGCCAATACCGCCCCATTTCGCGGAGTATATCGACAAAGAAGGAAATTTGGGGCGACAGTTTATGTTCAACAGTAGAACCATGAACCAAAAGCACTCGCGCAGCAACCCATATGGTGAAGGCAAACGGTGGACCCAGCTTAGGGAGGAAGCCGTTGTTCACGACAAAGTCGCCCAAAGCAGATATATTTTCCACAGCACCGTGACATCTCTGCGCCGCACTAAATGACGGTGTGAAGATTGCCGATCTAGTTGTTGGATAGGCTGCCGAGGAATGTAGTCGAATAACCGCTGTGTGATACGTCGCATGGAGCATGACCCAGTTGCAGTTTAGATTTCTGCTGCCTGGCTGGAAAACTTTGTTCATGTTTCCAAACTCGCCAGGTAGGGCAAAGTTCCAAGACGTCAGCTCCTTGTCAAGCTCTTTGTAACGGAGCTGCCACTTTTCTACATCAGTTAGACGACCGATGTCAACTGGTTGTTTTAGAAACTTGTGGATTTTTGACAATATTCCAAGGATCTCGATGTAGTATGCGAAAGCTCCCAGATTCTCAGGCCTCCCGACGGGATGTTGATGCGTCTCATCGTAACTTTGAGTACCCGTGACAAACCATCGCGTTTCTACTTTTTGATTCTCCATCCACAGGTCATCCCGACAGGGGAGCATTCGGTCAATCTCCGTATCGGCTAACGCAAATTCAAAGGCCGTAGCAATAGTTGCATATCTATCGAGCAAATAGATCATCCAGAACAGCCTTCTACGTGACTCCTCTTCTATAAAATCTTTCGGCTCGGGGAGAATCATGGCCCTCAGAGTGTATATCGACGAATAGTGAGGAGCCACGCTGAAGGAATTGGTCTCGACAGATAATCCCAGCTGCACTACCGACCTGGTGATGAGAGCCATTATGTTCCATCCGGGAGGGCCATTGCTGCTGCCACATATATCAAGAGCCAGGATGAGCAGCGCTAAAAGTGACTTGACGGACGAGTTTTCCATGCCGTAGAGCAATACTTTCTGCTTAGATATGCGGTGATAGTGCTGTCGCCGCTCTTCAGTAAGCCTAGGATCGCTAGAGAATCGCATCGTAGTGGCGACTATCGCATGAAGCAGGACCCTGTCTGACTCTTGGAGATCGGAGATGCCAAATAAGCTATCTAGAGTGGTTCTTCGGTGCAGAATTGGACACCAGGTGTTGATGTGCTTGAAATACAAATCCACGAGGTTGTATACGAGATTATACGGCGGGAGGTCGTCGGCGTCGGACGAGGGGAGAGCGGCACCCGATGTAGGTGTGGCTGTCGGCAGGCCGATATTTGGCTGTGTTGAAACGTTGCCGGCTGAAGGCGCTCGGCCATGGAATTCGTTGGGACCCTGCTCCGTAGAGGTGGGCGCAGGAGGGCCGTTGGTCGGCTGAGAATTGTAGAGCACATTGTTGCTCAAGTGCGAAGCCTGATGATACAGCTTTGATGAGCCCAAGGTATGGCTATTCTCGCTCTGGGTATCATGGTCGCTCGCGAGATTTTGTCGCCCAGCTTGCCCACCGGACTCGGAGTTTTCTGGGCGGAGAGACGGCAGCGGTGAAGTCTGGAGCAGTTCGGAGTGCTGCCGCAGTATCTCCTCCATCTTGTCAAGCCTCAGCTCCATTTCTCGGCTCCGATTCTCGAGGAACCTCCCAAAACCCGCCCGCAGCCCGGGAGGCTTTCGCTCCTTGTACTCGCATGTTTGTCCATGGCGCTTACACCAACCACACGAAGGCTGGCCACGGTCACATTTCACCTAGAAACAGCAGGGAAAAAGACATGTTAGGAGTTGCAAAGATAGAGAGTAGCGCAGAAATGACAGCATGTGAAGACAATGTTACCTTGCGCTGCTTGCACAATTCACATCTGCGCAAAAGTCGTCAGCATAAGTAGTGGATAGACAGACAGACAGGTAGGCAGGCAGGCTAGGACTTGAGAGCAACGTACGAGACAGAGATGGGCCTCTTGCGCTTGGCCGACTGAGTGGCCGAGTCGGGGTCAGGGTCATTGTCAATGCTCTGGTCATCACTATCGGGCTCAGCAGGCTGGCGATCGGGCACAGAGGCAGAAGACAGCGGCGATGGGCGTTTGTTATCTTCGCTACCGCTGCGCATGGCGCCTTAGCCTCGCAGCACAAGCCCGTTTCACCTCGCACAACGAACGAAGGAAGCCTTTCTCGGTGGATTGACGCTCCGACGCAGCTCCGGTGATTGGACGCGACAGCCAGCGGGGCCACGAACAGCAGACGGGCGGCGACCGGTGAGCGGCGAGCAGCGAGAGAATCCGGAGAGGGCGCACGTGTTCTCTCGGGACAAAGGCCAGCGGGAGGTTGTTGGCAGGCCGGGTCAATGATAACCTGAAAGATAGCGACGATGCGGAGCTGGGAGTTGGGCCTGTCTACCTGTCTGACTGTCTGGGAGCAGCGCAGCAGCCAGGCCGCGGCAGAGCTGGAGCTGGAGCTGGGGGCAGCTTATTGGTGGCGCCGGGGCTGACGAGAGCCGGGATCTGGCCACTGCAGCGGCTGCTACAAGGAGACCAGCGGCATCCACATGGGGAGCGGCAGCCGGCGAACTGCTGGAGAAGTGAGGAGATGGGGAGATGGGCGGTTGAAAAGAGGAAAGCCCCGTCCGGTTACTTTACAGGTACTTCAGGCGGATAGTTGACGAACGCTGGGCCGGCAGGATGCATTCAGCCAGATAATTGATGGTGTTCTTATTCCCAGATGAACGCCGGTACCTGTTTATAGCCCTATAGCCTCGGTACCTGTCCAATCTCAGAGCTTCATGCACGAAATCACTTCGCCTCTAATAAACGTAGACAGCTACTGCTATCCAGACTGATTGCCGGTAGTATTTTAGCTCGCGTTAACTAACAGCAGATCCAATGGAGTCTCTTTTGAAACTTGAGTGCTGGGGCATTTATTACCCGCCGGGATTTTCCATTCAAGCACTAACATGATGAAACCTCATGTACATCCTCAGATTTGACAATAGAGCGATCTTCGCCTATAGCAGCATTGGGTAAGCTTTGCGTTGTGTTTCTGACTCTTCCGGATAATAAAAAACCAAACAAATGACTCGAGACCCCGAATCTCGCTACCCATCACATCTCAGGGCCCTGATTCAAACATGTGAAGCTCTACACCTCAGCAAAGCGGCCTTCGGGTCATTTAGGTCCGATCCCTCAACAACAACACCCCACACGGTTGAAATGTACAGAGTTGCCCGCAGCTCGAATTGTCGCCGGGGAAGGACTCGTACAAATTAAATTTACCATCTTTCTCTTCTCTTCTTCTCCCGCTGTTCCAACCCATTCGGCCCATTTAGCCAATATCCATCATGCATAGCTCACTCTCAGTTCGGCAGTTTCCTACGATCAAAGCCATACGATCCTACGTCATTGGCGGCGTCGGTTCTGGTATGCTTTGATCCGTCCAATTATGGCCTGTTTAAGCAAAACTCGCTGACAAGTAATACTAACCGTGCCAAATAGGCGGTGATTACCACAACGTCAAGGGCGGCCACTGGTGAGTGATGCCCTCTTCGCACAGCCAGTACTCCTGGCAGCTGAGCTACCACTGTATATATTTGTACCTTGAAACTGTCAAAAACTGACTTGAATGTTCTCTTCTCTCACACAGGCTTGTCGATAGCGACATTTCTACGCCAGCTTCACAATGGTCGCAGTATCGCAAATCGCGAACCAGCTGGGGCATCAACGTCCTCGGATCATTCTTGGTCGAGATTGAGGCGTCTGATGGAACTGTGGGTTTTGCAACTGGATTCGGCGGTAAGTATTCCTGTCCAACTTGTAGCTGAACCTCTTCACAACTGAAAGTCATGATATTGCTCTACTCTTTTCAATGGTTCTAACTCATTCCATAGGTCCTCCCGCTTGCTGGCTGGTTCATCAGCACTTTGAGCGATTCTTAGTTGGGGCTGATCCACGAAATACGAACCTGCTCTTTGAGCAGATGTATCGTGCTTCCATGTTCTATGGCCGCAAGGGACTCCCTATTGCCGTCATTTCTGTCATTGACCTTGCACTTTGGGATCTGTTAGGCAAGGTCAGGAACGAGCCTGTCTATCGATTAATTGGCGGAGCTACCAAGGAGCGCCTCAACTTTTATTGCACAGGACCCGAGCCAACAGCGGCCAGAGATATGGGATTTTGGGGCGCCAAAGTGCCTCTTCCCTTTTGCCCAGAGGAAGGCCACGAGGGCCTGCGTAAAAATGTAGAGTTTTTGCGCAAGCATCGCGAGTCCGTGGGGCCGGATTTCCCCATCATGGTTGACTGTTATATGAGCCTCAACGTCTCATACACCATTGAGCTGGTCAAGGCGTGTTCCGACTTCAACATTAACTGGTGGGAAGAGTGTTTGTCTCCCGATGACACAGATGGCTTTGAGCAAATCAAGCGCGCGCATCCGACTGTCAAATTCACCACGGGTGAACACGAATACTCTCGCTACGGGTTCCGCAAACTCATCGAGGGTCGCAATCTTGACATCATTCAGCCAGATGTCATGTGGCTGGGCGGCATGACAGAGCTGCTGAAAGTGTCAGCCATGGCCGCAGCATACGATATTCCTGTGGTTCCGCATGCGAGTGGTCCTTACAGCTACCACTTTGTCATTTCGCAACCAAACACTCCATTTCAAGAATACCTCGCCAACTCTGCTGATGGCAAGAGCGTGCTGCCGGTCTTTGGCGACCTGTTCATAGACGAACCTATTCCCACCAAGGGTTATCTCCTAACGAGCGATCTGGATAAGCCTGGATTTGGTTTGACGATCAACAATGCCGCACGCTCCAAACTGATCCCCTCAAATTATCTTCTTAGCCCTCCGCCTGTGCAGCAGCCTACCTTGACACCTACCAACGGCGAGGACAAGGACAAAGTAGCCAACGGCAATGGTAACCATGCAGCAACAGCATGAACGGATGAGAGAAGAAAAAAATTGGGAGGCAAAAATTGAACAAATTAGTCTGATATCAGTTACGAGAAGAATATACTGTATGAAGCAACGAACAGCATAACATAACCACTGCAGAATTCATCACGATAGTCCATTCAAAGACAAGAAAAGAAAATTGTAAATCTCATATGCAGTAAGACAGAGATGCTCCATAAAATTGCCTTGTGCTAAAACCTGGAGAAGCTCTGGGGGATGAGTTCCAGAAAAGATCGTGACCCACCGATTCGAGGGTTGTAGCTTTCTGCGCTCACTCCCCTCGATCTGAGAGCATCGTGAAGGGTTTTTACGGTAGCCCCAGAGCGCAGCGACCCGCTATACAGCAGACCCAGAACTCACGATAGTCGCCATCCCACCGTATTGTGGGCCATCGAAACGGTGGCTGCGTAGTTGGCGCCGCAGAGGGGTTCACTCGCCCTAAAGGCTCCCGAGAGCTCGGATTGATTTCCACCGCAGGAAACGGATTTCGTGAGTTTATAGAGCCTTTGCAAGAACATCGCGATACAATAGACGAGAAAGCTTGGTTTACTGCCGGAACAAAGAAAATCAACCCGTCCTTGCACGCGCAACTAGATCAGACAACTCCAGTCCTCTCTGACTCTGCCCCGCATTGGCTCATACAAGCTGGAACGAAACAGTAGACGCCTTCTACTGGACCCTGTGGCTTCACACGGCACATTCTACGCCACTTTGGAAGATAATTTGGAAGAAGTAAATATATACGACTAGTGGTGGGCTTGTCCAACAACGCCGAGTTTCATTCTCTGGGCGTTGTTTATATCAAACTCCCGATCGTTACAGGTGTCACCACTATGCCGCTCAAGGGGCTTTTGGCGGGCAAAACCGCCATCATAACAGGCGGCACTACTGGTATCGGGCGAGCCATCTGTCTCGGGTATCTTGGCCAAGGGTGCAATGTCGTTGTCAATCACCTCGGCCTAGAAAAGGACCAGGTGCACCTAGACTCACTCATAGCCGAAGCCAGAGCCATCCTAGCAAAGGACCCTGAAGCCGGCCGTCTTGCTCATCAGGCAGGGGATGTTCGTGAAATTGAAACAGCGGCGAGGCTAGTAGCTGCTGCCGTTGAGCATTCTGGCGACGCTCGCCGTCTCGACATCTGCGTCTCCAACGCCGGAGTCTGCACCTTTGCCGACTTCCTTACCTTGTCGCCGGATCTCCTCGAAACAACGTTTAGGACAAACGTCGACGGCGCCTTTTACATTACACAAGCAGCAGCCCGGCAAATGGCACTGAATCAAAGCCCCTCGGGAGGCAGCATCATTGGCATGTCCTCCATCTCAGCGCTGGTGGGCGGAGGCTTGCAGACGCATTACACGCCAACAAAGGCCGGCGTGACGAGTCTGATGCAGAGCACGGCGGTGGCTCTGGGCAAATACGGCATCCGCTGCAACGCCTTGCTGCCCGGGACGATTCGCACGCAGCTGAACGAGGAGGATCTGGCTGATGACGCCAAGCGGAACTACATGGAGGGCAGGATCCCTCTCGGGCGAACAGGCGAGCCGGCGGATATGGCGGGTCCGGCCATCTTTTTGGCGTGCGAGGAGTTGAGCGGCTATGTGACGGGGGCACAGCTGCTGGTGGACGGTGGGCTTTTTGTCAACTTGCAATAAGTAATGATGCTGTATACGTGTGTTTGGTGTGTCTTTGGTGAGCATTTGGGGATGGCGAAAGATACGAGGGCGTTGTCAGGCTATTCAAGAGCGTGTGGTTCCATATCCCATACATGTGTTGATCTATCTACGCAAAATCTTAACAATCTCGACAGAAAAAAACCAGAAAAAGAAAGGGATGAAAAAAAAAAAGAAAAGAAAAAAAAAGACGTAACGTAATAGATAACGAATAGCGAGTAACGAATCAAGGCAAGGCGTGAAAATACAGAAGCAGAAGCAGTACGGGGCACAGCTATGTCATTATGGAGCGTGGTGTTGCGAGTTCCCACCAAACCTGCTGCAGAAGCCCGCAACGGTGACAGCAAACGGTGACGGCTCACCGCGTATGCAGGCAGCGTCGCTCACTGTGCACTTTACATACTGTAGAACCTCAGAGACTTTGTAATACTGCCTTGCCTTGGCATTTACAGTGCTGACAACGCTCAGCTTGCCGCCTATTGCTCCCCTGTCCGCAGATATCCGGGTCCCAGATCCGCAGTCCCGCCTCGGACCCGACGCTGAGCACTCACAGGAGCGGTTTTGACGTCACCGTGGAACCGCCGTCCATACCTACCATCGACGCTCGTTTTGACATGTGCCGAGTACGGTGAAGGTACTCTTTGGTTGTACTTGTAGAACATCTGCTCTACCGTCTCGCCAGCACCTGAGACGCTCCCCACGCCGCAAAGTTTAATACAGATACTCCTTGTTTCGACTCCACGCGGCACCCAGAATTTCCCCAGATACTCTCGATACTTGGATGAGATAATCGAATAGTGCTTGACTCGTACAGTATACGCTCGAAGCAGCAGCTTTCACGGCCTGTTCCTTACCCTGTAAACAAGCCATCCTATTTCGAGATATCACTCAGATCTACGATGTAGGTGATCTGTTTCAATCTCTTACACCGACTTCGCTTGTCCCTTTGTTCTATTTTCCATCCGTAAAATTTTTCTCTTCTCTCTAGGCCAGTAATATGCCTTTCCCTCCCACCACGTAGTCATACAAACCAGGGATTCTCGGCGCCTCTTCACATGAGATCGCCGGTTTTACCTCACCTCAGCGCCAGTTGGCAAGCTGCCCCCTTATCGGCCACTCGTTATCATTCGCCCATAAAATGCCGCTGAATGACATGAGTGACTCCGAGGGGAGCGCCGCTTTCCAGTTAATGGCAACGCGATTGCAAATCTGCGTTCCATGTTTTCATGGCGCTTGCCACTTGGGGCGCCATTCGCTTTTGGCGGTTTCGACGTAAGTGGCAAGGATCCGCGACTAAGACAGGGCCATTGGCCATTGATTCCACGTGTAGCAATGATAAGGGCAAAAATTGAACGTTGCGCAAGAGAAGAAATAGAGTTATGATACTGCGATGAAAACGTGTAACATTGAGTGCAGCGGTTATGACGTACGCCCTTGCCTGATCCCTATAATCTTGCAAGTAGTACTCCTATCACGAATCACATCTCAAGGTGCCCGCCATTTCGCTACAGCACCACTATCCTGAGGCTCTTTGTTCCTGGGCTAGCTCCCCTTGCAAGCCTCACTTCAGACCGCAAGCCTCTTCAGCCCTCTTGAGCCTGGCTACGTAGTTGCTACGCGCGCCATCTCCACAGCGCCGTCACCTCTCGATATCGCAGCCCGCAATTTTGACGTGTGTGGAACCAGGCGGTGGATAAACAATTGGAGACATATCGCAGCATTCCACAGTTTTTGACGAAATGCGAGCGAAAAACCTGGAGAGATGGAGAGAAAATGACTCGAGGGTGCTATGGCGGGTTTCGAGTGGAACCATGTCGAAATGTCGAGACATGCTGGAGGTACTGGAGGGGTGGCAGCAAGAGGTGCGAGAAAGAGGAGGACGACATCTATAAAGAGCCCAGATACGCTCACCGTTCTGGACGGTAGAATCATCAAGCCCACAAGAACATCAGCTACTCAAAGTACCCTTTCGACTCTGCTTTGGCACTCAATACACGCCATTCCCCCCCAAAAATCACTTCGAATTCCCATCTTCTACAAAATACATCCACCACATCCTTCATCATGGCATCTCTAAGTAAGGAACAGCAGACCGAGTTCTACCAGCACGTTGCCACAGTTAAGAAGGACCTCGACATCAGAGTAGCAGATTCAGATTCGCTACCTAGCTCCCCAGAACTGGCATCGGTCAGCTCCAGAGATAGTGTCTGCAGCATCCCCACTCCCATCTCCCCTGATGATTCGGGCGCCGTTGCCGATTCTTTTGTATTTGCATTTGATATCGACGGCGTGCTCGTCCGGGGCGGCAACCCCATCCCTGAAGCCATTGAGGCCATGAGAGTCCTCGATGGAGAAAATGAGTATGGAATGAAAATGTAAGCCGATTTCTGTTGTACCCTCTTACTTCTTACCTCAACTAACATGCAACTTGCCTAGTCCTCACATCTTCCTTACCAATGGCGGCGGCAAGACTGAAGAAGAGCGTTGCCGAGATCTATCGGGCCAGCTTCAGCGAGAAGTCAAGCCCGGCCAGTTCATTTGCGGACATACCCCCATGAGGGAAATGGCCGAAAAGTATAAGACAGTTCTCGTTATTGGAGGCGAGGGCGAGAAATGCCGTCTCGTCGCCGAAGGATACGGCTTCAAAGATGTCGTCACCCCTGGAGACATCATCAAGCACAACGCTGCCACAACACCATTCCGAAAGCTGACGCCCGAAGAGCTCAAGAACTCTCGTGAGCGAGACTTTGACGACGTTGTCATCGATGCCGTCTTTGTATTCGCTGATTCTCGCGACTGGGCCGGTGACATTCAGATCATGCTCGATGTGGCCATGTCCCAAGGCGGACGGCTTGGAACCCGCAGCGAGACTTTCGACCAGGGCCCTCCATTTTACTTCTCTCACAACGATGTTGTTTGGTCTGCTGCTCACGAGCATGTCCGTCTTGGCATGGGCGCGCTCAGACGCATGTTTGAAATTACCTTTAAGGATCTCACAGAAGGCAAGGGCAAGCTGCACACTCACGCCTTTGGCAAGCCCCAGGTCTCTACCTTTGAGTTTGCTGAGCGGTTGATGCAAACGTGGCGAAGCACCGAGCATGGCATTTCCGGTCCTCCGCAGACGGTCTACTTTGTTGGCGACACGCCGGAAAGTGACATCCGCGGCACCAATGCCATCAACAATGTTGCCAAGAATGACTGGTACAGCATCTTGGTGAAGACTGGCGTATACCAAGAGGGCACAGAGCCGGCGTACAAGCCTCGCGCTACGGTGACCAACGTGCTTGATGCCGTAAATCACGGGCTCCAGCGCGAGATGCGCAAGAAGGTTACTTCATCGCTCAAGCAAAGCATGGTTGACGAGCCAAAGTATACTCAGAATGATGTGGCTGTCTTGGATGAGGACATGCTCATCTCTGTATAAGCTGTGACAGCAGACTTGAACGTTTGAAAGACATCATGGGACGGAGTATTTGGAGTTGGAAACAAAAATTGACTATACTGACTTTGATGCGACACGACTGAGATTTCTTTTCTTTTCTTTTCTTTTCTTTCTTTTCTTCTTATCTTTCACTACTTTTTCTCAAAGCGAAGCCTAGCAACTCGCTGATCACTTTTCTTCTTCTTTTCTCTTTCTCTCTATCTACTCTTTCTTTCTCTTTTCTTTCTTTTGCTACGCATTCCTTTTTAGCCAGGTAAACCTGGTGGAACCTGTTTATATACCCCAAGCGTTTTACAGAATATTGTTTAGACATCATCATAAACAAGATATTAGACATGGTCTAGATACCTAGTAGTCTTTCACATCAAAGTATAGATTATTTCATTCTTATAACTGCTGCGCAATACCGTCGTGAAATCTTCATGATCACTGCTATCCACAAATCGTGACTGCATAGGTTGTGTAATGAGTAGCATCATTCCTCAAAAGTAAATCCCCCCCACTGTGATGTTGCTGCCCATCCAGTTCTATCAACGACTTCCTGCCTATCAGAGCGTCTCTCAAAAGCGTCCTCCAACGTCACCCTCAGAGAATACTCTGCCACATTATCACGATCAACGTGAAGCCAGCCTTTCCACCCAGCAACCAAATCTCCTGCTCCCAGCCCGCCCAGAACAATCGTACCCCACCATTCACGCGTGCGAGACGCCGCCGAGTCGTCTTCGTAGACCATGAAGCGCTCGGCATCTGCGATGAGTGATCGGATGTGCTCGGCGTTGGTGTTGGACCCTTCGCTGTATGGCGGCTGGTGAACGTAGACGTGCTGAAGGTCTTGCTCGGCGCATGTGAGGCGAGTGGCGTCGAAGCGGCCGTCGAAGTCAAGGACAAAGAGAGCCAGGGAGTGAGGCGGCGAGACGAGCGTTGATATTATCTTGTATACTAATGGGAGGCTTCGGCCGGAGATGGATATCGTGGGCGCCTGGGTGGCTCGAAACTGCCGAGCAGCGACTTGGTCGAGGTCATCCAGGTGTGTGGTTTTGATGCGTCTGGTGCCGGTTCCGCCTGTCTGAGCTGTCTGAATGGGAAGAGCTGCGCGAAGACTATCAAGTATCTAGAAGCATGTCATGGCTCGGTATTAGTTTCGAGCTTGCAGTTTGTTTACACAGGTCTAGGTACTGAGAGCACATGAAGGAGATATCTATCAAAGTCTGCTGCGAGTCTCGTCGCTGCAAGTGTGCGAAACAGAGCTGGCTTTTCGTTTCCTTGTTTCTTTTTTATTGTATTTTTTCCATCATGGAAAAGAGCTCTCTTGGAATTCAAAACATGGCCAAAAAGATACATTTCCAAATCTGGTGGCGTCTTGGCGGTGATTTGCGCAGCTCCCATAACATGGTCCCAGCATTTTTCATTTCCAACCAAAACTCAACTTCTTACAACAACGTGCGCAAGCAAGGGGTCTACAATCGCAAACTCACCTCCTCCAAATCAGCCTCCTCAACAGCCCTCAGCAGCTGCCCACCCATAGACTCCATCGCCCGACTTGCTTCAAGCAGTGAAAATCGCAAGACGCGTGGGCTGCGAAAAAGATGACGCCGCCGTGCCGCTCATTTCCCGCCTCGGAGCTGCCAGAGCGGATCCAGCAGGATGCGTCGGGGCGGCGCCGCAAAGTCGAGGGCGCGGGCAGCGTGTCTCGCAAGATTGACTTGTCGGCCTGCGAGCTTTTGCAGATGCTGCAGTACAAGTGCGAGGTTGAGCGGCCGTTGTCGCGCGACAGTCCGGTCCGATGCTATGCTGTAGATCGGCTATTTCGCAGGTAATGGAGGAAAAAAAAAGTCCCGAGTTTGCCATCTTACCCCCACCACATCGCTAACACATCACCCCGCCATTGCTGTTATTTACGACACTTCAATTGAAACTATCAAGACTCTCTTTTATCGAAACTTTCTCATCTAGCTCTGTGATAACTAACAGCTGCCTCAGGTGTAAAGACAAAAAAGGCACATTCACCGTGGAAACAACGGCGTGGGAAAAGGAAAGGGCCAAAGCAGATGGCGGCTTAGAAGGAACCAATTCCAGAGACCCGCCAAAGCCGCATCAATGGTCGTCGAACTGGCATGATCCAGACGAGGCATCGCCGTGATGCTGCAGCTTTTCTTTATTGCAAATTATAAATGACGAATTAGCTACAAGCTCTCTAGCTAAAGAGATCTCAGTGCTACTTATACCGCGCTGAGCATACTTCTAAGGAGCTTCACGCCGGTTCTCATCTTAACGTTGTATAAAATAGCATTTGATTTAGCAAGCGAATGATGAGACTCAATAGACTGGCGGCTGTCCTACAGGATATGGTCATCAAGGTTGGCTGTGAAGCTCTGGGGTGAACGTAATGTCTGCGTCCTCTTCATCATAGTAGCGGCGAACATTGACATGTCTACGGAACGTGGTCTAGATATCTCGGGAGCAAAAGGGATACTGTTTCACGCAGATTAGGATTCTACAACTATTGGACAAGGGAGGAGCCCTCGGTATTAGTAGAATTTCCAGAAGGTGATACGGCATCCTAATAAATACGTCACATCACATAAGACAAGAGATATCGGATCGCCCCGAGACTTGGTCTAAGTAGAAATTCACCTAGCTGCAGCTGCTCACTATGATATACACTCAGCAGCCATGTAATGACAGCCAAGGAAGCACACTATTGACATCGTATTTTGACTTCTATTTGACCATCAATGGTCCATGTCGCATCCCTCTCCCTTTACCCCTCTAAATAGAGCATCACTCTATTGCGCCTGGGTTCGCTCGGCGGCTCGGCTGGCCTCCTTCTTGGCGTAGTAATCGTCTCGGCCGTTGGTTCGGGGCATGTGGTAGCCGTACCTGTTCCCATCGTTAGACAATCCCGTCTTGCAACTTCTGACAAATTCTTCCTCATTCGAGATCGTACCAGAACCAGTTTCCCATGATAAATCCAGCTCCTAATGAGTCGTAAGTAAATTGCTCCAAGTCGTCCTAGCTGTATTACAGCTTTGCAGATATTCGCAGGGTATTATTTACCGAGACCGATGCCGAGGTCAAGGATGAGCTGTCGTCGCAGTATCTGCATCCTGTGTGTTAGCCAGCCCCAAGCATCTTTGCAGCAGCGCTGGCAGCAATTTCACTGCACTGGATGCGTCATTGGCCGGGGTGTAGACGTACGCCAGTGATCGGAGCGATGGCCATTTTGAATTGAGAGCTTTCCAAGCTTTTCCGGAGCCTCGAGATGCGTTTGTTTGGCTGTTTGGTGGATTCTGTATAGCGGAAAGGTAGAATCTGGTACGGATCAAGCGATGGTATGGTCTGATGTTAATCCCGCTAAAGAGGCAATCACGTGATGGCACAATGCCGCTCGTTCGGCGGATCATCGGGCGCAGGAAAAAGTGTCTCTTGGGCTAGATGCTAGCAATTAGTGGGCTAACTTTGGTCTCGGAGGAATTGAAGAACTGCTAGATGCAGATTCTCTTCAATGGGCTTTGAATCGGCAAGCTGAGTTTCTGTCTGCCCGCCCCTGCACCGCTGTGACGATGAGTTTACGGCTAGCCACTCGGCGGCTGGCCCTGCCAAGTAAGATATTGCCTAAAAATGAAAGAGAGAAACAAGAAACAATCACGTATCAGTCGATATACGCTGGCTAACATGCGATCTGAATGTAGGCCAATCTCCCTCAGCTTCTTTGCTGACACCGGGAAAAAATGTTTCTCACGGAAGTACTGGCGTGCTAGTTCAACGCCGCAACAAATGGTCAATCAACATGTTCAAGGGCTGGGGTAAATCTGGCGCCAAAGACTCTGGAGACAAAGGTCAAGATCCAGTAGCCTCCGAACTGGACGACCCCAAGAAACGACAACAGTTCCTTCAGAGAAACATGCGAGGTGGAGTGGAGGACAACATTTTCCAGGACGAAATCGAAGCCGCGAAGCCGGCATCTGAAACACCTGCCGCCCCGGCATCAGAAGAAAGGACAAAGGAGAGTTTGGCGATGGTGGTCGATCCAGATGCCCGGAGTCGCATTCGGTGGCAGCGGAAAAAGGTCATTCAACTGGTTCGACGAAATGGAGAGCTGACTAGGGAAGAGAGGATCAAGATGACGGAGCGGGAGCTGCGTCACAAGAGCGAGTTTATGCCGACAAGCGTCAAGAAGCTGGTCATGTTGGCGCGCCAGATTGCCGGCAAACCAGTCGACGAAGCTATTCAGCAAATGCAGTGGTCAAAAAAGAAGTTTGCGGCGGAGGTCAAATATCACCTAGAGGAGGCTCGAGACATGGCTGTTGTCCAACGTGGCATGGGTCTCGGCAAGGTCAACGGTGACCTTTTAGACAAGCCTCGAAAAGTTCAAACCAAGGATGGCAAGTGGATTGAGATTGCGGATCCGACACGTTTATACGTTGCGCAGTCATGGGTTGGGCGAGGGCCCTGGCGTGGAAAGGAGCTGGACTACAAAGGCCGTGGAAGAATGGGTATCATCCAACACCCAAGTACCAGTAAGATACCCTACACCCATGTTGTTCCACTAACCAAATTATCCAATGGGCTCGTTCAACATGCTAACCTCTGTGCGCGTGCTTAGGCTTTACGGTCATCCTAAAGGAAGAAAAGACCAGAATTAGAGAATACGAAGAGCAGAAGGCGAAGGAGGCACAAAATGGCCCTTGGGTTCATCTACCAAACCGCAAAGTACACGGCCAGAGACCATATTATTCATGGTAGAGACGCCCGGGTTGGTTGGAGTCGGAAGCAAATCTGTTTAAATTTCACCCAGCAATAGAGTCAGCATGACAATGAGCATGTATCTGTATCAATATATGTACAACGAAAGGAAAAAAAACAAACAGTCGGGTGACTGGATAGACTTTTATCAGACATGGTTCCCGCGTCGCTAAAATTTATAAATGTATAAATCGAGCTTTAGCTTGACGTTACCCTCAACCGGTGTATCTTCCTCTTCTTCCTCTTCTTCTTTTTCGGATAGTGGATGTCGGATAACACATTAAACAGATACCCTCTCTGGAATAAATCGTCTAGTCTCCGACAACCGCCTTGATTAAGTCTTCAATTATAGCCCTGCGACATAACCCATGCAGTTGAAACAAATGGAACGTGGACGAAAATTGGTCTTCAATTATGAGCTAGTCCCACTACCAGAGTGCAGATAGCTAGCTGCTCTGAAGACTACAGCAGACAACGACACGCAATTACACCATAACTTTTGGCTGTTGCCGAGGCACCATATCTTCGTACCGGTTGGACATCATTTCGATGTCATTCGAGTACTTTTCGAAAGCGCCTTGTCCAGATCCCGAATTGGAAGGGGGTTGCGATATATCAAAAGAGGCACTGGGCCTATTGCGGTTTCTGAGGAACATGAAGACAGCGGCAAAGGCAATTGCAACTACGCCACCCGCAACTCCGACTCCGATACCAATGGCTGCACCCTGAGATAATCCCGAGCCACCAGCAGGAGTTGCTGCGGCCGTCTCGCTAGAAGTGGGAGTAGAGGAGGCAGAAGTAGCAGGGACAGTGGTAGAAGGGGCAGCAGATGAAGTCGAATTGGAAAATGGAAACGTTCCCGAATGCTACGGTTATCTCAAGTCAGCAATCTCACAATATCGATTTCACATGACGCGGGGAGACGTACTACGCCGGAGGTAGTTGGAGGAGGAGCAGTTGATGTTGGCGGAGAGGAAGTCGGAGCCCCTGTCGAGGCTGGTGGTGCTGTTGTTGGCGGGCCTGTGGGCTGCACTGAAGTCGGGGGAATCGATGAAGCCGGGGGAATCGATGAAGCCGGGATTGAAGTGCTGGAGGCTGGAGCTGTTGGTGCTGGAGTCGTGGCATCTGTTGGTGCTGTTGCAGCTGGAGTTGATGATACGCCCGAAGTTGGAGGAGCTGAAGCGCCGGTAGCAGAGAATGCTAGTTGTTGGCCTATTCGTGAGTGAGTACAAAGCCAATATCAAACTCGCGCCATGCGGGACGCATTCTCCATATGATATCTTCCACTCTTACCCTGACAAAACGACCCAGCTAGAAAAGACTGAATTTGGACGTCGGTAGCACCACAGCCAGTCTGACCACAGTCTCGCACGCCGAATCCAAAATTGGCATTTGCGCACAAACAGGCAGCGTCATCTGCACTGGTGCAGGAGAATTGTGTGAATTGATTTCTCACTTGATTCGCGCAAGTCGGCTATAATCACAGTTAAATCGGAACTTGCCAGAGTTTTAACATTGTGCCGTATCGACATACCACACAAGCGGGAGGATCTTGGGCAACAACACCGTCGACAAAGATCAAGCCCAGTGCACCGAGCACCACCGGAAAGAGGGATCGCATTTCGAAAGGTGGCCGCTCTCACGCTCGGAGAGGAGAAGGGATGAGATGGAGGTTCAGAGTAGTCGTCGAGAATAAACTAATTAGAGAGAAAGACAGGCCGAAGCTAATAGACGTCTCTCTCTCTCTTTCTCTCTGGCGCATATAACGTCGCAGAGCTAAGGAGGAAGTGCTACAGTGGAAAGCAGCAGAGAAGGCAGCAGAAAGTGTGAAAAGGCGTCGACCGAGAGTTACCAGCACACACGGTTCGAACAGCAGCGAAAACAAATTTGCACCGAAATGTGCAATATACACGAGGAAATGAATGACGCCGAATGAGTGGAATGCAAATCTCTCAAGTAAAGGGAGAAAGGGTCTAGTGAGAATATCGAAGATTTGCGGCAGGAATGGCCATAGAAGGGGCTCGACAAGGGAGAAGACGAAAATAAGAGAATAAAGAGCGTAAGAAGTACAATTCGCAATAACGTCGTAGGGAGCGTGGGTGGTCAGCAGAGACCTGGTTGAAGTTAAAAAAAAAAGAAGAATGAAGAGTCGACAGACAGGATGCAAGATGCAAGATGAAGGCTTCGCCGAGCCTCGAGTATATTTGGCTCTCCGTGCTAGGCTCCGTAGATCATTACAGCTAATGATGATAGGGATGCGATCCTGGTCCAGGGTCCCACCTTTAGCACCAGCCAGCGCTAATAACGCGCAGCAAACGGCGGTTTATGCTGTGCCTGACTCCTAGCCAGACTGGGTACCTGCTACATTCTGCAAAGTAGGGGGCATCTGAAACGTGGAATCATGGCTTGGGGTCTGAACAGACGGGCAGGTCGCGTGTCAGCCTGTGGACGAATATGCGAGGCAGCAAACAGGCCCTGGCACGGACAGCGCCTAGTGTCTGCGAGCATTGTTTTAGCAATTAACATTAGGTTATTATTAGTGCCACCTACTGGTAGCAGCAGTAATCTTCCGCGCCTGGGGACATGCGTCTGATTCAATGGCGGAACCGTTACCCTGTGAAGCAACTGGCTACTGTTGCGGTTTCTGGTGTAAGCGAGTACGCGCGCTAAGAAGTGCAGCAGCATGTATAGGTATATGACGAGTCTTCAGCTGTTGAAGAACGTTGGGAAGTACAATATCACAGAGCTAGAGAGGGTCGAGCTGGTCTTATGCAGTGTAGACGGATGTTTGTTCTTGAAGTGAGGTGGTAGCCGATTATCCTGTTAGTGGCAGCTATATTAAGAATTTGGGAATGGTGTGGCAGCTGGGCGATCCGTCTCTCCCATGGGAGCAGCGAGGACCTGCCCGATACCTCGCTCACGGTTGCCATCGCGCAGCCGTGTGCTGCAGCTAGTGCACTCAGCCCCGGGCTTTCCCACTGAGGTAGGTACCATCTAGGTACCGAAGTCATCCACTACCACCTGTACCACCAACCTGGAAGGCAAGGCAGGCGCACTAGCGGCACCATCAGCAATTGCACTTGCAGATCTCATCTGCACAGCTCTTCTAGCGAAAACAGCTTGCCGTCAGCAACCTCGTCTAGCAACAAATCGCTCTCGAATCGCCTTTTGCATCTCTGCGGCAACTCTTGGCGTGCACTGCAGGCTTCGATGCTTTGCCCAAAAGGACGAAGAAGGCGATCATGGCTAACCCTGTAGGCGAGGACAGCTGGCTGGCCTATCTCGACGAATCTATCCGCAACGCTTCCGACCTTGAGAAACGCGTAAATGTCGTCGAGTTTTTCAAACGCGCTGTTAGCGCAGAGCCGGACAGCTTGAGAATATGGCTAGCATATTGCAACTATTTCTGGTCCCTCTGGGCGGATAGCCATTCTGATGCCGCCGGATGGCCAGAGGAAGAGCAGATGATGGGTCGTGAGCTTTTCTCGTTTGAAGCTGCCCTTGGCTTGTGGCAGCAGGGCTACGAGGCTATCAAGTATCGCATCAATGATAGCCATCTTCTCTGGGACCGCTGGATATCTCTCGAAATGGAATTGCTGGAAAAGACAAAAACACCAGAGGGGGTCAAACGCATCACACACCTCTACCGTGACCGATTGACAACGCCTCATCTCACGTGGGACGACACATCGCAAATGTACTCGACCTTCTTATCGGAGTACAACCGAGCTGCATGGGAAGAATCAATGAAGGATATTACGGCGTCATCTCAAGGCGCAAAGCGGCTCATGGGCAAACGAGATTCCTTCGAACTCAAGCTACAACAGGCGTTTCGAGCCGACGACATTGAAGCGCAAAAGAAGATCATGATTGAATACCTCGAGTGGGAGACAGCACATGTTGTTAGCGGCCAAGACGGCACCGATATCAGCTTCAATCTCTGCTGTGGACTCTATGCCAGAGCTTTGACCGGAATATTCGCGACCGATGAATCGATTTGGCACGAGCACATTGTTTTTCTCTCATCCTCCTATGCCGACGCGAAAGCCCCTGAATTTATCCTCAACGCCCTTCGTCGAGCCGTTCAGCATTGCCCTTGGTCGGGTCGCTTATGGAATAGGTTAATACTATGCGCAGAAGAGGCGAGATTAGATTTTTCTGAAGTGGAGTCCATCAAGCATGCCGCAACGAGCGAAAATCAGCTATACAAGCATGGCATGGAGAGCATGATCGAGATGTATGTAGCCTGGTGCGGTTTCCTCAAGCGGACTGCAATGGACGCAAGCGCTACCGATGAGGCTGTCGACGTGGCCGATGTCGGCCTGAGTGCCGCTCTGGAGGATGTTGATGTTGTAGGCAAGAGACTCTACGGCAAAGACTTCCAGGGTGATCCAAAGTTTCGACTTGAGCGCATCTATATCCAGTACTTGACTGAGAAGAAAAACGCCATAGATGAGGCAAGATTGCAGTGGAATAAGCTGGCCAAGGCTCAAATCCATGCCGATAGCCATGACTTTTGGTTTCGCTACTATATGTGGGAGATGCTCATCTTCTCTTCCACCAACTCATCCAATAGTCCTACGCCCTCGTCCGCAGGTGGTAATTTCCGAATACCGGTGCTTGCGACCGCTGTCCTTCACCGTGCTGTGAACCGGTCAACAATTGACTGGCCGGAAAAAGTGCTGGAGGTTTATATGCAGCATTGCAACGACTATGAAATATCACGTTATGTTCGCAAGGCGGCAGATATAGTGCAAAAAGCCGAAAACAAGATTGCAAAGCGACGCAAGCTAGAAGAAGAAGAAAAGGCTGCTGCATACGCTGCTTATTACAGCGCACAGACAGCGGCTGACCCTGGTGATCCCACTGGAGAGGAGGATACTTCCTCAAATAAGATAAAGAGGAAACGAGAAGATGCTGCCGAAATCCAGGAAGATGCCGGCACCAACAAGCGCCAAAGGAGCGAGCACGAAGCACGCGAGGCTCAGTCTGGCCTGCGGAGAGACAGAGAAAATACGTCTGTGATTGTCAAAAATCTTCCCGCTGAAGTTACCCAGACAAAACTTCGCCAGTACTTTAAAGAGTATGGCCATATAAACAATATCACGGCACTTGTTCGCGAAAAGGATGGCCAGTCTTCAACGGCATTGATCGAATTCCGTGCGCCAGATGAGGCTCGATCCGCATTGCTCAGGGATGGAAAGTTCTTTGGGCAATCTCAGCTCACTGTTCAGTCTGGTCACGACTTAACGATATACGTTGCAAACTACCCGCCTACCGCTGATGAGCAATACATTCGCCAGCTATTTCAAGACTGTGGGGATATTTTAAGCATTCGGTGGCCTAGCTTGAAAGTGAACTCGCATCGTCGGTTCTGCTACGTCTCTTTCTGTGACAGCGATGCGTCTGCTAAAGCCGTGGCCAAAGAAGGCATTCTGCTGAATGGAAAGTACACGCTGCTGGCTAAATACTCAGATCCCAACCGCAAGAGGAACCGAGAGGGTGCTGTTGCCGAGGGCCGAGAAGTTCACGTTTCGGGGTTAGGCCCTTCAACTACAGAAGACGAAATCCGCGAGATCTTCTCAAAATACGGAACCATTGCAAGAATAAACGTTCCCCGAAGCGACAACGGAAAGGGTCGCGGATTTGCATTCATTGACTTTGAAACGAAAGACCAGGCTGAAAAAGCTGCATCAGAGCTGAATAAGATCAAGTATGTCAACAAAATCCTCCAGGTTGAGATCTCGAAGCCTTCGAACGTGAAGCCTACGGCCCAGAGTGTATCACACGACCGTGCAACTCCAGCATCTCAAGCGACCGAAGATACTGAGGGCGACACAGTAATGGGAGGCTCCACTACCGCAGCCGATATTGCCGCACGCACCATTGCACTCATGGGTTTGTCTGACACTGTTAATGACGCCCGAGTGAGAGCACTTGTTGAGCCGTTTGGCTCTATTATCAAGCTTGTCCTCCAGCCCGGCCATGGCGGCGCACAAATTGAATTTGCAGATTCTTCTGCGGCAGGCAAGGCAAGCCTCCAGCTCAGCAACATGGACTTTGAAGGCCGTAAGTTACGCGTCGGGTCTCTTGACGATCTTCGTCATGCCAAGGCCGAGAAAGTGCAGGATCGCATTGTCCCCCGTAGCCAGAGCGAGGCCAAGAAAGACAGACCGGCTGGTAGTACGGAAAAGAGCTTCATACCCTCGTCATTGAATAGGCGACCTACTTTAGGGAAGCCAGCTCCAAAGCGTGGAGGCGGTTTCCTTGCTGCAAGAATATTACCAATATCTAGTACAAAACCGACGGTCGAAGACACAAAACCAGGGCCGCAGAGTAATGCGGATTTTCGAGAGCTGTTTCTAAAAGGCCCAGCTGCGAAGGATAATAAGGATAACAAGGAGGACAGCAACTGAGTTATAGTATTAGGTATCTATAATAATAAATAGCCTAAAATAATAGCTTCTGGCAGCCTTTTCCTTTATAAATAACTACCCCTAATAAAGCCTTATAAGTGCATATAAATAGCAATAAGTATAGCATTTTCCTTTATACTAATATAAGGTATTTTAAATAATTCTTTTAATGCTCGGGTACCCGTAACCGCGCGTTATATTACAGTATCTATATACCCTACTACAATTCTTAGCTTAGCTCTGATATGGTACACATTATTTACATGTATGTGCGCAACAAGGAGTCATAGTAATTCTCCTATTTATATGATAGAATCAAATCTACCGCGTGCCTAAACCAGGCACTACCTTTGTTCCTACTTTCGATGTAAATCGCGATTCTAACCGTTTCGCCTAGACGGACATGCCTATCCTGATAACCTCCAGTGTGGTGTCCCACTGTTTCTAATTTTGCGTCTGAAAGCTGCAAGCCGAGTCCATTACCCAGCCAGTGAAGAGAAGAAGAAAAAGAAGATGCCTACTCAGGCCAAAAGGTTATAGGCTCACGGTGCCTACAGTCTTGTCTTGATTGAAATCCTGGGAAAACAGACGTTGCCACACGTCGAACCATTTCTCCTGCTGTGCTGTGAGCAGTTTCCCTGGTTGCCTGAAAGTTCTGTTAAGCAGCTCGCGCAGTCGCGTACGCAGCACTTTGATAACGAGCATCGTCTTCCAATCAGGGATGGCAAAACGACCCCTGTTTCCGTCCAATACTATAACGCCGGAATAGAGCTAAATTTGAAAGGAAGGAAATGGTTAGCAACTCTAGTCATGTAGACTGGAATCTTCAGATGGAGATATATGGCTTACATCGCAGCGCACGTCACCACACAGTAGTGCTATCGCGAAGGGCTCTGTCGCGCTGGTCTCCTGTGCGCGGTAAACCCTATACCGTTGGTTAGCAATGCCTCAGACACGGATATATAGAACCTGGAATAGACTGATGACCCACGATTTCGTTTGCATTATGGTGTAGTAAGACAGCCATCTCACATCGAACAGAGCACGGTTGACCGAAGTTGGGTGAAGGCTTATGGACTGGTTGTTTCCTATGTTGCGAAGTCCTTTCGAGCCCGGAGCATCTCTGACGAGAAGCTTAGGGTAGAAGCTCCATGCTATAACAGAAGTCGAAACCAAGTCGTTATCGCTGTTGAGATTTACTCGCTGAGGCACATCAACGAATTGTTGTTGACGGCGGCCGCGTCCACCTGAAGAATATCGCAGCTTCAAGAGGCCCCGTCGCTCTTCCTCTGTCAATGACAAGAACCCAGAGTCAGCAAGAGAGGTTAGAAGCTGACCCTTCAGATCCTCTATATTCGTGAGTGTCTGCTGGTTGAGATAATTCTTCCTGCAGAATTGAAATTCTTTACCCATGTTCCCGCTCGACTGGCACACTCTCTTCCACGCCAAGTATGCGTTATAGGTTGTGAGCACATCCGAATCTGCGCGACGGAAAGCGGCCCTGGCATTATTTGCCTGCTGTTGCTGTCCGAAAGTGGCAGAAAACGGCGATTTGGATGATAGAATTGCAGCGACAGTGATGGCCATATCCAGGCATTTAAAAATCGAGCCCAATAGGATGAGTTTTCCTAGGAAAACATCCAGAGGTAATCTTGCCAGCTGATAACCAAGTGGTGTAAGATCTTCAGCGCCAGTCAAAGCACGAACATCCACAAGCGCATCGATTGCGCGACGTATGTTCTTCGCTGAGGGGGGGTCCAAAGCGTCGCCCAACGTCTCCTCGATGCCCCCTATCTTACATATCTTGACTCGAATGGCCAAGTCTTGCAAGGAAAGTCGAAGCATCTCTGGAGTTTGCTGATCGCTCATAAGAGTATCGTGCCTATACCGAGTAAACATATGGAAGCATAGTCCATTTTGCACTCGGCCAGCTCGTCCTCTACGCTGTTTGGCATTTGCTCTCGATATGAAAGTATCAATCAGCCTAGAAAGCTGCTTCTTCTCATCGAAGCGCATTTCACGATGCTTTCCTGTGTCGATCACGCAAGTGATATCCGGAATAGTAATACCAGTTTCAGCGATATTCGTCGCTAACACAATCTTTCGCAGCCCTTGGGGTGGTACAAGAAAAGCTGCTTCCTGGTCTTCCATGGCAATCGTGGAGTGGAGAGGATAGACAAGCGAAGTCTGGGCGAATCGAGGATCTCCCAATAGCATATCATTTAGCGATCTGATATCTGCAATGCCGGGCAAAAAGACCAAGATTGCGTTGCTGTACTCTTGTAGTGATTCGTCGGTAGCAATTCGAGCGATGAGTTCCACAATGAGATCAAGATCGATCTGGTACTCGTTCATCTGAGCAAGAACGGCCTTGGTTCTGTTTGAGTAACCAGTGAGGCTCTGTGCTATCTCAGATTTCAAGCCATCTACTTCAGTCGCCTCAGGAGCATCGTCATCGAGATCAACTAGTCGATCGGATTCCGACGTGCTAGGAACATAGCCGGTAAGTTCAACAGCATCTTCTAGGTAGCGGACCTGCACCGGGAAGGTTCTTCCTGGAACATTTAGAACAGGCGCGCCATCTAGATATGCAGAAAACCGCTCAGCATCCACAGTCGCAGACATCAAAATAACCTTCAAGTCTTTGCGGCGTTTGAGGAGGCGTTTAAGAACAATGAGAAGGAAGTCGCTATCAATGGAGCGTTCATGTACCTCATCAAGCACTAAATGTGTGACTTCATGGAGATCGTTGGAACCTTCGAGCATTCTCATGACAATTCCGGTGGTGGCATATACAAGCCGTGTTTCTTTGGATGTGTTGGATTCAAGGCGGATAGAATAGCCAACAAGGGATCTAGAAGTCCCCAAGTCGCCCTTCTCATCGCCCAGCTCTTCGCTTACTCGACGGGCGAGAGATATGGCAGATATACGACGAGGTTCTGTACAATAAACCTTACACTGTTTACCCTGTGACAGTTCATGCTCCAGCAAAAAGGCCGGTACCTGGGTGCTTTTACCGCTGCAACACAGTGAGCAATAGACATCGTTAGGCAAAGAGCACGACAGCCCAACTTACCAACCAGTCTCGCCGCAGATTATTATCACCTGATTATTATCCACAGCGTTGAGAACTTCGCCCTTGAATTTCCACATTGGAAGCTGGACTCGAGATTGCTAGAATAATGCTGTTAATACACCGCAGTACTGCGATAGAAAATAGCACGAATCAATAACATACCAGCATAGCCTCGTACTTCTTTCTACTTGACTTTAAGGCCCACATTTTCTTCAAATTTTCATCGATTTCAATGTGCTTCGTCCGCTCAGCGTGCCCTGATTCAACTCCATCTGAAGAGGCCTTGCCATTATTGCGACCTCGGAACGCACCCTGTAGAACGACGCCATCTTCAAGCTCTTGGTCCTGTCTTTGGCGGACAAGAGCTTTGATTTGCTTCACAACCAGTCGATCCTGCGCGTCGAGATGGGACTTCTTGGCTTCGGCCATCTCAGACCAGAAGTCACGCCAGACAGGATGAAGTTTGAGGTTGACCTTTTCATCCTTTGGATTGCTATTGAATGTATGAAACAGGGCCACTGTAGCGATATAAGCCTCTGACTGCTTCATATCAGGTGTGGCGACATTAGTCATAGTAAATGTGAAATGCGTGGGATCAATTGTTGCCTCGACATCTGAGCTTGCAATGACATGAGGAAGCTCCTGTGTCTTGGACCACAAAATATCCACAGAATGACGATTGGCAAATGAAGCTTCGGAAACAACCGTGTACCTAATATTAACAGAAGGATCCCTAGTCGCTATTAGCAATCACTGCAGTAATAATTTGGAGAAACACGCGGCTCGGTATGACACATACCTTGAGCGACAGGCTTCTTCTAATATTCGTTTCGGGGTGACGCCTGTCCATTTGGCAAACTCTCGGATGAAAAGTTTGGTACCGTCTGAAGAGTTAACCACAGTCTGGAGCTTCCCCGTAGCCGGGTTTACCTCGCTTTGTGGAAGAGACTCAAACAAGCCTGCAATATCATCATCTTCAGCATTCTCAGCCAGGATGTCTTTAGCCATTTTCTCAGCTATAGCAGCGATATCATCATCTTCAGCGACCTCAGACGCAGGATCTTCCGAGTGGAGCTGGCTATCTGTATCAACAACAGGGTTCTTTCTGACCAAAGCCAGTTGTTTTTCCAAGACAACCTTCTCCTTCTTCCATTCCTGCTCTGCCAAGAATTTATCAAAAAGAATATCAGATTCTATTTTCTTCAATTTGGATTCCAGAACGGCCACTGTCGAGTCTGTCTCGTCATCTTTGGCTTGTTGCGTGGTGGATTTGGACTGCGGCCCTTTCTTCTCCATACGGCTCAATTCGAGTAGCTTTTTCTTCGTAGCGACATATTCTGGTATTAACTCTTCGGGCTCAATTTCGCCATCGAACGTTGCGATAGGTGCCTTTGGGGGCGAACGGGATTTACCCTGGCGGTTACTCGGTGTGTTGCTTATTTCATTCCGGCCAGCTTCAGCTGCGATCAGTTTGGGAGTGCCTGTGCGAGAAGGAGTTGCGGATGTATTGTCCGCAGAGTCTAAATAAACCATTAGATCAGGATATAACGTGGATTTTTGCGTCTTTGGCTGGCCATGGAAGATGCTAACCTTTAAGGTTCGGTTTGGTCCTATTCCCATACGTAGGAAGCTCCTCGAGAGGGGTTTCACGAGCAAGCCATTCCAGGGCTTCCTCTAATCCCCATATATAGTCCCGAGGGGCAGATGAGATATTTGGCGCGATGTCCAAAATGTGTTGTATAGTGCTCTCAACAACGCTCTCCGAAAATGCTGCCCCAGACAGAGCTTGCCGCAAGGTCCATATGCGTGATACTAAATCTTCTTCAGATGGCATCTTTCCAGGCCCCGCATTCTCAGACGACAAACTAGATGCATAAAAGCGACTTTCTGCCTTGATCAGATCGAGAATGTGGTCCATCAACTCCCGGGGTAGCCATTTTGGTGTATTGATGGTCTCTGCCTGGCTCCGAAGCAGGCGTCGGTCGGTCTCGAGCCGGGAGCATTGGCGCTGTGCATCTCGCTTCACTTTCTGGGAATACTTTTCTACAAATAGCTGCAGTTCGGATTCTTCGAGCTGTCGTTCGAACTCTTCGGGGCTGAGCACAGCTTCCTTGGCTTGTGCCCGTTCGCTGTGCTGTTCGGCTGGCGTTGAAGCTTGTGGGGTAACTTCTGAGGCGGCTGGAGGGGCATTCTTTGGAGTGTTGACGCCTGAAGAGGATTGTAATCCTACATCCACCACTTCCAAGCGAGGTTTGGACGCAACAGAGGTCGTTGCAAAGCCTCTCGCTGGGTTTGCTGCCGGCTTCTTCTTTTTCTTGTTACCACCGGCCATGAGATGGAGCGAAAAGAGGTGCCTGTAGTTTATGCGAGAGAAAGAGGAAAGCGAATGAATGCCTGGTAAAGATGTGCCTGAAGTGCAGAGATAAGATATCAGCGGATAAATGAATGTACAATGGAGAAGTTGATACGCCCCAATTCTTCTATAGCACTTTGGCTAGCTTAGGTACATTGTGTGTGGTATCGGCACTATTTACTCCGTTATCTAAGCACCCTCGCACCTAAGCATACAAACCATGCCAAATGATTGTTACAAATGTCTCATGGATACAGAAGATTTGGGTATTTAGATGGAAGGAATATTTCATTTCACTCTTTCTAATGAACCGAATCCAAATCTTACTTTCATCTCTTTACTGTGTTTTCCTTTCCCTCTAATGTTGCCTCTTTTCTTTATGGCAAGGCACACCTACCAACATTAGCACAAGCTACTAGTATCTGTGCGGGCATATGCTACCGAGTGCTGCCACTGCCTAAAAAGTCTATTTCAATTACCGTGCCCAAGCTGCAGCGTGAGATTCTCTTTGTCCATGCTTAGCTAGACTTGGCATTATAAGAAGAACGCCTGTGACAGCTGAGCCTAGCTCTCAGAATACAGTGAGTCATGTGTCATCAGTTAAAGCGTGGGTTCACCAAGCCGCGCATATAAATGCACATACCAAGTCTCGCTGCGTAAATCTATTGGGATAAAGTATCACAAAGGCTATAAGGAAGACTCTAGCACGCAACATCTTTAATTACCGTGCTGTCTCAATCGCGCGCTGCCTTCTCTCGAGTCTGCGCAGTTTAGCTAAGACGTCATGTCACGCGCAGTGCAAGCTGGCGTATTAATATATATATTATGCTAGTGGAAAAGTGCACTGCCTTCGGGCATGCTAAAATCACCTGCTGGTGAGAGGGGTACATAACGATGAAAAGGCCTCACAAAATTTTTTAGACGTCTTAGGTTAGAGACCTGGTAAAGTATTTACAACGCTAGTTTTTTTTTTATCTTATTTTAAGGTAACAAACCCTTTACATTTGATATATAAATACATATTCTTTTCTTGAATTAATTTTTTCTATTTTAAGTATATTCCATAAAAATACTATTAGTTTTTAACTATAGTTCTTTTTACACCATCACCGCCCGACAACGACAAAGCGCTGGAGTCTGATCTCCACCTGGTGACAGAGATCGTGACAATTTGGACCATCCGCCGCAGAAGCGCCGTATGGTGGCTAGTGTCTCACGCATTGCTGGGAATTGCAGACGGGATAAGTCTTATCTATTTTGCTTGAGCCTTCCTTCGGCAGTTCGGCCAACAGGGGAATTGCTCCATATGTTGATGAGAGTATTCACACAACACGATGGAGCTTTTGGAGTTGGAGTATCAGCCGTGAGTAATCAGCTGTGGCTCAACGTTTGTTTAGATTTTAGAAAGTCTGGAATTGATCTTTACTCTACCAACGATTCCTGAAGAACTACGGCGAACATTGCGTCATGGAGGGGGAAATGTGTATCCACGGGCAGCGCAGAAATGCGCCATTGGTACCAGTCCAGCAATACATCTCTTATGCCAAGGTAGTTGCAGCAGACGACTCTGCAACAATTAGCGTTCAAATCCTGAGAGGAGAAAATAACATTACACCTTTCTGAGGCAGTTAAATGTGGCTGCACACGCTGTTTTAGAGAGGAACTCCACGCTGAGAGGACATGAATCTGGTCGATCGACGCTAAGACTCCCGTCTTCTCTGCTGTATCCTTGAACAAGCTGCACCTTTATTAAGCTAAGTGAGTCTATAAGGAGCTTGCCGTGGCTGTGAGGCTGGATATGTTCCTGAACCCCCTAGGTCTGCGAGTTGAAGTTGTGTTGTAAACAGTCGTCCGCACGAACTTCTTGATGACAATGAGCAGACTTCGGTCAGGGTCGGGTCTTTTCTTCTCCGCCACTGTCACATATTCGCTGACACCGAATTGAAGGGCATGTAGCTTATCGTAGGTTGTCCAAGGTGACTCAACTAGTGGTGCGAGGGTATCTTTGACTTGACCTTGTTGAAAGTCCTTCTGGGGTTCTTTCCGAGGGCCTTTCTAGACTGAACTGTATAGGATAGTGCTAGGGGACAACGGGGCAATCTCTCCATTGTATCCTCGTCCTTATGCCTGACTGGCAGTTTCCGCGATATATCTCGAGTTATATTATGCACTCGAGCCCGTTAAACACGCATATATGAAGCCATCGTTGAATCGCTCATCATTGACCACTCAGTTCGGGACCGGTGCATAAGCCACATTAGGGCGGCATCTCAATCCACCTACCGGCATATATCAGCTCTGTGATACCTGTAGTCTACCCTGTGTCTTCTCCTTAATCTTGCTGCATGCTCCTGTCAGCAGCGCCATGCTATAAGCCCTTATTTCGACGCGCTTGAAAAAGATCCTTCAGCTCTGTTGTAATTCATCCTGGGGCGCGTTCTGCCTGCATGGCGCACTACGCTAAATTGTGTAGGCTAGCGTAGCTAACACCGACCTGCGCCCCTGTGGAATGCTGGACCTGACGTCTTCTTTCTTCTGGTGACTTCTCCCATCTTCTCGAAATATTTTCCATTGCTATATGCAGAGTGAAGCTGCTCTCCCAAACTTCGGCTGTGCTTCGCTGGCTGTCTTCAATGAATGGTGTCGAGACGTGCTCAAGCGATCTTTCACATACCGACGGTTCTTCAGCTAAACATCCCGCCTCTGTCCACCTAGACTTAGTCCACATAGACTCAGTCAACGACTCTGGGCCAAGCGGAAGAGCCATCTTCGTTCCATCTTGATAATTCACAACACGCTCACGTTTAATAATCATCTGCTTGTTCAACCAGCTGGGCAAAATGTTTGCTTTCGACCAAGCCGCACTACCTCAGATTACAACACGCAAAGCTCTCATTGTGGTTGACTTTCAAAATGAGTTCATCGGCGATGCTGATCCAGGGCTGCCTGTTAATCGCCCCGAGGGATTTGTCAAACGTACAGCTGAAATAGCAACCGCCTTTCGCTCTGCGGGAGATGTCATCTGGATTCAATCTCGGCTTGACAAGGCTCGTTCGATTGATGGCGATCAGATCATATTATCAGAGAACTCACCTGCTTCGCAACCTACATCTTCCCGAAATAAGGATAGGCCAATTGCGACTGAGGCTTCTTCTGATGAATCCTTAGACCCCGAAGCTTTTTTAAGCCATGAAGAGCCTTTACACGGCAAGGCTTCTTCTGATCCGGGGAGCAACGTCCCATTGGCTATTGAGGAGGCCATTCACAGCAAGGATCTCAAATTAACAAAGTCTTATTACTCGGCGTTTCATGGCACACAGTTACTGCGCGCTTTGCGTGGTAGAATGGTTACTGAAGTTTTCATCTGCGGCTCTCTTGCGAATATTGGTGTCTATGCTACCGCCATGGAAGCGGCCGGCCACGGTATGGCCATTACAGTCATAGAAGACTGCTGCGGATATCGCCACAAGTCCAGACAAGCTGCGGCGATAAAGAACCTCATTGAACTAACTGGCTGTGAGATTCTATCCTCGCAAGAAGTCCTCAAGACCTTGGTCCCAAGCAAATCAGAGACTAAGACTCCAAGTGAACCACGGGATGCAACGTCTGCTAAACGGGCAAAGGCTGTCGCTAGTACCGATGAAGACATTATACAGTCCCTGTCTGGTCTCAAGTTAGATTCCAGCCCATCCGGCCCTAGCACTGCTGTAGACAAAGTCAACCAGGCCCCTGAAGTCAAGGCTGAAACTCAAGAGCCTCAAGAGGCTGCCACTGAAGTTGAAAAAGAGAATGAGAAAGACCAACCTGTGGTTGAAGGTGGCTCAGCGGGACGTGTTGCCGATTCCGAAAACGAAAGTGACTCGTCGTCACAGTCCAAATTGTGCGAAGGTGACACAGACGTCATATGTGATGCCCTGCCAAAGCCATTGGCGAATGAAGCTTTTGATAAGCTTGAAAAGGAGGTTCTTTGGCAGCGAATGTCCCACCAGGGCGGAGAGGTTCCTCGACTTGTCGCGGTTCAAGGCCGGGTGGACGAAGATGGCACAATGCCAGTGTATCGTCACCCTGCCGACGAATCTCCGCCCCTGCTGCCCTTTTCCCCTACGGTCCAAGCCATCAAGGCTGAAATCGAGAAGCATCTTGGTCATCCTCTCAACCATGTCCTTATTCAATTCTACCGTGACGGAAATGATTACATTTCCGAGCATAGCGACAAAACGCTGGACATTGTGAAGGGGTCTTATATCGCGAATGTCAGCCTTGGAGCGGAAAGAACCATGATACTAAGAACTAAGAGGCTGGAAAAGGATCTTTCTGGGACGGCAGCAGCAGAAGCAGCAGGCAAAGAGGAGAAGCGAAAGATTCAGCGCGCTCGGCTTCCTCACAACTCACTCTGTCGCATGGGCCTGCAGACTAATATGAAGTGGCTGCACGCCATCCGACGAGACAAGCGCGCAGATCGCGACAAGTCAGCTGCGGAACTGGCGTATTCAGGGCGCCGTATATCGCTTACATTTAGACACATTGGAACGTTTCTGGATCGTGATGAGACCATCATCTGGGGTCAAGGGGCAACAGGCAAGACTCGCGACACCGCGCATCCCATAAGCAACGGCCAGAGCTCTGAGGCTGTTAAAATGATCCAGGCGTTCGGCACAGAGAATCATGCCTCGGACTTTGACTGGTCTGCTCATTACGGCCGTGGTTTCGACGTTTTGCATATAAGCAATTCCCCTAGGTTCTTTGCTTCCGCAGACCCATTAGTGAATATGCGCATTACACTTATGCTGGCCGAGTATGGCATTAAGTATGCCAAGGGTAGCATGGCTTCTGGCTCCGAATCCCATAACGAGAACCAAAACAACCCGCCAGCACTATGGTCTCTTCCCATAAAGTTCATTGATAATGATGCTGCTAAATCCGTCGTTCATGGCGACATGGCTATTATGCTATACCTTTACTCGCGCTATGGTCCAGGCCGTGTCACTGGCTCAGGAGCCACCACTCGAAATCCATCAGACCTTGCCAGACTGTTCAGCCAGTTTCAGCAAGGAATGAATCTGTTCAATATCTGGCGCCAGCTGAGGTGCGATGGAAGTACAGGGACTCGTGCCGGAGCACTACCTGTGACATTGAAACAGGAGCTTGCTGTTTGGGACAGCTACGTTGTCGACGACCTGAAAAATGAGCGAGTTCCATTCCTATGTGAAGATTCACTGACCCTTCCTGACTTTGTCGTCTGGCCAACTTTGTATTCCATCGTAGAAAAATACGGCTCAGAAGTAGCATTTAAAGGTCTAGACGGATTGCAGAAGTATTATGAGGCTGTTCGACAGTTGGACAATGTTGTTACGGCTGTAGGAAATCGCTAGTTTCAACATCTCATCAAGAGAGGATATACTTATAAACTTTTCACTAATCTAACCTTCCTGGCATCCTATTACCTTGTAATCTATTGTACATGTAGAGCCTCACGAAATGCTTCTACTTGATTTGACAAATTGAAGAATGAGTACCAGCTGCAGAGAAACGTTTGAAACCGCAGCCGGAATGCCTATGATGGTGGTAGAATCCTTCAATTTAACTATTTTAAAATACAGTTTTTTGGACAAGACTTTTGCCATATGGGGTTCAACTATTGAGCAGCGTCCCAAGGGAGAGGGTAAGTGCCTACCCAGTCCGCGACTTCGCTCTTCAGCTGCACAATCTCCGGATCCCTGTCTCCGTTACCCAGATGCTCTACAAACAGCTTGAGCTTGCCGGGCGACTTTTCGCCTCGCTCTTGAGCTGCCGCTCGCACAGTCTTGTTAATGCGAGTCGCAATGGTGACAGCTCGGTCAACAACATCTGCTACGCGGACAAAGTCGTCTTCACGGAAGCCACGAGTTGTCATGGCGGGCGTTCCCATACGAAGACCGCCAGGTACCAAGGCTGATCGATCGCCCGGGACGGTGTTCTTGTTGGCAGCAACGCCGACCAATTCCAGAACGCGCTCTACTCTGCTGCCGTCAATGCCATGGGGCTTAAGGTCGACGAGAACGAGGTGGTTGTCGGTACCGCCGCTGACAAGATTATAGCCTAGGCCACCTTTTCCCTTGTCTTCTCCAAGACGCTTAGCGAAGGCCTTGGCGTTTGCCAAAACTTGGGACTGGTAGGCCTGGAATTCCGGCGTCTGTGTCTGCTTCAAAGCTACAGCAAGAGCTGTGATGGTATGGTTGTGAGGACCACCCTGGTGACCGGGGAAAACGGAGTTGTTGATGGGGCCTTCAAGATCGTACATCTCGTCCTCCTTGGTCTTCGGGTTCTGCCTTCGGACACCTTTACGGAAGAAGATGAGAGCTCCACGGGGACCACGGAGACTCTTGTGGCTGGTAGTGGTGACGATGTCAGCGAAGGGGAATGGACCGGGCAGCACCTTGGCGGCAACAAGACCAGAGATGTGCGCCATATCTGCCACCATGTAAGCGTTGACCTTGTCGCAAATTTCCCGTATGCGCTGGTAATCAATCAAGCGGCTGTAAGCACTGGTTCCGGCAATGATGATCTTGGGCCGATAGATGGTGGCCAGCTTTTCAAGGTTGTCGTAATCGATATAGCCGGTACGCTCGTCCAGTTGGTAAGGCAGAGTTTCGAAATATTTTGACACTGCAGATATCTTCTTGGTCGGTGTCTGGTAGCCATGGGAAAGATGTCCGCCATGAGGCAAGTCAAGGCCCATCAGTCGGTCATGAGTATCCATAAGTGCTGAGTATACATAGAGGTTTGCCGGGGCGCCAGAAAGAGCTGGAAGCAGCAATTATTAGTCCACTTGCTAGATAGAGTCTTCGAACAATGCTTGACTTGCCCTGTACATTGACTCCCCAGTTCTTGGAATCCAAGCCAAATGCTTCCAGTGCTCGCTGCTGGCATAGTCTCTCCGACTGGTCGATAACCTCATTGCCGCCATAGTACCGGGCGCCAGGGTATCCCTCCGAGTACTTGTCTGCAAGGGAATATCTGTTAGTTACTCTGAGCAGCCACTCGGCGACTCCAGCGTTTACGTACTCTGCATGACACTGCCCAGCGCATCTAGTACGGCCTGGGAGGTGAAGTTCTCTGACGGAATCAGATTGATGAAATGCTTCTGACGGTTTTTTTCCTGCTCCAATGCTCAGCATGCGCAACACTTGCTATGTGGGCTGATTCTTCAGAGACGGACTCGCTCAATGATATCAAAAACAGCCGGGTCGGCCTTCTCGAGATGCGCCGAGAGAAGCTGTTGAGAACCTTGTCAGTACATGGTGCCTGCCATGGCCAATTGGAACTTTGCCGACCTGCTGCTGGCCATCTTGGGCCAGTGAAGCCTTTGCTCGTCGAGCGATCAGAGATGCTGCGTTCACAGATGGCGGCCTTGTTGCCAGCCTCTTCAAGCTGCCAAGCGGCATAGCCCTGCTTCGCAAATAAGCTGCCATGGCGTCAGGAACTTGAAGGCTGCAGACGTGGCGGCGGCCGACTTCAATTGCGACGCAGACAGGAGATTTAAAGGGCGAGGCGGCTAAATATCGAGCCTGCGAAGATGTTGCGACGGAGAACAAAATGGGCCGGCGAGAAATCGTAGCGGCGCTGCTTGCCGCACGCAACTCCGATCGCGTGGGTTGAAATGCGGCGCTCCGTAGCCTGGCTGACCGTGATTATCCGGCTGCAAGTCTCGCCATCCCCGCATACAACCCAAGGCAGTATAGTTTGCCGCCTGCTAGCGAGTGCAGTTACATGTCTGCCAGGTACCGAATTCGCAGAGCTTCGCGGCCTGCCCCCAAGCTGCCTTGTGAGGGATGGCAGCTGAAGCGCGCATTTTACAAATAGTTTCACTGCTTCAGTGGAATGCGTTACATAATGCGATTCCTCGCATGGGGCTGCTATGACCTGTACGTTCAAGGCTGAAGATGCTGAAGATTCCGATGTCTTCAATTAGCGCCCTTTCGAGTCATTGCAAGCTATACCTCCACAAGATGGGATAGTCGCACTCCGGTAGAGGCCTCGCTCTACTACTAAACCACTTGTGAATTGAGCTCTACCATTCAGAACCATGACAAGAACAAGGCGAGGCAAGTAGTACTAGATATTCTAGAGTAGCAGAGAAGGATCCTCTCGCTGAAGCGATCACGGCGCAACTTTCGATTCTTCGGCTTATTCTTTTCCCGCTTCCCCACAGCTCCCCGCCTCCGGCTCTGTTCGGATGCTTAAGACGTGATGCTCGACTCCCGTGCGCTGATTTCTATTTCCCTCTTTCTAGATTATCAACTAAAGTTGGGCGTGACGAGACTGCTTGGTTTTGCTTATTGGAATTCCGCTTCTTGCGGGAGCATGCTGATATGCCCTGGCGCCCTTCACCACCTTGAAGGGGCAATTTGAAGGATCCTGATCCAACCAATAGTTGATGTACCCGTGCTCGGTTTCCTTCTTGTCCTCTCTGCACAAAGCTCTTGACCACCATCTCTCCTTGCGTACCTGATCTTGTTGTTTTCACCTCAAATGTCTCTTGTCTTTCTCAAAAACCTGTCATTTATGTCTCTCACAATTTGATTGTAAATAAAATCTCTTTCTAAGAATCCTACCCTTGGGATACTACACATTTTTTATTTCCACCCATCACCGTGAGGCCATTAATATCTTTCCAAGGTATCATAGACGTAAAATTTGTCATGCTTCAACAAGAGATCGAATAAAAGTTCTCGAGCATTTACCATTTCATTTTTTTTTCAATGCTACATGCCACAAACCCATTGGTACGACTGTAGAAACCAGAAGGGCATAGAAAAAAGAACCCAACCCGTAGACTCCAAATGCAGCCCCTCAGACCGAGAATGTCCTTTCAAAAATGGTTTTACTCGTCATCCGCCAGCAGGGCATTTCGCTTTGCCGCCACTCTCTCCATCTTGCGCTCACGAGCGGCCTTGGTCTTGGCACGCTTGGCATCCATCTCATCCTTGAGCGCCTTCTCACGCTGCTTCTCGGCCTTGGCACGGTGAATCTAAATTGAAGAGCGACGTTAGAACAAATCTTCAAACCTTCTTCACCTCATCGCATAGAGGGGGTAGGATAAAGGAATGATAAAACATACGTGCTCCACCAGGGCACGCTTGTGCTTGAATGTGTTACCCTTGCTCAGGTGGTAGAGCTCGTGGTAGAGGTGCTTGTCGATCTTGCCGCTGGCACGGTACTTGACGAGAAGGCGGCGGAGGACGCGAAGGCGGCGCATCCAGAGAACCTGGGTGGGCATACGAGCGTCGGCGGTACCCTTTCTCTTACCGAAACCACGGTGTCGGCCTTCTCTTCGGGAGAGGTTGAGCTCGCGGGCTCGGGATCGCGAGTGCATGGTCACCGGCTTTCGGATAATGAGGCCATCGGCGACGAGCTTTCGGATGGTCTGGCGAGAGTTGGCGTTTGAGATCTCGCTCTGCTCGCTAGGATCAAGCCAAATCTTGCGCTTGCCGCAGCCAATGACTGACGCGGCAAGGCGCTTCTGAGTTCGCAGGTTGACCCTAAGCCATGGGAAACAAAACTTTTGTCAGCAATATGTCCCCTCCATCGCCAATTGAAAAGATTCCAATCAAAGGAAAAGTCGTCGTCTTAATGAAATCATTCGTAGGCAAGCGTGTTGTCCAGGTCGGATAAATGCAATATCAACTTACATCTTGAATGACTTCGGTGTTGATGGCCGGCCCTCGATGGCGATGAGGTTGGATGAAGTTTTGGGGGAGGGTTTACGAGGCCAGAATTTCTGGAGAGGCTCGTAGCAGTTCTGCTCAAAGTTTGTGGGTTCACGTGCACTAGGCCAGAATTTTAGCACTTCAAACAGCGGCTAAGCGAGGGCTCGGATGAGTAATGATCTAGCATGGCAGAGTTATGATCACGTGCCTCGCATCTGGCTGGTAAGCTTGAATAAGTATGTATGCTGTGAGTGAGCATTACATAATCACCAGAATAAGTAGATAGATCTAGGCAGATCTGGGATCTAAATTCGTAGAAATTCAAGAGAGAAGGAAAAATAAAGAGAAGAAATCAGTGGGGCTGCTGATGACTGCTTCCTTTTGGTATTCAAAACGTCATAAGTCTACAGCAATCATAAAAGCAAGTCTAATCTAATTTTGGAAGAGTTTCTCTTGAATATTTATAGTCGTAAAATCATGGCAGTTGTTAGACATGATGGATGCTAGTAGGTAGTACTAATGCCAAGATCAAATTTATATAACGTGTGCCCTCATTTTGTTTTCTAAATGATCTTACAAGAGTGTGTTTGCCTACTCAAGTGTTGTACACAGTGACTCCTCCGTGGTTTGGCTCATGCAGCTGCCTCTCCATCAAAATCAACTTTTCCCACACTCCATATCTCTCGCTCATCCTCCAGCTCATCATTCGACAGTCCCAAGCTCCCTTGTCCTCCCTCAGCCTCTCTCCTTTCTCTAGCTTGGACACCCAGCCTCATAGCAACTCGCTTGAAGTAGTCACTCATGCTTCTCTTTGTGTTCGGAGGCAGATCATTGCCCGGCCCTCCCATGTACTTGTCAAATATTCGGCTCTCTTCGTCTGCGACGCTGAACAACTCAACAAATGCTGCTTCAGCTGACAGCTTTACAGGAATGACCGGGTCCCTGACACTCGCAAAAATCGGCGGCGCCAACAGTGATACATGAGGTCGTACTAAATCCGCATTCTTCCTGCTTAGTGTACGAATAGTCACTAGAGCGAGTCGCCGTGAGTCTGTAGCATTGCCCGGTTGGACAATGAGCGCCAAAGCATCGAATATCTGCTTAGTGTCATCAAATGATTTTGGAGGTGACGAAAGCAAGAATTTTCCCGTGGCGAGGATGAAGTTGTCTGCGATATAGGTCTGTGTAAAATTTGTTAGCTGAGCAAAACAGAACAACGGTTTCTGGGACTGCGCTTACTCGTTTATCACTCATTCCTCCACAGAGTAGCCCTGGCAGTTCATCAATTAAACCGCTCGTCAATAAGATGTCTGGCGACTCAACCAATACTGAATTCAGAGCCAAGACGGACGAGTTAGTAAACTGAGACGTTATAACCCTATTTCTGAGCAAGCTGATGGCGACATCTTCGGATACGTTCTTAATCAAAGCGCCGAGAAGCTTTGCATTAGTAACTATCATGGCCTCATCTCTCTCATCCGCGTCTCCGTCGATTAAAGACAGCACGGCTGATCTAGAGGTTTCGCCCATGTTTGCACCAGCCCTGCTGACCACTTCATACAAGGCTTTGAACATCGCCGTCCTGACACCTGGATCGGTAGTCTTTGCTCCCGTCACTAGCTCAGTAATCAAAGGATCGATTCTGGGCGTATAATTGATCAAAGTTCCCAAGGCCTTTGCCGCTCTGGTCCTCAAAACTTCGCTAGATGTATCTGCTAAAGACTTGGCAAAGGTTCGTTGAAGCTGAGGTAGGAAAGGCTTCAGCGCTGTTGGCATCTTCTCAAGTAAACCATTAAGCGTGAGTAAAATGGCAGATTTTACTTCAGTGGCACGCTCAGAAACCACACGAATCAGCGGTCCTGTGATTTGGGTGACAAATGGCTTCAGAGATGCTTCGCTTGTTCGGTCAACAATATCGGAAATACCGAGAGCCGCTTGCACTCTTTGCTCCACAGTGCCGTTGATAAGGCCCTGCAGAAAGATGGGAAGAACGGCACTGATTCCCTTGGGAAGTTCAAATCCTCGCAAGTTAGCACCGGCAACTCCGGTACGCTGGAGCGTCTGCCGAGTTGATGACACGAGAGATTCCATTTCTTCCTTTTTGAGCTTCTTCGTGAATCCGCTAAGAGCACTCCAAGCAGCCTTGACCACGTCCAAGTCGCTGTCATCAAACGAGTTCAGCAACGACCGAATGATGTCCTGGTTATAGCGAGAGTAATCCACGCTGGACTCGGAGAAGAAATTTCCCATGTGGCGAGCCGTGGCAGCCCTCCGTCGGTGATCTTCATGCTTAAGCAGGCCAAGAAGAACATTCATGACAGTATTAAGGCCATCATATTCGTCAATAGACTGAATCACCGTGTCGAATGACGTTGCTAATTCCTCTCGCAATCCTTCATCGCTACAGTTAATCTCATTCTCCATCAACGACTGAATAATATTAGGTAGGCGGCGATTCATGGATGCGCCAGCAACCTTTGACAAAGAAGCCAAGGCCTTTGCATCAAATGCTGAAATTGGTGGTGTCGTGAGAGTTGGTATGAGATTAGGTAAAATGATATTGGAGCGAGTAGAGTCAGTCAAGAGCGTTAGAAGTGCTGACAAGGCATTTTCTGCTTCACTCTCAGACCGAAGGAGGTTGAGTAGGAACGGAAGAACCTGGTCCACTGCCCGTTTACCAAAGATTTGCTGAAGGGAGTCAAAGGCCTCTGCAGCCGCCTCTCTAACCTCTGCATCCGAGTCAATGAGAGCAGTGCGAACAACAGATATGAGCGTCTTTTCATGGTCTTCAAGAGATTCGGGTGACGCGGACGAAATAAGCTCACGGAGGGCAAGGCATATGCCCTGTTTGGCATCAGTGTCTGT